CATTTATTTCAATTCCCATCAGTTTTCCACCCACATCAAAAGAAGGACAGGAATATAGATTGGAAACTGCTGGCAAAAGTCTTGAAGGAGCACATTTTTATATGATTTCCAAAAGCACAATTGTCATTTCCTTTTCTACAGCCTTACATTTTACATGCAATCAGACAGATCTCTTTTTTAATCAAAAAGTATTCTGGTTGCTATATAACTCATATGGGTTAAAGAAAGATTGGAAAGGTTCGAAATCTATTTCTTTGGTGTCTGCTATTTATACCAGTGCACAAATGAATTGCAGCACCAAGGTCTAATGGATTTAATCAAATATTTTTAACATAGATATAAAACAATAAGTAAAATGACCTCAGCTTTTTTTTCTGTAACTGTGCAGTCATAGTCCTGCCGCTCTTACATTGTCTTGCTGGGAATTTGATAGGCTTACAGGCATGGAAAAATGTGGCTGAAGGACTTTGTCAATGTATCATTAAGCTTAAGATTGTCCTCTGTCTGAACCAAATGGGTTCTTGTGTGCTGCATTAAGACTTACCCTACACATTTTTCTATCATTTTTAGGTGACCAATGAGATATTCACAATTCATTGTGCCTCAGAAACTTGTTGCTTGTTTTGAGAAATACAGGTTCCCCATTTCATCAGAGCTTTTTGGCTTGGCTGACGGGATTGAACAATATAACTGCCAGCATTTATTATGACATTGCTACAGGTTCTGTTTTCTGTTGGGTACCATACAATATATTAAGGCTAAAGTAGCACTCATTGGTGAATTGAATGGCTACAGTCTCCACCACCACTTCAAATGTCTTCTACCCACAGTTTTGGAGTCTTGAATAGTCTTTGAGCACTTCCATGATTTTCATGCAGTCATTCTGCTCATATGAGGGTTGTTTCTTCCATCACATTTCTCCTTCTGTAGTCACTCCATTCTGACAACAATTATGTGCAGTGATCATACTGTCTTTGGCATCTACAGTGACCCTCTGCCTCCCAGTTTCTTTGTTTCTCTGGACCAGTCTGCTGATTGTTGAGGCAGAACATCTCATTCTCCAAGCAACATCTCTTTTTTTATTTTTATTTTATATTTATTTTTGTCTATGAGAGCAACATCTCTCATAGACAGGCCACTTTCAATTATGCCAATATCAACCATGCAGTCTTCATTTCTTAAACAGGACAGAATTTGTATCTTTTACTATTCTTGCATTGAATTAGATCATATATTTTTCAGTGGGTGTTTATGAATATTTGTAATCAATTAATTCTTGCAATTTAATTACATTAAATTGTAATAAATGCTGGGTACCTGGTATTTTGAAGTAATAAAATGACATGAGGTCAGTTTTTTTATCTCAAGTAGCAATCCTACTCAAACAACCAATAAACCTACATAATGTATTTAACGTTATACAGGTATCCAATGAGATATTCACTTGAACTTTTGTGTATTAGACCAGTGTTGTTTGTTTGGTGAAATTTGGAGTGTGAAATAGCTGTTTTAAATTGAGTAAACCTCTACCTAGAACAGGCCAGGAAACAATTTGACAGGAAATGGGTGTGGGGACCTGTTAAGGCCATCTGTCCAGTGACTTCAATAAGACTGTAGAACTTTTAGACACCAGCTGGAGTTCTTTCAGTCCACCAAGTGTTCTTTTGCTAGGCCTTAGGGATAACCTGCAGTATTAGGTGATTGTCTGTTCCAGAAAGCCCATCTTAGTATATACAGTAACAATCAGACTTGCATCTGGACATCTTTCTTAACATCTTTTCTTGTTTAGAAAGATGCATTGCCTCCTAAGGTTGCCATGTTTCTTGGAATTTGCAGTAAGATAGGTCTTTATTTGAGGAGAAGAGTGAGGGTAGCTTTGGAATGTAGAATCCAAAGGGGACCAGCACTCACCCTCCTTGCAAATAGGTTTTTATGTGGCACTTTGTATGCATGTGTTGCAAACAAATATTTGTCTCTTGGGTTTGTGACTCTTCTTTGCTCCAATCTCACTATGCTGTGCAAAGAAATCAGAAGTTCTCTTATGTTTTAATTTTGTGTTAGAGGATTATTTAAACTTCTACCTTTAAAAAAACATGCCCATTTGTAACAGCAGTGTGCTTCCCCATTGTTTTCTGTTCTGGTTTCATTGCAAATGTGTAATCTATCCATTCATTTTCTGACCACTTCTTCAAATTCAAGGTCAGAGGGGAGCTGGGACCTACAGTATCCCAGCAAGCAATGGGTGCAATGCAGGGTACATCCTGGATGGGACGTCAGTCTATTGAATGGCAGACAGACACGCACGCACACCAGGGCTAATTTCCCCAAAAGCCAATTAACCTACCAGTATATTTTGGGACTGTGGGAGGAAATCGGAGTATCTAGAAACCCACATGAATGCAGGGAAGTCATACAAACTCCATACAGATAGCACCTCAGGTCTAGAATTGAACCCAGGGCCCCAGCTGACCACTGTGCCACTGTGCTTCCTGTGCAAATGTATATAATATTACACCTAATTTATCCCCATGTATTTGTTAAATTGGCCCTTTTATATGAGCCTAAGCAGCCAACCACCATTTGTAACATGAGAAAATGCTTTCCGAGCATGCTTTTCTGAACAACCAGCTTGCCAGCATGCTTTTGGAACACAAACTGGTTGTACTTTGGAGACTTCCTGTACTGCATGATTCCACAATGGTAATAACATCTGGAAAAGTTGTGATGTATGTGCTTTGATCTTCATATTCCTTTTTTTGATTTTCGCACAGCCTGCCAATAGGACATGTAAATTCATTGAAGGATTCCCCCAGATGAGTAGTTAAGTATACATTAGATCATAGCTGACACATATCAATAGGATACTTTTGAGATGCTGTTTGAATCAAATCAAATCAAATCAAAGTTTATTTATCAAATACACAACAATACAGTGTGCAGCAGTAGTTGCTGGCAATGAAATGTCTTTTCCGCGAGCTCACAAAAATCCCAAGAATCACAGAAATCACAAAAATCACAAAAACACAAAAATCAGAAAAATCACAAAATTGAGGTTATGAAAATAAGGTTACATAATAATAGATGTAAAAGAAACGGAATAAAACTCAATATGAGTAGAGCTGTGATGTGTCCATGGTGTATGCAGTATATACAAGTAGTGCGTTTATGCTGAATACAGTGAAAACTGTGTGTCCATGTAGCCATTACAGGTGATTTGCTAAAGGAGCTGCAGGTTGGCTATTTAGCAGTCTTATTGCCTGGAGGTAGAAGCTGTTCTGTAGTCTGTTGGACCTGGACCGAATGCTTCGGTACCGTTTACTGGACGGTAGGAGGGAAAACAGTTTGTGACTGGGATGACTGGGGTTCTTGAGAATGGACCTGGCCTTCTTCAGACATCTAGCTGAGTAGATCTCCTGGATGCTTGGTAGCTCACAGCCGGTAATGAGCTGCTCTGACTTCACCGCCCTCTGCAGTACTTTGTGATCCCGGGCGGAGCAGTTCCCATTCCAGGCAGTGATGCAGCCAGTCAGGATGCTCTCAATAGTGCACCTGTAGAAGTTGGCCTGGATATGTGATGGCATGCCAAACCCCTTTAGCCTACCGAGAAAGAACAGGTGCTGCCGTGCTGTCTTGACCACGGTGTTGATGTGGTGGGTTCAGGTTAAGTCCTCTGAGATGTTAACTCCCAGGAACTTAAAACTGCTGACCCTCTCCACTGCAGTCCCACTGATGTGGATAGGTGTGTAATCTCCACCCTGGTGTTTCCTATAGTCCACAGTCATCTCCTTAGTCTTACAGATGTTCAGAGAGAGGTTGTTGTCCTGGCACCATGCTGCCAGGGTTTCAACCTCTTCCCTGTACACAGACTCTTCACCATCTGTGATCACGCCAATGACTGTTGTATCATACGCAAACTTAATGATGGAGTTTGAGTTATGCCTGGCGACACAATCATGGGTAAATAAGGAGTAGAGGACAGGGCTAAGCACGCAGACTCGGGGGGCTCCAGTGTTTAGAGTCAGGGTAGAGGATATGTTGGTGCCCACCCTCACCACCTGCAGACGTTCTGTCAAGAACGTGGCAGACCTTTCTTGAATGTATATATTGAATGTACATATTATCTGTTTATTAAAGTTCTTTGCTTCAGAATTTACATGATCATTTTATTATGTTATGTTATATATTATATTATGTTATTTTTCTAAATGATATTTATTCTTGACTGAATCAATTTCTTCTGAATTTGTACAGATGTTATCATTTATTCATTTTATATCCATTTATTAATTGTTTGGATGCATGATCATCATAATAGTTAATATTTAGTAGCTTTTGCACATTATTGTTTAATTTCTGTAAATATGATATGTATTTCTTATGCTTTTACCTGATCTACATATGTTTTTTAGTATAGGTCCTAAAATAATTACTAAGAAACTTGTTTATCGGTCACAAATGTATTTTACATAATCAAATAATAATGATCAATTTGACATTTAAGGGTTTAATGCTAAAATACATTCACAGTATTTCCAAAGCCATTATAAATTAAAATACAGTAAACAGCAATAGCTGAAATAGCTTATAACATGAGAGAAATTCTGACATAGAGACATTGCTTTGTTAATAATGCAATGGTTTTGAGGCAGTTTCTCTATTTCCAGGCAATTACCAACATGATTGACTAGAGGGAATTTTATAGGTGACATTACTATGTGTGTTGCAGAAGGGGAGCACTGAACATGAATTACCCATTCATTAATCTCAACCTCACCAGAACTAGAATTGTGTTCAGTGTAATTATTTATTCAACTTTTTCTATTTTAATACTTATTTGGTCCTAAATATGCCTCTATGTACTTTCACTCTGCAATATTACTGTAGTTACAGTTAACAAGTTAATATTTTGCAGGATTTCTACATATATGAATACAGTACCATAACATGAAACAGCTAATAAAAGTATGTTCTAAAATATGTCTATGTTTATCTTTATGTAGGGCAATGGGATAAAAATTATTGACAGCCAATTTGGAATCCAGCTGTACCCATTTGGAAAAAGCAGGAAAGTAATTGTGCTGCAGCCTGAAGATTTTCAACATCACAAAACAGGCTTGCCTGTCAGTAAGAAGGATTTCGTGACGGTTCTGACAAATGTGACTCGTCTTCTCATTAGAGCCTCCTACACCAATGGAAACAACGCCATCTATAGGTACAGAGTGAAAATCCAGTAATTAAACTGATTTTAGATGTCCTGGAGAATAGCACAATTATATGACATAATTATTGCTAACATTATTATTAGCATTTTAGTCTTTTTTTCTTTATGAAAAAAAAATGTAAATGCTTCCCCGTTTCTGCATGCTTCTCATTTGTCTTCTTATTTTAATTATTCACTGATCTTTCTTTCTCAAGGTTACAATATCTGTTTGTATGGGTTTCTGGATTCTATCCAAGAATATACAAATTAATTTCATATGTACAATAAATGTTTAGAAAAGTACTGGAATTATTTACACACATATTAATAGAAATACAAAAAGTGCAGTTGGTATTTCTTTAATGATAGAAGGCCTATACTCGTACAAATCTGGAAATACACAGCCTTTACTGGAAAGGGACAAGCATTTAACTTAAAGAAACAGGATAGAGTACAGAATAGAGTAGAAGAGTTTATTGCTGTATGTACTGTACATTGGAATTCTTATAATAGGAAACAAAGAGGAAACATTTGTGTATGTACAGTATATGCAGTATAGCTTTACAAAAATATTCAATATTTGGGAAAGTTACTTTGAGATTTTTGCAGTTACATCTGCTTGTGTAAGAGATTGCTTTTTAAAACTGAGGAGAAATTAAGGAAATTGCTTTTAAGAGTTAATTTATTGCTTTACACATTTTGTGAACCCCCTTGGGTGATCAGTATTCTTGTAAGTTTTAGACATAAAACGGAATTAAATCTTCATGGGAGTGAAACAAAATATGAAGATAACTCGGTTAAACATATAGCACAAAGACACATATTTGGATCATTTAATTAACAAAATGACCCTGTGAATAAGTATGTGAACCCCTCAGATTGAATGAATGGTGAGACCTCCTTGAGCAGCAATGGCTTCACATAGACTCTTCCTGTAACAGAAAGGCTTTTATGGCTTTTGTGAGTGTTGGCCCGTTCTTCATTATAGAACTACTTCAAGTCATTGACATTTGAGGCTTTAATTGTATGAACAGCTCACACGAGGTCCTCCCATAATAAAAAAACAGTTCAAAGCATATAACAGACACTCTCCCTTATTTCACATATCGGATTATATTTAACATGAAATGTATGTATCTTTGTAAACAATACTGGTGCCGAGACTCATCCAAATATATAATTTGGTTACATTTGACTTGGGGAGTCAATCAGTTTTTATTTGGCAAATTCATGTATGCATAATTGTGTGCAATTAACAGCTAGCTTCTAGTTTCAATACTGTGTGGTATTAGTTTTATTTACAAATACCACTATGTTGTGTACTGGTATAGTTTCTGGATACTCTCTGCTGAAATCTTTATGCAATGCTATTGACAATGGAAACAAATATTTGTATCATAATGTGTTATTGAGTTTGGTCAGTGTAGTAAGGTTTCAAATACATTTTTCATTCTTCACAAAATATGACCCCGTCTTTGTAGCTTGAGTATTTTTTAAATGAATTAAAACATTTCAATATTAATGTTCTGTATGATGCTAGCCTGCCTGTTGCAAGCTGTTCTTAAAATTTTACTCTCCCTCCTTCTCTCTAAAAATATATCAGTAGTTCATTTACTTATGTAACCAGTACATACATTATTTTGTTTGATTTTCTTTTAGGCTAAGTTCTGTCAGTCTTGAAGTGGCCACTCCATATTCAAGAAGTGGACCTGTGGCATCAGCTGTTGAAATGTGTCTCTGTCCTCCTGGGTACAGCGGCACGTCCTGTGAAGTAAGTGAATGTCATAGCTTATTTCAGGTTTTTTGGATTGATAAGGATGTTCAACATACAGCACCAAGAAGGTACATTGCTATAGCCACCATTTAACTTCCATGGGTGTGATGGGAATGTTGAAGGTTGAATAGATGCTGCAATCTAACAACATGATGTATTAAAAGGAAACTGTATTTTGGGAAAGTCGTGCAACAAAGAAAAACAATGCATTTTTTATATTGTTTAAACCTAATTTAGAAGTTCCCAATATTTCATATTTATATACTATATATATATATTTGTAATCCTTATTTGTTTTGCACCCAACTTCTAAGGTTCTATAAATAGTATCTTCAGTATGTAACATTTTTCATCTAAACCCGGAAATGACTTACTGGAGAGAGGCAGCTCTTCACATGCTGCTGTACCTTTAATTTTTTTTTTAATTTCGCATTTTATATGTTGTGCAATATTGTATTTTATTTTTTATGCATCATTTAGTACCATAATCCAAAGATTGGCAGATGACATGTTGAAGTGTAGGGAATGGAATAACTGAAAGGCAACAATAGAAGAAAAAGAACTTAAGTTAAATTCTAAGTTATAAACAAATGCCAGACCATTGGCAGTCTAACTAGTGGACAGCAGTCTGGTTGAACAGGAGGTAATTGTCAGTACAATACAAATATTTAGTGCAGAGTAATCAAGGTTACAATTAGGGGCAAACACATTTAACAAGAGATATTATTGTTTTTTTTTTACTATCATTCGATTTTTGAAAAACAGAATTACTCCCTGCACTCCCCCAACACAAAAATATGCAACTCTCAAGTTGCTTAAATATCGTTCAAGAAGCCTAGAAGGTAATGGCACCTTAACTGGTGTGAATTAGGTTCCCTAGCATTTTGCATAAACAGCTGAACCTGAATCAATACCTTTGCAAGAGGTAGTTGTGTTTTGCCATCAAAACACTGTAGTAAAATGTCAGATGCTGATGAGAATATGCTCACTTAAATTTGCTTTGTGCTTGTTCATGGCAGATACACATACATACTTTTAAGAAGAGCAAAAAGTATTTAAATGCAGAGTACTGTACCTGAGAGACAGAGTATTGTACATGTACCTTTAAAACATTACCAATGACACTACCAGTCAAGCAAAATAAATTAACCTTTATTATATTATAATTATTATTGTGTGCAACAATCATTTTCTCTCGCAGATTTGTGTTTTCACAATTTCGCAATGTAAAAAAAAATACCTTCTGTGTGCATTTTACTCTTGGAAGTTTATTTTGGCTTATTTTAAAATAAAATATTGTCTTTACTGCCAGAAGCCATTGTATGATGCAGATGGGCTCCCTATGAGCACTTTGATTAAAGGCGCAGTGGTTTTAAACTAAGCAGATACGCACTAGTTTTCTAAAGGTCTGAGGTAATCCTTCAACTCTCAGCAGACACTATATTTCACACCACATTACTAGATGCTATTTAATGTCTAGAATTCAATCACTTGACCTGTTTTAGAAAGGTGACATCAAACTCTCATCCTACCTTACTCAGATTAAACAGTATTCTGACATTTAGAAAAAGAAATATTAAAGATTTTCTGATTAAAAAAACACAGACTGATTTTTTGTCTCAATATTCTGATCCAAAAACATTGTTAATTTTTAGCACTTGGATTATTCAATGGCACTGCAAGTCTTCTGCTCCACGTGTTAATCAAAGCGATCTGTAGCAGCTTGGTTAATTAAGCAACTAAAGATCAATTCGATACTTCATTTATTGGAAGGTTCAATGTCCTGTAATGGCATGGGAATGCCTGGGTCATGGTTGAACACCCCTGTTCAAGAATCTTCATAGATGGCTCAATCTTTTTATAGCACTAATTCCCCTCTACATTTCTTAACTTTTTATCTTTCAGCTCCTCCTGCTACCTTTTGGCTTTAATCTTTTTTCTAATATCTTTACTTTTCTTTCTCAGCAGAAACTTAAATCCGGTTCACGCTTCAATAAAAGTGAGGTCAGTAAAGGAAACGCACTGTAATAGGCACAACAGAACAACATGCACATTCTTTGTGTTATGTACTGTATTCTCATATTCAGTCAAACTTCAGTATCTTCATGAAAGATAAAAGTTGGCAGATTTTTATGGAAAGTAATTTTAAAGACAAATTCAAAGACAATTGGATAGGTGTTGCACATACTGTACAGAGTGCATTCATCTGATTGTCATGTCATATCAAGATACAGTATCAGGTAGCTTTTTGAACAAGTTTTTGTCATCAATCAAGACTGGGAATCAGTTCACACGACCAAACCACAAATGGTTTTAATTTCGTAGAACATTAATTATACCCAGCAAGAGGGAAACAAATGGGACCGGGTAAGTGGAAGAACAATATTAAACTTACACACGGTGTAATAATGGCAGCACGAGTACAGTATTTCTTTCTCAAACATCAGATTAAAATGCTTTTAAATTGAATAAGATACTATACACCCTTACAGTAATATGCAAAGCAATTATGTGTTTTATTTTAATTTGTAAAGTAATTCAACTTGTGAAATTAAGTTGATCTCAAACAAATAATTCACTTTTGTTAGTGTCTTTGGTTTCAAAGATTATATATATATATCATTGACTAATATGGAATAAACAGTGATTTTATGTTAAGTGTATTTTTGAAAAATAAAAGTTATTCTCAGTAGTGTTGTGTTTAGTTTTAGGTACATTTTATTATACCAGGACAATGACTTGCTCAGTTGATGAAAAAGGCTTGACTGTTTTTAATTATAGGTTTAATGTACAGTACAAATAGCCTAGCTTTTTTTTCTTAAGTGAAGTGAAATTGACCAAAATTATTTTTTGTTGTAATTCACTTGTATTTCAGTTCTTCACAATGATACTTAAGATGGTTATAAATGTAGAAGAATGGGAATATTTGTAAATGGTTCATAAATAAGAAATACGTCATCTGCATCTGTTGCATTTAATGCATCACAGTATGTATATATTTGCTGTACACTGAGCATCAAGAGAAACTTATCATTGATATATGTGTGCATATTATATAAAATAATAAAATAAATGAGGATTTTGCATATTGCCAAAGTTTGTTGATGTCGTTTGAGTGACATTGTTTCAGAGGCACTGCAGTAAATAACCTCTTTAGTGAGAAAGGTGATTGGGCACAGGTGTTGAGGTGATGTAAGCTGTCATGCTTGGTGAAAATCAATAAGGAAACACAGAAAGAAACTAACATCCTATCACTAAAAAAAACAACATCATTGTTGGAGCAACACTTCCAGTGAACTTGCCATTTACGATGAATCGAGGTTGTGTGTAGATCATGTTTATTAGCAGGCCACATGTCTGACGTTCCTCGGCAAATGTGGTGCAGACACGCAGAAAAACAAGTAAATTCTTGTGTACAACAAACCAGTTGATGGGATTATCCTGTAAAAGGGTCACATCCGTTCAATGATAGGTCAGTGTCCCAGCGACAAAACCGATTAGAATTCTCCCAAAAATAACTGCGAATTTGTGGCAGGTTATCTGGGTGGCTCAGCCATGGAAGACATTTGTTTAGGATGCAGGTTGAGCCCTGTGATTCAGATGTTGTCTGGTCTGTGTCATCAGGTGACTCTGACTCCTTCAGCAGTGGGGTTAGGGGGATCGAATGTGCCAAAGTATCCTCAAGTTGAACATACACTATAAGAGCAACCTGCCAGTAGCCTGTGAGCTTCCAAAATCACTACTGAGGGATGCACTGGCAAACCATTTAGTCTGACCCTTCCATGAGACACTGTGGTGGCAGTAAACAAAATGAAACCTCTTCCCATTGTGTTGAATTACAAATGATTTCATAATAACAATAATAATTGCTTACACTTATACAGTATAGCCCTTTTCTGGACACTCCACTTAAAGCGCTTTACAGGTAATGGGGACTCCCCTCCACCACCACCAGTGTGCAGCCCCACAACACATCAGCTATCAGTGGTGTGGAGAGCAGAGTGATGAAGCCAGTTCATAGATGGGGATTATTAGGAGGCCATGATTGGTATGGGCCAATGGGAATTTGGCCAGGACGCCGGGATTACACCCCTAATCTTTTCGAGAAACGCCCTGTGATTTTTAACGACCACAGAGAGTCAGGACCTCGGTTTTACGTCTCCTCCAAAGGACGGCGCCTGTTTAGTATAGTGTCCCCGCCACTATACTGGGGCATTAGGACCCACATGGACCGCAGGGTGAGCGCCCCCTGCTGGCTCCACCAACACCTCTTCCAGCAGCAACCTTAGTTTTTCCCAGGAGGTCTCCCATCCAGGTACTGACCAGGCTCACACCTGCTTAGCTTCAGTGGGTTGCCAGTTGTGAGATGTATACATATTTTATTAAAACAACATATTGTTGGCATTTCCTTTTCAGTTTCTGTTGGCATTTAATGTCTTCTACACTCAATACTTGTTTATTGAGTATTTTCACTTGCATTTACAAGAAATGTGTATAATGGGACATAACTGGAAGGGGGTGAACATACTATATACTATAGCATTATTATTGAACAGTAATCTAATAACAATTAGAATATATTCATAACCATTTTCATTAAAATATTTTTGGTTGATTGTGTAAAACAAATGGAATTAAATAAGAGAATGTTCATCTTGTCTGTTTGAATATTTGTAGTTTACTACAGACCTCCAGTAGGTACTTGAAAATTTCAGAGAATCAGTTACAACATGACTGGACAATTTTTTCCAAACATGTACAGTATGTAATGTAGTGTAAAGAAGTCATTTTGTATAAAGAATAGCTGCCTACAGTATTTTTGATCCAAGATGCACTTCCTTGCAATTCTTAGTTGTGCCCATGTATATTAGATTATTGAGCAAAGTATGTTAATCCTTTACATATGCTGTAGCAGACAAAGGTATTTGGGTAGTTACAAAACCATAAGGAAAGTGATTTTTTTAAATTCCAAATGTTTCATTGAATGATCTTAAAATGACGTTTAAAATTTAAAAACCATCATACTTCAACAAAACATATTTGGACACCCTTGCTTATTTCATACAGTATATTATTAATAGTGTATGACTATTAGATACAATTCTGAATTTTGTGCTATACTTTGACATGCACTACAGCTGGCAGTGATTGTTTGTACTTTGCAGCCAGTTCCAGTATCTTTTTAGAGATTTTCCCTGCTCTTCAATCCATATTTTTTAGTTCTACAGTCGATTTTGGTTTTCTGCTTGCAGTAGCAGCTTTCATGTCAATCCACAACATCTCACTGGAATTCAAGTCTAGGGACGGAGATGGCCTATCTAAATCAGTAATCTTTTTTTGCAGAAATTTCTTTGTAGCCTTCATGGAAAAGGTTAGGGTCATCATCTTTCTGGGAAACAAACTTCCATCCAATAAGATTTCTAGTACTTGGTAGCACATGAGAATGTAAAATGTACTGAGAAGCCTTCATTTATAATTCTACAACACAAAGGAAGAAAAACAAGACCATTGAATTCCACAACCAAAATTCCCAAAACACAGAGCATGAAGAATTTTTCTTTAATTTATTTTCAGATTTCTTTGAAATCATGTTTCCTGATAAAATCTAAAAAAAGTTGTTAAAGTACAGTTTTGGTTTTGTCTGACCTTTAAGTTTTTTTTTTTGCAAAGATCTTACCTTTTTTTATTCAAATGGTCAAACTTTCATACAATTGTTGCTTGTGCATTTCTGGCTCTTTTTCTCCCTTGTCCAAAGTGAATTTTTGACATTAATCTGAGAATCTTACCAGGCTACTCAGATGATGATTTTTCAGAAACCTTGCTCATTAAAAATATTTTGTCTGTAGCTTTATTTATCAGGTTATCTTGCTGTCTGTGCTGTGCAGTACTAGAGTTTCACTCTGTGTATTCCATTAGACCAGAAATCATTCAGATATTTCTCGAATGTACAGACAACTATAATACACCCTACTATAATAATATATTCTTCTCTATAACAACAAATTATGCTTACATTATTTTTTGAGCATATCATTGTCTGTATCATCTGTTACTAATACATTTCTGTTGCATCATCAGTGGTCCATCAAATAAGTTTTGTTTTAGCATCAACAGGAGTTGATGTGTGTGACTTGAGACAAATATTTTTCATTAACTAAGCATTTCATCAGCTTGGTTTCAGGTAGCTACAGTACAAATTGGTGTAGTTTAATTATTTCTGAAAATAATTTCCTACTAATACTGTTCATATCTTAACATGTTTGATACAGTCTATAGTAAATGTGCTGTGATTCATTTTCACTCTGTAGTCTCCTAAATCGACTAGAAGAATCTTTTTTTAATCTGTTTGCATTTTCTTAGACTGTAAGACAGTTAAAGAAGTGTACAACTAAACATTAAAGGGAATATTAATGTGGCCCTTTTATTTGAGGGTGACAAAGAGAAAAGTCAAATCTTGTATTGAATAACTTATTCATCCCACAAAAAATATTGACTCTGTGCATTTTATTATCATTTCTCCCATTCTGTCATTTTTTTATATGTATATTTTTTCTGATTAGTTTTTTTTTTAATCCAATCTACATTATTCTTATTTTATTACTTATACTTGCTGGAACAAAGCAAACATAAAATGTATATTTTTCTTACAGAATAATAGATCATTCCTAACTATAAGGCTACATTAAGCTTTAACTGTTAGCTTTATAAACCAAATGTTGATCCCAATATCTAATAAATTTAAAAATAATGTTATATTTAACAACTTTAACAGATATGTTTGTATTTCAACAGTCATCACAGATAAAGTCAATAAATTCTAATCTCATTCCCCTGTTACAGCACGTGAAACCAGTTTTTCATCAGTGATTCTTTCCTTTTCCCTAGTTATGCGCTGCTGGTTTTCGGCGGGTTAACAGTACGGTGTACAAGGGGCTTTGTGAACCCTGCCAGTGCTTTGGTCACTCAGATCACTGTGATGATTTCACTGGCAAGTGTCTGGTAAGTTTAATTCAATGACCGCCCCACTCTTGCCTGAGTATTAAATCAGTTATTAAATCAGTTTTTAGTCATATTTAACTTTGAAGATATTATCAAAAATATGTAGTTTTTACCTGTTTTGTTTGATAATTATAGCTTTTTTGAATGCTGTAGCCAATGTTTAGAAAGGCCAGCTTTTTTTAAATTATTTTTGCCAGTACAGATTACTCAAATAGTTTTAGTCAGAAAGGTAAGGAGATGTTAAAAATTGTCTATATTGAAAACCAAGACCTAATGAGAGTGTTTACAAAAGAAAAACATTTTCTTATAGGTTCTGATCATGCGCACAACAGCCATTGTTCTGAATTTTTTTTTGCCTCAAGTTTTAGCGACTTCTTCAGGAGGCTTTTGTTTATGTCACAATTTATTTGTGTTCAGAAAAGCTAAGCCTGTTCAGTCCAGCCCTGACAGCTGGCACAACCAAGGATGATTTTTTCCCCGTTTGCCTCTAGGCTGAATCAAGCCTGTCAACAAACTATGTCCAGTCTGTAGACAGGTGAAATCTGCACTGAAGTTGTTTAGTTGTACTTTCTTCCCTCTCCTTCAAACAGGGATTCTAGTGCATTTGTAATGTAGCTCCACAACACGTCCCGAAGAGTACAAACAGTTCTATCACCACACATCTTGTATTATTTTAAATGACTGAAAAGATACATAGCACCATCTGTAAGCAACACCTTACTCCAGGCCTGTACCCAATGTAAAAATTTACCAAGATTGGCAAGTGGTAAAGTTCTTGCAGTCAGATATCATCCCTCCCTTTAAGATATATTCAGTGCTAATAAAACCATTAATGATTTATTTTACTAGAGGTAAGAAACAGTTTAAAAAGCAATTAGCTATAGAGGAACAGGCAGGCATTCAGTAAAGTCTGCCAAGTAGAGGCAGTAATAAAGCCGACGTCCCTGGCTCTGGCCAATCCCATCACAACACTTAACATTTTTTTTCGGTAATCAAGAAATCTTCTACATGTGGGTAATTATGCTGAATAGACATCTGCAATTAACTCAAGAGCGTTTAAGATTTATTAGGCCTGACGAGGCATGTAGCTTAAAAAAACATTTCTCATTTCATTAGCACTGCATTAGCAGAGGTTGGGTTGATGCCAATTCGTGTAAAAATGCATTACTTTTAATTTAGTGACACCGCCTCTCACAATCTCACACTGATTTAGTATTCCTAGTCTAATTTTATGATTTTATGGAAATTAGATGTATAGAATTAAATTATGTAAAATATTGGTTGAATATTGCATTTGTATTAAATTTGCATTATATTTTAGAAATCCCTTTATGCTCACTTTATGTACACTAAATTGACAAAACTTTTTAAAGTTTTTTGAGGCAAAGAAAAAGTCATTTAGAAGATGTTCAACTCAATTTACTGCCATTTTACTGCCTTGTTAATAGAATTGTTTTTTGCTTCTCTCAGTTTATCTTTGAAACGTTTCATTCAAATGAAATATTTGTTATTTGTTAGCAGGTTTTGATAAGTTAAAAACATTTAACAAAGTAACTAACACCTAAATTAAGACAATCAGGACAATAATCAGGGCCACCATCTTGTACCGAGGGCAAGAGAAACATAACAAAAGTAAAGAGTCCATAAGTAAAAGGTGTCTACTGAATCCAGTGAATCGATCAACATCAATACTGTCTTACTAGACATTGTTGTTAGATAGAGGTCTCCACAGCACAGTGCCAGAAACTCTCACATGTATCCACAGGGCTGCAAAGACCACACTACTGGCCCATTCTGCAGTATCTGCAAACCTGGATTTTATGGTGATCCTACAGTGGGAACAACCAACGACTGTCGTCCCTGTGCTTGTCCACTGCAGAGCCCTTCAAATAAGTAAGTTTCCAAGTTATACTGTACTGTGGAATTGGAAATGTCCTTTCAGCTAAACAACCCCTTGTCTTGCCTGTTGGAGCCCACTTTGGCATTGTACAGTATCTCTATTGTCTATATTACCAGCAAGGTGTTAATTATTAACCAATATTTATTTTGTTTATTAATCAATCTAGTTTTTCTGACATTTATTATGCTTTCAGAATAACCAAAGTACAAAATTAACCATTTGTTTTATTTAAGAATCTGTAAAACAGAAATATAGGAAAAGCCTTTATAGATGACATAATGTGTACAACTGAAAAGGTTTTGAAAGTCAATCATTTTAGTGCAATATACTGTAAAAGAGGTTACTTTCTCACAGAAAATAAACAAATTTCTGCTGCTGCTGTTCCTATTTAAAAATGCACCTTCTCATTTCAGGAGGAGTAACATTTTCATTCAGTCTGTATTTCTTCATTATTTCATATATGACAATGATGAGGATGATGGTGATTATTCCTGTTATTTCAAAGTGTTGTTTTATTCTTCCAAATGATACTGTATGTATTACCTTTTAAACAATGCCTGAAGAGTAGATTTTACAGGTTTGTTTGTTGCGCTTTAGTTGAACATGAGAAGGTTTCTTACAATGTTGTTGAAGTTTATCAAGAGTTAGAGGCATACAGTATGTAATCTACAAACATTGTTGTTTGTTAAATCTCAGGAGTTGCTTCAAATAAAAACCATAGCCGTCGTGTCTGCAGCAGTCTGTGACATGCTGCTAGGTGACTTCTAAGCCCTCAAAAAACAATTGCTCCACCAAGGCACTTAATATGGCGAATAATCCCTGACTGACAAAACTGACCGCCAGGCCCTCAGGGAAGCAGCTGAGTATTCCTGTTGTATCTGGGGCTACAGAGTGACAGGCTAAAGAAAGCCCTGTAACAGCATTCCACTGGGATACTGCCATCCAACTCACTATATCCAGTGTCGTCAGAAATAGCTAGCAGTGATTCCAGTGTCTTTCACTTGCAACCTGATCTCCAGTCTATCCCTGGGACCAGTAAGACTCCTCTTGTCCTTTTTACACAGTGATGTTCCTCTTACAGAGCAAGCAGCTATGAAATTAATATATTTATCCCTGCTTTTGTTCTTTGCTCCTGTTTTTGCACAAAACCATCAAAGTTTCAGTCCCACATGCTTTTTGGACACAAAAGGAGAGCTGATATGTGACCAATGTCAAACTGGATACACAGGGCCACGCTGTGACAGGTAAGTGCCCAATCTTGCTCATTGGTATATATTAATATAGAATTTTCTATAATATTAATGTATTATTAATATTAATTTGATAAATATTAATATTACATTTTCTCATGACGTTTTGATGTGCACAACTTCCAAAATGAACTAATTTCTTTCAAGTTAGTTATTTGCAATATTGACCTATTCTTTTTCCTTAGGGAAGCAATGTAAATAATAAAATAAGATTCAATACATACTTTGAATTTTTTAATTAAAAAGAACATTTAAAATTTACAGTACAGACTACAGTATATATTTATTGATACAATTCACAACACAACGATTATAATATATCTACTTAGTCATATTGTGTAGTGTTTCTTGTAGTGTAATCATTTTCAGCATACTGTAGTTTAACTGCTTCCCAGTGTAAATGGTGTCTAGTTTTGAGTGTGAAAACCCAAATATTTGGGCGTAAACCTAGGTCCTACAAAATTATACATATTTTCATAAGAACTGAATGATTTATTACATAGATATGGGTATGACATTTCAAGAAAATGAAACAAATGTAAATACTTGAATTAAAATTATGTTTAGGTCAGTAGGATATAGACAAAGAGTATGATTTGTTATCAGTTTATGTGGGAACTGCTGGCATTGACTTTGTGGCACGTAACACCTCTGGTTTTCAGTTTGTTGGCTATGTGCTTGAAGCTCTTTCAGGCTTTATGTTTTAATAATAATATCACAGGGCATTACCAATTGTTTGTCAAAAATGTTAATAACATGTGGAAACCTGATCCAGTGAAATAAATGCTGGGATGTAAGGAGATAACCTGTTTAATATTTATGAGTATTTGCATTGCCAAGTAATTTATTTCTGGCCCATAAGGAAAATCGACCATTTGATTTTACTGCTATAGTTCTACCTAAAGTTTCCAAAATAATTTTCATCAGAAAAGAATTAGTTTGTGTCCTTTTGCCATAGTGTTTCCAGGAGAGCTGCTTTGCCAGTCATCGGGTTTTATAAGAGCAGATGAAGTCGTGCTGTAAAGGGGTGTGATCTCAGTGTACCACATATGGAAAGGAAGTGGGTTCTGATCAGTTTGTAGATCTCTGTTGCAGATGGAAACAAGTCATAGCACAAATGCTTTCCTACTGGTTTATGTCCCAGGTTAGACGCTATCCTAATAGATCTTGATTGAGTGGCATAGAACCGATGAATATAAACTTTTTAATCTTTAATTTAAATTTGGTTCCAGGCTGGACAAAGAAAGGAGTAATTATATGATAGAGAATTCAAGCATTGAAGGGGGCAGTGACTAAACAAAATTAGTGCCGATTTCAGGTATCATAATTTTATAGACAAGTATTACTTGACATACTGCATATCATTATAGTAACAAATGTCTGAAAAATGAAAATACTGGGATAAATATGATTGTCATTTTTTGTGTGTGTAATAGTGGGAGTAATAAATAGATCTCTGAACAGGTTTATTTGGAGATTTAACATGCATATCCCATGTGTGAGAGTCTAGGCCATCCAGTAAAGGAATATAAACTACTTTTGACAATAAGCAGGGCAGATAGAAATAGATTCTTAATCCAAAGAGTGATGAAGTCCATCCATACTATGTGAGAGCATTTGTCTAAAGTACTATCCATGAATGGAAGACTCAAAATGTTTGATTGCAACCACATTTTTAAGTAAAGTTGAAATCTGAAATCACATTGGATACATGCTTCACATTGCTAGGATTTGCATTATAAATGTACCTGTACTGTATATAGTTTACCCATCTTTAGGTGTATATTTCTAGTAGTCTGTAATTTGAGAGTATTGGTTATTTATAAAAAAAAAATATCCAGCAATAAGATTATCACTCATGTTCCTAAATCTGATTGATTCTACTCTTCGTGTGCCAGTGTCTTTCAATTATAATATAACAGTGTTTGAAAATTAAGTTGGAAATGATTATCTGAAAAGAAGAGCAAAATATAGTTTTAAGGTTGAGTGTTTAAGCGTACATAAAGTCATAAGTTTCTAGAACAATCTGCTGGTGAAATCGAAAAGTAATCACTCAAGAAATAAACTGTCAAGGTTTATTATCTATGATAATTCTATTGCATGGATTCTGACTCATAAATGCATTTATTTAACCTTTTTTCTTTAATTTGACCTTAAATGTTAAACTGTTTGCAGTCTGCAGTAATCGAATCTTCAGGAAAAGTAACTCTTTCCCACAATGTTGAAGAATGCTATTTAAACAAATGCTATTTAAATAAACAAAGCCACACAGGTGCAGGGATAGAACAATGAAATATATATACTGTAAAAGATAGAGTATTTTATATATTATTATATTGTATATATATATCTTATATATTGTATTGCTGTATGATTGCACACTAAAGCTTTTTTTTTAATAGTGACATCAATGCAACAAGGACAAAATAGCTCCAAGTTTGTTATCCTGGGAACTCTCTCATAGTGTCCAAATTGGGCCATTTTCTAAACTAGATTTTGTTTTTTTTAAATATATTAAAAATTAAAAGTGTTGTTTCCACAAGGCAAAGTGCTTTAGCGCTGTAATGTTATGGTTTATTATTTCATGCTCATTTGCAAGATTGTCACATGGATTAATAATTATGTAAATATTGCCATGCACTTGTTACAGAGTGCTTCAATCAAATGTCTGTATACTGCAGCACCCTAAAGCAACTGAGCAATGAGTGATGAATATTTTAGGTTATTTAAACAAAATATATATATATACATCTGCTTCATGGCATGTTTAACTGTAGTTTGATAATATTTGTCTTTAATTTAGTAAATATCGTGTTTGAAAAATGTTTTTATTTCATTTTTATATTACCTTTTGTCTGCACCTTGGGCAGGAGACACATGTTCGCCACGCAAAAAATATGACTTCTTGTCATATTTCTTATTTTGTTTAGTGCAGTATCAGCTGAAGAAGACTGTCCTAGCTAAATTCAATTTCCATGGATGACAGTGTAAAGGATTAGGTTAATACAGTTTTTCATTCTATGGGGTCACATAACAAAACATTGCACACAAACATAAAAAGCTGAAAAGAATAAGAATTTTGGATTTCTCTCATGCAAATGATTAACTTGACCGCATCAGAGGGAGGTGGCTTCCTTTTTCTAATGTTGCCAGCTTGTTGAACTCTTTGAGATCAAAGTTGTGCCTGAGGCACATATTGCTGGCTTGCTCTGTAATACTAATTTGAAAAAATTCTGAAGAACTGGTTGAGAATTCCTTTATAAAGGTGGGCCTGATGATGATTATAACAGATAGGGACCAAAGATGAGAGAATACACTGGGTTCTGTCATCGGAAATAGGTGGAAAAGCAGATTTCACTAGACAAGGGGTAGGTGATCACAAAGGTACTACCTATTTACTGCACAATGAACAAGTTGTTGATAGAGAGACAAAAGAGGACATGGTTGTGGTATTAGTAACAGAGCTATTAAGTCACCAAGGGAGTGCATATCTTAGACTGTAAATTAAAAATGGTTGGTATTTTGCAGCTTGCTGTTATCTACCTAGGTTGATGACTTCCCAGAGCTAATGAACAGATGTACTGTATGGCCAGCCAAATTAATTGCAGTTGTCGTGGTCTTTATTTCAAATAAGAACATTGGTATTTTGCATCTAGGACTTTGTAAGACATTTTTTAAAAATATGTTTTTTAAATACTGCTTAAACATACGCACATTTTTAAAATCCTATTGAAGATAATAGGTATGAAGCTTTTAGCTCCTGTTTTGAAACAGTGGGATTTGTCACGGGTTACAGACAGACAAAAGAAAACATATAAAGGTGAACCAAGAATATACAGTATAATGTATTAGCATTGCAGCACTAAATGCAAGTTACTCACTGAGGTTCAGGAGGGATAACAACTGCAAGTGAGTCTCACACAGATGTTGCAAATCACCATCATCACAGACATTAGCTATATGCAGTTATTCACACAAGCACATCCCTTTGTTGGGGGCGGAGCGGTGGCTCGGTGGCTCAGGATCTGCACCTGTGGCTGGAAGATTGCCAGTTCAAATCCCGTGGCCGGCAGAGGAATCGTACTCTGTTGGGCCCCTGAGCAAGGGCCTTAACCCCAACTACTCCAGGGTTGCTATATAAATGGCCCTGTGCTCTGACCCCAAGTTACTCTCTCTGTCTGTGTGTCTCATAGAGAGCAAGTTGGGGTGTGCAAGAAGACAAAAAAGAAGAAATTGTATTTGGCTAATAAAGTGATCTTATCTTATCTTCGAATTCTCATTCCCAATCTCAAGTGTCCCTCCTTCACCCCATCTCCACCTTGCAGCTGCCCCCTGGTCCACGCCTCTCTGAATGGGCTTCATGCCTCCTCATCTTATGTCCAGGAGGCTACCCATTAACCAAATGGGTTAAGCCAAACCTATCGTATCAACTAATCCAAATGTTGACAAAGCATCCAATTCCTGGATGTTATTATTCCTAGTGAAATGTGCCTCAAGATTAAATTATTATATTGATGCACCAAGTGGAGGTAAAATGTAACGAGGTCAGGGGTATGCAACCTCATTTGGATGCGCCATACTGGTGCTTGGTTCTTAGTTGATCTCAGCAGTTAAGCTGTGTGAAAAGCCCTGCGAGTCAGAATGTGCTTTTAGGATTGTGCATTGATCCACTGGAAGAACTGCTGCAAAGAATGTTCTCATAGTAGACTGAGATCACGTTAGTGGTGTTTCTACTAGCAATTTGTACAGGTACCCCAGAGTCCTAGCTGAATGAAACTAGCATGAAGTTTCTCTGGTAAATGCCTGAAAGCTGGACTGGCCTTGAAATGCATTGTGATAGATGGTGACGTTCAGTCTTGCACAGGAGACTGGAGGACCTTTACTACATTCTGAAAACTCAACACTGTTTCATACAGTAGATAAAATACCTATTTCACACAGCAGCCAAGCTGGTGTTACCAGCTACACTACCTTACTACTGGTAAACACGTTCGATATGTCTACTGGTGAATCTCAGTAGTCCTAGAAAATGGTTGCTTATTAATTTCACAGTCGATTTTTAATTCAAATTAACACAGCTGATTCTGGCTATTGTTTTAACTGCCAGGCTAATTTATCCAGTAGAACATGAAACATAAACAATGCCTGGAAACATTTCACTAAGATGAAGCATTATGTCCAAAAAAGCATAGATTCTTTAGGAATCAGTTTAAAACCTGAATCACAATCTCACTGTTTACAAGACCTAAGACAGTTCTTATGACTGTTCTGCCCATGTGTCTGTTATCAGTTTAAGCTTTTGATGTTATTATAAGTTATCTTAAATTTATCTCTGTGGTTTTGTGCTTTACAGTAGAGTTTTATTTAATCTTTGCTTTGACATATACATTTTTTATGTACATTTTTACTTAGATTTCTACATTTTAAGGGATGTCTATTGCTGTCTAGGAATGGTAAGAATCCACCTATTTATAATGGAGACTAGCACTTGGTTTTAAATATCGCTGCTCGTCAGTGTTGGCAAGGATAGTCTTTTCCTGTCTACCTCAGTTGGCTCTGCAGTTGGGAGTCAGGTTATTGAGAACAGAAATAAATCAGTTTGCACAGTGGAGTTAAGAATAGGCTGTTGAGCAATGTTTTACTTGAACTACTATGCTGTACATCATGATAATCTGTGCTTTCAGTCTGTTGTTAGTGGTATTTTTCATTGTTACTGTAAAGTTTATTGTACTGATGGGGGGATACATAGATATGAATGATTAAACCATATTAATTACTTCTTGCTGTTTCACAATGCTGAGGGGACTGGAAAAATCCAAAGCTTTTTTATTTAATCAAAGTTAGCTGCCCAAGTTAGCTGTTGAGTTATTAGGGCTCATCAGCACAACATAGTTAACTTTAACTAGTAAAAAGCCCACATACAGTACATCAAGAATGATCATACTTCACAATATATTTAAAGGCTGAAAATAAATTCATCCCTAAAACTAATAAGACCAGGTCTAGGAAACAATGACCTAAATGGTTTAATAAAGAGATTAAGAAAAAAAAATATCAGAAGGAAGAACACTATACAGGCTTTGTAAAATGCTTCAAAAATCAAAAATATAAAAAGAGCTTCTTGAATGTCTTGTATCTCGATATTGAAATGATAATCACATGTTAAACAAACTTTACAGACCTCTTTAATCACGAAAACAGGCCTAGTCAAGGTTGTTAATGATTTTCTAATAGCTTCAGACTGAAGAGCTCTCTGTCTTACTTCTGTTGAACTTCAGTGTCACATTTGATATTGTGAATCATAATATTCTTACTCTGCTGGAGAGTGTACTCACCATTTCTAGTACTGCCCTTAGCTGCTTTATCTCCTTGATTGAAAGCATTTTGTCTCTATGGGTAGGTTCAAGCCAGCCACTGGCCTTGCCCTGCTCTGGTATCCCCTTTTCCATTGAGAGAAAATTATTTTCATTATATAGAAAAATGTAACTCCTCTTGGCTAAATTGTTCAGTAAAATAGTGTGGATTTAGACTATTATGCCAATGGCGCTAAGATTTGGAAGTTGCTTTGAGCTCCTGAATTGTGTAGCTGATGTTAAAGAAGTGCAACAAAACGTTCTTTATCTGAGTAATGATGAGACTGAAGTCATGCTACTAGGCTGTCTACATCAGACACTAAAATTAAAAAGTCAAATTATGCCAATAGGTGGTTCTTCTACTGAAAAGAAATCCAGGAGTTATTTTTCTCCATGTTTTTTTGAGTCACTTATCCAACACCTGACCAATCTTCCTTGTTTAGTTATTGGGTTTGGCGAGGATCAAGACAGGAACACAGGCTCTCGTTAAATGAGAACACAGCGTTTTTTTTTAATAATGGGACGTGCACAGCAACCACAACAGAGGGAGAGGGAGAGAAATTGAACTGAATTGAGAAAGAGAGGCAAACAGGGTACAACACACTGGGTACAGTTAGACTGTCATAGGGTGGTAATTGGTACAAGTACTGTATAAAAGGGGTGCAAAATCAGGGAAACTATTGATGTAAGTCCGGGTGATCTTACAATCGTGTACAGCGGCTCCACAGTGGGTCAGCCGCACTGGCCAGCGGCTCTCCTAGTCCCTGCCCTGGCCACCACTACTCCCTTCTGTCCCCTCGCCGCGTACCCCAGCCAGGCGCTCTTCGGCCGCAACGCCAGGCGAGGGCACTACATTATGATCAAAGTACAGTACATTACAGTTACTCTGTTATGAAAGGTGCTATATAAAACACAAAAATATGTTTATTGCTGCAAAATATACTACTGTATAATGTATTAAGACGAATAAGGCATCAACACAATGGAAAACATTTAAAATAATTTTGGAAATACCTACAGTACTTATGCTGATGCACTTTGGGATATTTTTATTCTGAAATGTTTTCGAGGACATTGTATTTTAAGTAATAAAATAAATAATGATGTCTGCTGGGGACGTGAAATTTAAATGACTCATTTTCAGAAAGCCACAATTTTGTATAGATAATCACATTTGTTATATCACCACAAACACCCCAAAATGATTATAAAATATCTAATCCAAAAATACTTTTAAAAGAATCCCGTTCTAGAAAAGAGCAGGTATTATAAAAAATCTTGACAGATCATTTAGTTAGAAGACATACTTTTGCACAGTATTTTCATTAGTTCAGTTCTTCGCCTTAGCACTTTCATGAAGGACCAAATAAAATTACAGACACGTAAGTATTGTTTCAATCCCATACATCATTTCTACATAAGACCAGGCACAGACAGATCAAAATCATTAAAATCGTTAGCATATTCAATTAATAAATCTCTGGCCCCTGACAATATGTTTTCTGCACAAAATGAAATTATTTTTTTCTCCATTTATTATCATGCAGATGTGAAACCGATTGTAGCTGAGTATTGCAGAATCCATTTAACAGGAAAAATATGAGTTAGATCGCAAAGATTTTTTAGTGTTTTTTAAAATAAATAAGGAGAAAACAGGATCAAAATGATTAGAGAGTCATCTTAAGAAAAATAAATAGCTGGTCAGATTAATCATCTTCTGTATTTGTACAATTCGTGTTTTTATATTTTGGCTCTTTTTTCCCTTTCGAATTATAATGTACAAATAACTTATGCTTTTGTTTCCAAAAGGGAGCACAAAGTAATTTTAGTTTTTGGCTACACATAATAAAATTTGCACAGATGGTTAATACTACAATGTTTTAATAATGAACATGGTCCTTTGACACTTAAAAAAATAAACTGGCAGTTGTTTTCAGTAACATATGGTAAACAATTCAGGCACTGCTTTGAAAAAAAAAACATTTTCATTTTGCAAAATCTGGTAGAGAGAAAACTATTGTTTAACTGTTTTACCACCATTACGAATTTGTTTTCTATGTCCAGTCCGTAGGCAATTACTAATGCTGTGATTTTTTTATTTTTTTCCTCCTGTCACACGCAACATCATTAATCGTTAATTTTTTCCCCTTTTCTTTTTGTTTCTGTGCTTCTTGTTTTACTTTGAAACCTCAGGTGCTCCAGTGGTTACTATGGCCGCCCAGATGAACCAGGAGGCTCCTGTCAGCCTTGCCTCTGCAATGGCAATCTGGATTTATCAGACGCGAGAAGCTGTGATCCCCTGACTGGTGCTTGTCTGACCTGCAGGGAGGGATTCGGCGGGGAGTATTGTGAGAGATGTTCTGAAGGATACTTTGGGGATGCTATTATAGCCAAAAACTGTCAAGGTGAGTATCTGTAAATTGACTCATTCACCTTCAGCGCTGTAGAGTGGTGTGAAAAAGTACGTACCACCCCTTACACCTTTCTTTTGATCCGGGCCTGATGTGTTGCCACATGCCTTTTGACCAAAGTGACAAAGATTCAGATTTGATGTCCAGGTGGATTCTCTTCCCCGTGATCTATTGGCACGTGTTTTGGTTCACTTGATTCTACAGTCCCGATTGCTTGAGATGGTGGAATTAAGGTTGCACTTACTTTTCACACAAAGATATAGAATGATTTTTTTATTGGCATTTAAAAAAAATGAATTATTTTTATTTATTGGCTGATTTTTTAAACAAGAAGAATTTTGTCTGCTAAATGTCAAATGAGGTTAGTTTTGTTAACCGTTAGGACTTGGTGAGGACTAGTTCAGGTTAAATACAGTACAGGTATGTCTAAATATGCTAAACTAGAAACATTTAAGGGGGGTGTAATCACCCAGTGTACACTTGTATCATAAAGAGCTCTTCTTCCTCCAGAAAGAATATAATTGTTTACCTTAAAGCAGTTATATCTGACATCAGCTGGATTATCTGTTGTTTGTTGGAAGTACTTACAGTAGTAATCTGAACTTCATTTCTGTTATTAACCTTGTAGAATACTGAATAACATTGTTTCGTATGTAGCCAATCAGTTTAAATGTTGATCATTCAGTTCACTGCAAAACCAGATTCCTTATTACCAAAATAGTGCTGAACTGTGCTGTTGTAGGTAACAAGCAGACATGGATTTATAATAACATGACAGATCCCATTAATTAAACTGCCTTGCTGTCATAAAAGTTTTTTCCTTTTCTGTTCTTTTTAAAAGTTTTGGCTACAGGAGGACAGAAATAGTTTTTTTTTTCAAATATGAATTTAATATAAAGTGATGTATTCTATTAACAACATGGTGGATACTCCTATTACTTAGAGTACTCTTTCTTCAATTATTTAGAGAAAAAAAATCTTTGTAGTTTAAAATACAAGTAGTTCAACTAGTAAGGCTCTTTTTCAAAACTTTTCAAAGCAGGCGGAAAATCAGTTAGAAACTAACTTTACACAAAGGGGAGAGAGAGAGAACCCATATGGTGGTCTATTTATAGTGTAGAAATAATTACTTTTCAAAATCTGATGATAATTGATGTTTTAATTACTCAATGAATTATGAAAAAATATGTATTTTGATTGCCCTGTGCGGATGAATAGTTTTAGTTTTTTTTAATGTTTTTCCACTTTCACTCTGTAGCCTGTCAATGCCACAGCAATGGTTCAGTGTCTGAGATTTGCGACCCACAGACGGGGCAGTGCGAGTGCAGACAGCACGTGGTTGGGAGGCAGTGTGATGAATGCATGGTGAGTTACAGTGGATTTACCCGCTAGATTGTGATTAGAATAGATTAACTTTCCCTCACAGTGTGTGGATACATGTACCTAGCACATCTTCCAGTGTTTTAAAGGATGAAGAATAACTAGCACTTTCGTTTTAATCTCGATTACGAAATCATCGATTCAACACGCTCATTCAGATGTGTTGCAAAGCTGGTAGAAAATTTACATTTGGGCTAGACTTTTAAGTCAGAACTTTACCAGCTGGAATATGGAAGGGTGAGAGGCATACTGGCTGTGAAAAAAATAAACCATTTCAAATGACTGTACTGTACATGAATTACATCGAAAGATGTGTAAAACCTTAAAAGCCAGGTAATAAGTTGGCCCAGAATGATCTTTTTCTATAAACATCTGAAAGATGAGGAATTGTTAAGTTTTTAATGTTCCTTCCCATGGTTTTACTGATTTGCCTTCTTTTCCACTCTGTGAACTGTGAAGCCCAACTGTTGGTGGGACCCCGAAAAGCTGGTTTGTATGCCCTGCAGCTGCAGCTCTGTGGGGTCCATGTCTTCGCGCTGTGATTTGATGGGGAGGTGTATCTGTAAGCCTGGCTTCGTTGGGAAGCGCTGTGATCTCAGGAGGCAGAGCTATGGGCGCAGGGAGACCCGCCGTCCCGTCCTCCAGGTGCCGTTTGAACAGGCACAGCGCTGGGGGTCGAGCAGGACAGGGGGGTGTCCGCGGGGGGCCTACCGGCCCTCCAGTCCCCCTGGCCAAGGGGTAATTACACCGCATGCACGTGTGGGCTGAAGCAACCTGTGACATGACAGTGGGTGTTTGCATCCCTAAATGAGTTTGGTTTTGGTTTTTAACAGTTTGACTTGGATGTCATGAACACTAATGACTGAACCCCCCCCAAAACAAAATGCAACAAAATCAACTAAATAGCTTTTTTTTGTAAATATCAGCATGGACAGAAATTATCTAAATATTATGAAGCATACTGATATAAAAGGGGAGAGTTATAAAAGTCTGAAATAGGCAGGCTGTTCAATCGGTAACGATCAGGTCCTAACGCCAGCTTGCTATACAAGAACTACATGAATAGTTTCACTCCCTAAAGTCAGGGATTCTCATATTGTGCTGTGCAACTCTGATGATGGAGTATTAATCAGGCCCAAAGACAGACAAGGCAAATATTTATTAACAATAATTATAATAACTATACATGTACAACTACTGTTTAGAGAGATATAGTATGTACAGTGCAATAAGTAGGTTTCAGAGTCCAGCCTTATAAAATAATTAACTAAAACACTCTAACAGGCCGTAGAGAATCTGCATCCTAATACCAAAATGTATCCCAACCAGTATTAAATCTACCTCTCTAGACAGACGCTCACAAGTGAACAGGAAACAATTACCCTAATCTATACAAAAGGCATCACTAAGCTGGGAGAGAAATTTTACTCTTCTGATTCCATAATACAGGAACTCAGAATTCCTCAACAAGTAAGTAAATTATTTGGGTTGCTTTTGATCATCGGTATCATCCTCCATGTTCACTGGCCTTCTGGCCCAGCTGCTGTAGGTAAATATAACAATACCCATCAGTCCAAACATTCAGAGTTAGGCAATCAGCCTGGGAGGAGCAAACGAATCCGGCTGAAACTTCCCGTGTCGCCCAGGAGCAAAAAGTATACATTCTCAGAAATTACTTAAAACTTAATATACGCATGTAAAGAACTGCACTTTACATTAGTTTATTATTATTAGTTTATGCACAGAGAAACTAGTGGAGTGGAGAATAATGTAATCCATAGGTCTTATTCTTTACCTTTTTATTCCTGAACAGCTAAAGCTATTCTTTATAGTAGACTGTAGACATGTTTCTTTTAGTGTGATGGCAGCCTGCTGTGCTCTTCTTTTGCTAGAAAAGCTACACAACCGCGGAGGAGGTGTCTGTTGCTTGATAAATGAACTTCGGGTTCATGCATCTTAAATAACTGCCATGGCGCTTGGACAGCTTCCTCTTCAGTGTCTGCAGCACTGGATCATTCTGAAAGAAATGTCAGCTATCTCTCTGCATGCAAAGACTTTAGTGAATCTGGAGATTACAGTGAAAATAACAGTGTTATTGTCTCTGCAGTCTCCCTGTACAAGGTACAGATAAAAAAATGTTTAAATAGTTTAGCCCATGGAATTATGAATATTAAGCTGATTATTTTGAATATCCTGACCACATGCTTCTTTGAACACTATTCTGATCACAGTGCAAACAGACTTAAGCCCTGTACCATATAAACATGAAATATTTACAAGAAATGATATTCTAAAGGCATTCTTGCACTGATATAAATCTCATAATCATAACACTAAATTTCAATGTGTTCCATAACTGACATATTTGCCTTAGCAATTCTTATAACTAAATAATGGGACCACAAAATACCTTAATTTGTTAGGATCAGTTGGTCACGAGAAAAAAGGATAGGACCCTATGCAATGCTAGCCGGAGATTGAGGAGAGAAAACAAAGACTAAGTGGAACAGAAGCAGGGTTTTCTTAGCCAAGTCGCGTAGTCAATATGTGTGGTCGATAGCAAGCCGAGACGGTGGGTTTCTTTAGACGGAGGAGTCACAGAAAGGGTAGCTCAATGAAGGAACTCAGTGCCGAGCGTGGGTGTGCAGGTGAGCAGCCCTTAAGTAGTGGGTTGTCGGGAGGCATGGTGCAGGGTGAGGGACGGGGTTGGATCATGAAGTTGTGTGTCGGCGTTTGCGGGAAATAGTCTGGGCTTGTGTCTGATGTGAGGTCCATGACAGAATTAAGCAAGTGAAAGCAGGTTTATATACAGTAGTGGTGCAATCAGAACGTTATATAACGTACAGTGACTGAACACACTATTATCTTTTATCACAAACCCCAATCAAAAGTAATCTTTAAATGAACTAGAGTATAAATCAGTCCAGAAATAGTATAATAGTAGTAGAATAAAGATTGTTAAAATGGAATAGTGGAGAGCCAAGCTTGCAATAATGTGTTAGACAAAATCAGAGACCTTATAATATTTTATTTATAAAGTACTGCTATTAACCTGTGTTAATGATCTCTGTGTTAATAACACTCTAGTCAAAAAGTTCCATTTTTAATGAATTCTGCAGTTCTTACAACCACTTGTATGCTTTATTTATAATTATCCTACCATCAATATTAATAGTCCTGTTAATGCCTAAATTACTGTTGTGAAGCAGGTTTTAGGTGTTTCTCATTTCTCAATGCATGATTTTAATGACATCAGTGTTTTGGCATTGGGTTATAAGTCAAACCTAATGAAAATCACTATCATACTGTAACTGCAGTGAAATGTGGACAAATAAATTGTTTGCCACACAGCCATAAATACATTTAAGTTTGTAAATTAGCTGGATGCACAGGACTTTTTGGGTTATAACAAAATCTATTTTAAACAGTAAACCACAACAGCCACTAAAGGTAAAGATCCATTGTTTGAGTGTACTGTATCCCAGTGCAATCTTTGTCTTCAAGTGTAAAAGATAATTATGAGGCACAGTTGGCTTCTTTCATAATCAAATTCTTGCTGGACCATCTGTGATATGATTTGATTCTTCTGCCATTTATCAGTGTTTTTATGTGGCTTTATTGATGCGCTGCATGCTGCATGAGATTGTTGAAAATTACAGTTATAGTATTCAAGTTTTGTCACTGCTTGAGACACTATATTAAATTATTTTTGGAAATTACATTTTTAAATAAAATAGTTAAGAACATTATATTGTTAACAAGACTATGTAATAATTTAAATTCTTGATACTTATTGGGAGTTTAGCTTTACATCAGTGGTGACTTGGTTCTTCAGGAAAATCAATTATTCACTCTCTATAGTATCTTAACTGATGCATATGAATAGAAAATGAAAAATCAATTCTTAATGTCCAACTATACACAATAAGTACCAAATCAAAAAACAATACTTGAATCCAAATATCTAAATTCTAATTACTGTCACTTACTCCTCAGCCAATTTATCAATCCTGATTTTGTACTTTTTGAAAACCTATCATACAGTTTGAAATTGAACTCACTAGAATTCTTAGATTCTTCTGGTCAGGTTTTCATTATCTCCTCCATCCTGTCTCACCCTTTCTGGGATGTCACGCAAAGAACTTCGAGATGCTACAAATAGCCCAGAACTGAATCTTTTAAACCCGGAGAGTGATTCAATGTTCTTGTGATTTTTCCAGCCCACTACCTTTGATCTGCAGCCCTCTAGGGGATGTGTACCCTGTAACTGCAACTCCTTCGGTTCCAAATCCTTTGACTGCGACGAGGGCGGTCAGTGTAGGTGCCAGCCAGGAGTGATGGGACAAAAATGTGATCGCTGTGCCACTGGGTACTACCACTTCCAGGAGGGCGGCTGTATACGTATGCATTTCTCTTTCATTCTCGGCTCACAGGGGTTCATTAACAAAACATCAAAACATTACATGAATCTGGAAATTAACAAAGCGCTAGCTACAAAAAGCTATTTTCTAATGTGAAAACTTCTGGCAGACCTAGTATGCTCAGTTTAAGCATAGTACTGTACACCTGATTCATGAAAAAAAACAGATCTTCTTGCATTCGGTTTAGAAAATCCTCAATGTTTATCTCTGTGCTCTGTATTGACAAGTGCAATAATAGTCATGTCTTACAGTCAAGCCTCAGAAGGAAATTCATTAAAGAAATGAAAGATGTTAAAGAAACAGAAGTCTTAGAACTGACATACCTGTAGAGCTGTAATATTTCCTCTTTTCGAGTAACATTTTGGCTTCCTTGCCTCCACACAGCATGCCAATGTCCACATGTTGGTAACAACTGTGACTCAAACACTGGCCAGTGTATCTGTCCCCCAAACACTGTGGGTGAGAGGTGTGACAGGTGTGCTCCAAATTACTGGGGTCACGATATCGTCAGTGGGTGTAAGGTGAGGTTTTTTTACTTTCTTTTTCATATAGATATTTTCTCATAGCTTGTAAAAAAAAACTCAACATCACTGAGGAACCAGATAAGTTGATGGCCTATCACTTTTTCTGTCCTACCTCAAATTTTCTTATAAGGTTGTTAGCTTTTTAGTTTTTTTGTTCAATTCAGAACAGTTTTTCCCTTTACTCATTGAAATTACAATTTGAATTAGCAAAACCTATGTTAAAATACTGTAGCACTCTCTGGTTGACATGGGTATGCACCCTCGCCACTGCCACCTCAGGCCCACTGCTGGGGACTCAAACCCAGGCCTCCGGCATCAATCAACAGGGACCCAGCCTCTCGAGCCAAAGGGAAATCTCCCCTCAGCCCGGCGGCTGCGGCCCCTGCTATTCACAGGGAAGGGCAGTGACGTCACCGCGTTGGTAAACCGATTGCACAACCTGCTATGTCAGCTGTGTGCATTACAATACTACAGTATGTTTTAATGTTAACAGTAACATTTGAAGGCTGGACTAATGGATTTAAATTTATTTATGTAAGGAAGTGAGAGATGCCTTCTTTACAGTTCCTTCCTTTGCAGTTCTGCTGTTCTTATTACCTCATAAATTTTTATTTTTCACTATCTAATTGAGTTTTACTTTTAATAAAATACTGAAAACCTCCTCCTTTCAGTATTTTAATAGTTTTAAATCCAATGAATAATTGGAAGTTAATGTGCTAACAGCTAATGCAGAGTTTTATTCTTGATATAAATGCAAAGTTAAAAGGCCTTACCAGCTGAAGGTTAATGAAAAGTTAATTAAACAGGTACAGGAATTTCCAAGGAAATGTTTAAACAATTACCATATCTGCCTGAAATTTAACAATATGTTAAAAGTCATTTTATTTTCCATGTCCCTTTCTCCACTAATGTATTATGTTTTTTTAACGCACATAGAATATTAATACATTATAAAAATTAGGTTTTAATATTTTTTAAATCCTGCTTTTTTACAGCAGTAAATACAAGCCAATAAATAACTGAGAAAATGTTTTTTTGCATTTTAATATAATGTTATTTTTAGTCTGGTGTCTAAGTTTTCCTTTTTTACACACACACAAAAAAAAACATTCTGACAAATTATAGGAATAAGTTTCCTTTTGTTGTAAAAAGCTTACATGGAAAAGCACCATCTGCACTACAAAGATTTGATATTATTAACATTAAATAGCATACGTTCCTCTTTGTTTCTTTCAGCCTTGCAACTGTAACCTAGTGGGGTCCCTGACCCTGCAGTGCAACCCCGATACTGGCTGCTGCTTCTGTCGTGAGCAGTTCACTGGGGAGAAGTGCTCTGAGTGCAGGCTGGGCTACAGAGATTTCCCACAGTGCACTGCCTGCGACTGCTCCATGGCCGGCACAGCTCCTCAAAGCTGCGACGCAGAAATGGAATTGTGCTCTTGTACCGACAGGACTGGACAGTGCAGCTGCAAGGTACTGTACAGTACGTAACATGGCTCAGTGGCACCGAGCCTGTTGATAGATGTGACGTCACCGGCTAGAAATGTAGACCTTGTCGAATTCTCCCATGGCAACTGACCCCATCTTTTGGTGTAGCAGAGTTCTCCTCTGTCTAGAAAGTGACCTTGAGTGGCCTGGAACCCCAGACAGTTCTATCCACCCATCCATTTTCTAACCACTTCACCCAGTTCAGGGTTACAGGGGAGCTGGAGCCTATCCCGGCAAGCAACAGGCGCGATTTGGGATACACCCAGGACGGGATGCCCACCTGTCGCGGGGCAGACAGATGCAAACACAGACACCCACATACTCACACTGGGGCCATTTTCCCCAGAAGCCACTTAACCTACCAGAATGTCTTTGGACTGTGGGACGAAACAAGAGCACACAGAGGAAACCCCTTGAAATATGGGGAGAGCATAAAAACGTCACATACTGCAGACAGCACCCCAGGTCAGTAATTGAACCCAGGGCCCCAGTGCTGTGAGTTAGCAGTGGTAATGACTGTCAAGAGAGTTGACTAGTTGAATTCTAGCAGGACAGAGCAGAGGCGCACACGTCACACAGGTGTCATGACTCGGCTTTCATAGGCTGATGCCTGTCACTCACTAATGTTGCTGAGGAGAAGAAGGATGAGAATAAGGTGCATCAATTTATTGTAACTGCATTATGTAATTTTTACTTAACATTAAAATATAAAATTTTTGTACTGTAGGTAATTATTTTTGTGGTTCATTCATGTGATTATGATGTTCAATTTATTGTATTGTATTGAAAATGTATTGAAAAGCTTTACTGCAATGCAGTACCAGCAATATTGTAAAATGTAGAGATGCATGTACTGTCATAGAATTGAATATTGCGAAAGTAATAATTACATACAGAGCTATGTTTTACATAAAATGTATATGTACTGTAAATACATGTACTCCACAGTGTACATACAACAAAATTATAAGGTAATTACAGTGTATTAACACTTACCTGTAATCTGCCCTATTTTGAAGTGTATCGGAATATATAGCCGCACATATATAGGCTCCCCTGTAAAGGTTTTTTGCTATGTGACTGAATGAAACATTTTTATGTGAAAAGTGCAGTACTGTATAGTAAAACAGAAGAAAGAAGGCTTTCAGAAGGCTCCCCAGCCAAAACATTGTATTTTCTTTCTTCTTTTTTTCAGCATGGAATAAGCCTATTACTTGTTCCAATGGTGTATAATGGTGTTGACCTCACAGAAAGAGAAAGACTCAGATCATACCATGTTAAAAACAAACATTGCTTCAAAACACTTAATTGTTTTGATCCCTTCTTTAATTGACAATAATACATTGAACAGCAAACAAAGAGACATTATTTTCTTCAGATGGCTTAATACAGTAATACAATCAAATAACCATTATCATAATTACCTGTATGAATGTAATGGTACAGTATGTTCTACACTTACCCAATCTTGGGAAGTCAACATTTTCATCTTGCATACAAAATATGATAATTTTATTAATCTATTGAAGCCACACACCTATTGCTTCACATGTAATGCAGGAAAGTAACTAACCTTAAACTGGCATGCTTTTATAAGAATCTCCACCTATATAGTTATTTATGTGTTTTGACATCTTCATCTGTAAAATAGCTGGTTTATAGTAAATCAGAAATAAAAGCTTTATCAAAAACATTTTGAAGACACTATAGAATAATCTAAATTTAACCGATTATGTAAAAAATGTTTTAAAAAATCTGAAAGAATGCAAGAGAACATTTAGTAATATATATATCTAAATACCATATTTATACAGCAACTAAAGACAATCAAACACTACATCATAAGATAACGCTTCATTTTACTATAGTTGCATGTAAAAGAAACATTGACTTGACCTAGTTTTCAAACCTAAGTCTCCACCACGCTGAGAAACTCTGAAGTTAGTTCTGGTGTCATATATGCTGTCAGGTGCCAAAATAATTTTGGTATAGCAATATGTTTATTGATTAATCATTGTGTGCAGTTAGGCATGAAAAACCCAATCTAGAGGTAGCTGTCAGAATGACGAACAGGGTATCTTTAGAACTGACTCAGGAGTCAGAAAGAGAGAAGATGAAAAACAAACATGTCGCTTCGGGAGAATGCATCTACAGTGAGCCTCCCTCTTTGCCTGCTCTGGGGACAGTCACACACCTATTGCAGCTGTCCATTCTAGACCGGGGTGCATTTTTGGAAACCATTACAATCACTAATAACTGTCATATAGTGGGAATAATGGCCAGGTGCTTGCTAAGTCGGAATTGCAGTCCTTCCACACAGCAGGTTTCTCTAGCATGACACATTTGTGGTTCTTTATTGGCAGCGCTGTATAGTATTCGTGAAAAAAATACCCCACTCACTTTTGAGTCTACGTGGGTGTGCTGGATAGAAATAGACTTGACATGGGCAATACATTCAAATTACAGAAATCTTTAACTCCTTGACTTTGACAGTGGGGTGACATTTTGACAATCTGCCAAGCAGCCTGCAATTATGACTAGTGATGGCTTTTACTTTCTTTTAAAAAAGAAAATCTTATTTCTACCGAACCTACCTTAAAATAAAATCCCCACTTACCTGAGCATTTCTGCAATGGAAGAATATTTCCTCTCCTGAAAAATCTGTTCATGTGTTATACTGTGCCTGGTCTTTTTAAAAGTTTATTTTATAGATTTAATATATTTTTATGAAGCTGAAATGTTATTATTGAAGAGTGTATTGCCATCATGTTTCCTTCATATTTAATGATGGTTCTCTGTATTTTAAGATCTTTTTCCAGTTTTTAGAAAACCGGATATCAAAGCTTTTACATTTTCTGGAAGATACTATATGTATACTTGTTAAAATATGAAATTTTCACCCAGATGAATTGCAGCCTATTTCTAAGGGTTTGTATGATTTGTGTGATTATGTTGCGTCTCAGTGGAATACACCTACTCAGGAGTAACAGTGCGCAAGCAGAAGGTTTTGTGTGACTTTACCAGTGGTGTAAACCTGTCTCCCTCCTCAATGCTGTCTCAACATTAACTGACACCTTCACCAACACAACCTCTGTCAGGCTCTGCACACAACGTTTTCAACAAAACCTCCTCTTGGAAGAAGAGCAACAGTTTTGCTCACAGAAACCTGTTACTCTTTCCTGCTTTTCCACTGGTGCCCCTGAGTAGCGAGGACAGTTTGGCATGGTTTCAGGTGGTTTTCCGTTGGCTGTTTTGTGGAGCTAAGTGAGAGCTAATTCATTTTGGTTTAGCCTTACAATCTCACAGTATCCAGCTCTATAGTAAACTTGCCAGAGGATGGGATTAACATCTTTGGGTTTCATTTTGCTTCGGTTAGTATTCAATGAAGGGAGTATTCAGAATTGCTGTACACTAGGGGGAAAAAAATTAACAGTGTTCTGTTCAAAAATATTTTTTGTAATATAATTTTGCACATTCTAGTTTTCAAGAACAAAAACAGAATCTTCAATCTTGAATGAAAAGGTAATTTTAGTTATAAACTATAGTTCTGCATGTCGTGCTTGGTTTAGTTAATCTTTTGGAATAGGTTATGTCTTCTGAGGCAAATAGCATGTGATACCATGTATCACAGTTTAGGTAGAACAATGGATCAATATCTGGGCCTCACTAGCCAAGCTCAAATACATTTTGGCATTGGCTTGGATCGGGTGCACCACTGGAAAAAGAGATTCTGCAACCTCTTAGACTAGATTAGATTTCACATATATTGTTAAGTAATCACATGCCCCTGCATATACTAGACTGTTTTACCTTTTGCTGTTTTCATTTAAAATGGTACAGATTGAGTCATGTTGAAAAGTCATGTTGTATGTTCAAACTATGTTGTGCCTCAGAGCAAAGCCCCCCAACATGCAAGCAGGAAAGCCCATCGTTTTAAGATTGTAATTCTTTCATTCTTTTTTACATTTATAGCTTACTATGTGATACTGTTTCAGGACCCCATTTGCATTAGAGCCCATAAAGAGTTGCATAAAGAACATAAAGAACCCGACAGTATTGGATAGTCCATACTGTGTATTTTGAACATGCTGTAATTCAAAGGTAAAATCCTGAACATTAATTGCAGCCTATTGTCTCACCATGTATACAGGCAAATGTGGAGGGGCTTCACTGTGACAGATGTAGGACAGGCACTTTTGGACTAAGCACAAGAAACCCACTGGGCTGCAGCAACTGCTACTGCTTTGGCTTGACTACTAAGTGCACAGAAGCCAAGGGACTTATTCGTATGTGGGTGAGTACAAAACTGCTGAAGTGTATAATGTGATAATGTCATTTCCAGCAGGGTCCTATTAGTCACTTGAAGTGAGGTAATTGGGAAGATTGATTGATTTATATAGCTTTGTTGTTTGACATATGCTGAATACAGTATTTTATTCCATTCCACCTGCAGCAGATCTGTAGGAGTTTTTAATGCATTTGCTATTTTAAAAAAGTTTTGTGGATCTAATGATCTTTCATTTTGTCTTTCAACCACACAAGGTTGTGTTTTATCTTTTCTTGCCGTATAATTATATTAGCTATAGTGGATATAATTTTTGTTTTTTAATCCTTTTCCTCACTTCTTAACTAATCCTTACAAAGGTTCATTCTGATCAGAAGACACCATTGTGTGATGTGAAGCAAGCAAATTTTTTGTACATTTGCTTTGCAAGGCACTAACCAATACTCTAGGGTCCATGTCATATTGCAGGAATTATGGAACAATTCAGAACTTCTAAACTTTAATAATTCAATATACAAAGGAAAGAAATGCAAGAGATATATCACGGTATTTGCCTTTATCCATTTTGGATTTCTGAATGGAAAAGGGTAAATACAAAAAGCGAAAGAGATCCTTGGTCCTCATTCCTATTGTGATTAAGTACATTGGCCCATTTATTTGCCAATGAAAATCAGTGCTGTATCAATTTAGGGAGGCACTAGAGCAAAAAAAGAAAGATTGTGTATATTGGCTGGTAGGCAGCCATCTGAAGATGTGTTCTCATTTGCTTTTAATAAGAATTGCCAGCTAGAAGAAAGACTAAAAAAACACTACTGTACCTCACTCTCAGCAGCGTGTCCATGGAGACCATGTCTGAGTATCTTTACAGAGCGCTGAGAAACCTTTTTTTTCTATAAATGGAAACAACAAATTAAATAAAGAACACACATTGAAGCTAATCAAATGTTGTTTACTTCAAGAAAAAGTGATTTTAGCATCTGTGACTTCATTTATTGAAGTTTGGGGGATATTCTCTAATTTACTGAATCATGAGATTGCATATAGTGAGAAGAGTCCACTATAGAGAGCTCCCTATCATACAGCTCACTGTTGGGATTATTTCTCATCCCTTTTGGTTGTGCTTGTGAGTGGGAATATGTTTTTTTAATTACTTTTGGGATCTTAACAATTCATAAATGTATATATGGTAATTAGTTAGTATTACGGTATGTAAGGTAGAAAAAGTTTTATTCATCTAAAGTTATTTTTAAATTGACAGCATGGACATCCGTGAGATATGACTACATTAATCGCATAAACTTCATATTTAAAATATGAATATTGGTTTCATATTGATCCTGGTGTGATATTTACGTAGATTGTGAGTGTAATTTTTTAGAAAAAGTATAGTACAGTACTCATACTGTACTATAGTTATGTTAGATATATTATTACTTCATTATATTAAAGCTACTTCTGATTTATATTGCAATGTGTAGCTGACACTCAAACCAGACCAGATGGTGCTTCCTCTTGTGGACAAGGAAAATCAGCAAACAACCACCTCTGGAGTGACCTTCCAGCACCCTGAGATTGTGGCCAATGCAGACACCGTGTCCAGGGAGCTTTCTGAACCTTATTATTGGAAACTGCCCAAGCAATTCCAGGGATCAATGGTTAAAACCCTTTGTCTATTGCTATACGGTCTTAAATGTTAATAAAATCAAATAGATCTGTAAATGAATTTGTAATTTTGAATAAAGAACACAGTTACTGAGTTTTTAGTTTAGAGTTAAACTGTTAAACTGTTTCATATTATTAATTAAATTAAATAAATTCATATTTAATTTCAGTGATCTAGGTAAATCTCACCTGAGACACCAAACAGTCTCTGTTCAATCTCTTCAGATTAATTTTGAAAAGCAATAACTATGTATTTCAAAAGTTAGTTCAGTACCCATCAACATTTTTTTAAACTATAAATCACTTTTGTGGATCGATGCATTTAGAAGTAAAACAAGTTAAAAAACACAATGGATAATGTTTTTTCTAACACCTGTATCTGGATATTATAATACTACTGTATTTCTTCCAGATTACCGCCTATGGTGGCAAGCTCAAATATGCAATTTACTATGAGGCAAGAGATGAGACTGGACGCTCGACCTATGAGCCCCAGGTGATCATAAGAGGTGGTCCCAAGAAGGACAAAGTGATCGTGCTCCACATGCCTGCCTTGCAAATTGGCCAATTAACCCGGCATGAGATAGACATGACAGAGGTAAGGCTGCGGGAAAGGCATCAACAAAAACACGAGCCTAGATGTCAGTGTCTCATGGTGTACGGTTTGGTTTCCCCTTGTTTCTTTTCAGCACAACTGGAAGGACTATGATAGTGCTGGGAGAAGCATAACCCGAGAGGCCTTCATGGACGTTCTGTTCCACATCGAGTACATTCTGATCAAGGCCTCTCATGGAAACTTGATGAGACAAAGCAGGTAGTTAAGCTGCGTGCGAGAAATTAAAGTTTTTCGTTTTTAGTTATTTTTTTATTTTGCTTGATCAATATAGGCAGCAAAGTAGATTCCAGTTTGACAAGACAATATTTTTATACAGAAATAAATTATTCTGTTTTTCTATTCTCTTATTATTATTCTGTCTCTTTTTATAAATAACATCTTTTAAACCTGTATGTTTAGGATATTAGTTCTGTGACCGTCAGATTATGATAAATTACTAGCTGGTATTGTTATGGTTTTTTGGTTGTGGTTGATTAGGTGCCTTTAAGGTCTGAACAGTATTTTCAATTATTTAATGTAGTGCAAGATGGAAGTTGAAATACGGTATATCACACCAGATCTTTTTTGAATTACACAATGTTTACAGTTAAGCTGTGTATTTTCAAATAAGAGCCCACAGGATGAGAAATTACAGTGCCTGTAGCATACTAAGGGAAATACCTATAGAATGATGTGTAAAATGAACTCTGTTTACCGTCCAGAATCTCTGAGATTTCTCTGGAGGTAGCTGAAGAAGGTGAAATCTCCATTGAGAGTGAACGTGCTCACCAAATAGAGAAGTGTGAATGTCCTCCTGGTTATTCTGGATTTTCCTGTGAGGTAAGAAATGCACTTAATACTGATTAAACAGGATCACAGCATGAGAGCACAACTCTAGATTGAAAATGTTGTTGGCCGAGCTAATTCTACTGTTTCGGCCTAAGGAATACCACACAATAGAAAGAGAAACAGATCTGCTCTCTGATTTATTATTGCAGCACAAAGGAGTAGTTTCATTAGTAATATATTATTAAAGCTGGAGAGCTTTTTAGTATCCATTACTTTATAAAGAATGCCTTTCCATAGTCTGAAAACCACTTCATTTTTACTATTTTGCAATAAAAATGAATTTTCATATATTAATCCATTTACTGTTTTAGAATAATCAATGTTTCAGACAAAGGTATAATGAATGAGCACAGGGATACCACTGTCAGATTTCATTTTAAACAATCTCCGGCAGTTCTCTCAAACTGTTTATTGAAGCCTGAAAAAACTAAACTGCTTCATCTCATATACAGTACATGTGGGACTGTGAGGGAGCCTGTGTGTGTCTATCACAGCAAGCAATGGGCACAAGGCAGGGGGCACCCTGGACAGGACAGCAGTCCATTGCAGGGCTGACACACAAACACAGACACGCACACACTCATACCAAGGAATAATATTCCCAGAAGCTGATCCACAGCGGAGGAAACCCATGCAAACACGGAGAGGAGATACAAACCCCACACAGATACTGTAGCACCCCAGGAACAGAGCCCAGGGGCCAGGTGCTATAAGGCAGCTATGCTAACAAATGCATCAAATGTAATTGCAGACTGTTTGATTTTAAAAACGTACATTGAAATTGTAATTTATTATGTGCTGAAATAATACAAAATGTTTAATCGAGAAAATGCTTTTAATACTGATTTGGTTTAATAACAGAGAAGGAGTGAAGGAAAAAACTAAGTCACCTGGGTTCGACGAACACAGCTAAAGTATCAAATCATGCATTATTTGCTTGAATTCACAGTTCAAAATTCTAGTTAAAAAAAACCACCACACCTTTTGTTTTTTCATTCCATTTTGGTTTTAAAATACTGTACTCATCTACTTGCTTATTTGTACCATTTTAGACTGTGGTAATTATGCAACCTGCTGGATATTTGCCCTCCAGGAAAAAAGCTGTGCTCCACTGTTCAGCCAGCTGCCTGTGTTCTTATATACATTGTGTAAATAAATAATGGACAAATTCCTAAAGCTGCTTTGAAAGCTAACTTAAAACTAATGCTGCTTTATTTGGCCTTATAAGTTAATTGCATACCTACAGTAGGTGAATTGCAGGTTTAATTGAAATTAGTAATAGTAATACAGCACTGTCTCACATGAAGAAAAACATAGTGCTATGAAGGGCTTGGGCCTGGATGTTTAAATCCCAGTAAACTCTGTATGGACTGGCTTCAGTGCAGCATCTTTAAAGCCAAGCCCTCAGACGATACCGTATTTGAAACAGGATGCAGCCACAGGGTGTTGTGCTTTAATTTGGCAGGAGTGTGCTGCAGGGTACTACCGTTCCTCTGCTAGAGCGAGTGACAGAATGTCGAGATCCAGCCTTGGGAGCTGTGTTCAGTGTCAGTGCAGCGGCCACAGTGACACCTGTGACCCTGAAACCTCTGTCTGTCAGGTATTGTTCTTATTCTTCGCTTGCTTGCATTTTCATCAGCGAGCACCAGCATCTCTCGTTTCTAAATGTAAATTCAAATCAGAAGATCTTTTTGCCTTGTGTGAAATAAGTCACCGTTTGTCACCCAGTCGATCTGATTCCCAAGGGATCCCAGTGTTTTCACAGCGTCATTATTTCATCGTTGAACAAAGCATCTGGCTGGGTGAAAATACAACAGTGAATGTACAGTATCAGCTGTTGAACTCAATTTTCACAGTATTTGTTTGAATAAAACTCAATTTGTATTTGTTTTAATAAAACTTTTGCATAATTTCACAAGCCATGTAAATACAAAATACCTAAATATACGAATATTTTTGTAACAATATGACTTAACAAGATATACAATATACAGGACGTTAATGAAAGCACTGTCACTGAGTGCGGGGAAACAATATCTTCCTTCCAGGAAGCATCTGCTGTACACTGTAGCATGTTAACAGGGTGATTTGCAAATAATGTTGATGCAGAACAAGAGATGCTTGTAGTTTTATCTACCAAATATAATTGTAACATCTCAAAATTGCAAGTTGGAATAAGAGAATGCCGTTAGTGTTTTGTTAGATTTTGTTTAGAGATACAAAATCGGGCAACATTTGCAGCTGAATGTTCTGTGCACTATCCCTCTAATGGGTAGGTTTAGTTAAAACTTGGAATCACCTAGACCTAGTTAGTGTGAAGCACACGCAAGTGAAGGGTTCTGGTTTCTCTGTAGAGCTGTCAGCACCACACAACAGGCGACCGCTGTGAGGTCTGTGCTCCAGGGTTCTATGGGATAGTTCGAGGATTTCCTGATGACTGCCATCCTTGTGCCTGCCCGCTGTCTGCTCCCGAAAACAAGTACACCTCATCTTTCTTGATTGTCTGGGAGTTTTAATTTCTGGTGAGGGCGCGGGAGGGTGAACTCATGTTTATTTTCCTTCAGTTTCAGTCCAACCTGTGTAATGGAGGGGTTTAATGATTACCGGTGCACTGCCTGTCCTCTTGGATATGAAGGAAAGCACTGTGAGAGGTAAGAGTCTATAGGAAAACCTTGTTACTGGAAAGGAGAGTCATGCAATTTTCTGAGAATTGAAATCATCTGAATAATTAAGCTGTTTTTGTTCTATAGCGAAGTATTCTTTCCCAGAAATCGAACCCAGCAACCATCGCATCACTGTGCTGCCCGTTTGCACTTTTGATCTGGTTTACAAAACATTTTCTTCTCACAGGTGTTCCCCTGGTTTCCACGGTAACCCCCAGAGTCCCGGAGGCTCTTGTCAGGAATGTAAGTGTGACCCGGTCGGCACTTTGCCAGAGCCGTGTGACCCACTCACCGGACAGTGCCGGTGCAGACCAGGAGCCACCGGACTGACCTGTGACCGATGCATGAAGCGGCATGTGTGTGATGCTGTGGGGATCATCTGTACGTATACTAACCAGACATACATGGTTCCTTATACTGTCTCAATATTAATGTCAGTAAATCTTCATACTACCAGCTAATTGTTAAAGTAAGCTTTCTATTAGAACCTAAAGAACCTCATGGGCTATCAGAAGAAAAGGTTAGAATGAAAAACTACATATTACAGTCACTTTTATTCTCATGAGTATTATTGAAATATACCCTTAAAACTCAGGATATAAATAGTCTTTATTGTATTGTATTATTAAAGGGTATTAGTGTAGAGTTGTGCAGCAGGTCCAATAAATGCAGTGATAGAGCCAGAGCCTTTAGGAGGATATACTGTATAGTTTCTATGGATTTCTCAGGACATGGCACATCGTATGGTTTTCTCAACTCTCTTTAATGACTGATCGTAGTTTCATAGGCAAGTCACACAATTTAAACCAGTGTTTTATTAATTAAAACATTTTAAGATTTTCTATTAATACATTTTCTTCTAAAATTATTTTGGAGCAGTCTGAATTTTTATTCTGTTCAAAAATAGTGTAAGTTTATTATAAACGTGTGGATAATGAATAAAGATTTTGTCAATATTTTGTCATTGATTACCTTTAAGCAGTAATGAATGCCTAATATATGCTTTATGATTTTCAGTTGAAAAATGCTATTTTTTCCAGCTGTAAAGAACAAATGTGTGCCTTATACCATACAACTTATATAAAATGCAGCTTTGCCATAATGTTAGTATATACTGCATTCACTTAGGGATGTCAGTAAACAGTTAAACTATATGTTTTTCTTCATAATTCAGTGAACTGTGCCCATCTGGAGACCAAATATGTGCAAGGACTTGGTTAAACTGTTTTTTAACATGATAAATTCAGACTACCATATTTTATCTGGCTTATCATTTTTCCACTTTATTGTAAGCTATAAAAGAAGACAGATAAAAACAAACTTAGAAAAAGCCTCTAAATCACCCCGAGAAGTTAAGCTACCGCACAGTGTCATCTTTGTAAATGCTGGGGACACATCTAGTTTATTTACTGCTTTTAAGTCATCAGAGGCAGGTTTTAAAAACTAATAAAGAACAAGATCTGCCTCATATAAAAACACATTTTTAAGTATCTTATGCTTAAACAGATTGAGATTTTTATTGCTTGAATATATTTTATGTCCAGCAGTTATTCTTGATGTACTCTAAACTCTTAATGATAGGGGGTTTCTTGTACAACAGGTGGTTAGACTATTACTGTGATGAAGTTTCCATGACACGTTGTAAAATTGTAGGTCTTGTTTATGCCTGAATTATACCTGTGTGCTTCTAACCATGACTAGAATATGCAATATATGCACTTCTGACTTTCAGATAAAATGGAGCTTTGTAATTGCATTCAGTCGCAATCTTTACGAGAGGATTCTTATGTGACAGTATGAAAGCTTGATTTCAATCAGTTGTACTAACCAGCATTGCTGTCTCACAGTGCAGGGGCCCTGGGTTCAATCTGGACCTGGGGTGCATGGAGTTTGTACCTTTTCCCCATGTTCATGTGGCTTTCCTCCAGGTGCTCCGTGTTTGTCCCACAGTTCCAAAGATATACTAGTAGGTTAATTGGCTTCTGGGAAAATTGGCCCTCGTGTGAGAGTGTGCATGGCTGTGTCTGTGTACACTGCATTGGGCTGGCATCCCATCCAGCGTGTACCCTACTTTGTGCCTGTGGCTTGCTGGGACAGGCTCCAGCCCCCCCAGGGGGCTTCATTGGATAAAGTGGTCAGAAAATAGATGTACATTATGTTCAGTACTAACCAGCTTCTGATGATGAATTTGGTCAAATCAAATGTTTCACTACAAAGTATTGGAACTGAAGAAATATAATAACTTAGTTTCTGAGGTAGTATACGTTCAGGAATGACATTTATTACATTTGGAGTTATTCCCAAGTGGGGTACTCTCATCTCGGGATGCATGATTTTAGGGCATATGAAAAAGAGAAAGAATCAAGTATTAATAAAATCCCTGCTATCAAAACTATCACCGTATTGCATAGTAAGTATTTATAGTAATACCTTAACTTATAGACATGTGAAACTTTATTATGAAAACAATGCCTTAAAATTCTGCTAATAAAAATTAGTAAGCCCACTATTTTGAATGGATAATGGATAATGCATAATCTTATTGGAGAAATGGACCATTTTTTTTTCAATCTCTTTACAAGGATTGAAAGACTCTGGAGTTGGATGAGCGCTCTGTTTTCATGGAGCTTCTTTGAGAACCTACATTGCTCTACCTCCAGAGGCAAGCCAGTCACAAGCATTGCTAGCCACACACTCAAACAGACCCACAGAGCAGGCGACCTGGCACCACCAGATACACAAGCTGCATCCCAGCAGGAGGTACCAGGATATACTCTATGGCGTTCATGTGTGGTATTGACAGGGGAGGACACAACTTGACAAGAGAACATAAGACAAATGACAGCACTAACAAAATCAAAGATAATCATTTACAGTCAATCCCTCAGACCTTAGTAATACCCTCAAACTGTATGTTTGTCCAGACGCTAGATGAAATTTAATATCCAGTCCTAGCATAGTATGTACATAGGAACAAGTAATAGGTTTATTCCATGCTGAAAAAAAGAAGAAAGAGAACACAACGTTTCGGCCGTGGAGCCTTCTTCAGGTGTGAGAGAGACAGGGCAGTAGGCAAAGGTAAAGTAGTGGGAGAACACCTGAAGAAGGCTCCACGGCCGAAACGTTGTGTTCTCTTTCTTCTTTTTTTCAGCATGGAATAAACCTATTACTTGTTCCTTTGCAGCCTACGCTTGCTGACGCAGCTACCCACCTGAACTAGTATGTACATATATGCATTGGAAGGCGTTTGGTTTGGGTGTTTCTGCATCTCCTATATAATCAGATTTTAAAATTATATCTCCTATTGTAATATTCATAAAGTAAACACTTCTTGCAAATTACTGATGACTGATAAAGCACATCCCTGTTTTTCCTTTTATTAATAATATGCTATCGCTGTCTTAAATATGTAAGATTCTTTTTGCACTTTTTCTTCCAATAACATCAGCAACATGTTCATTCTACCACTTGCTCATTCTATGGAAATGGTCACAGGCAAAGAAACACTGTTCGGAGAACCTCGTATGGTTAAAGCTCTGCAATTAGACATTACTATTCGTCTTGGAACATGTGTACTTTTCATGCAAATATATTTCACATTAGGGAAAACGTAAAGCCTCTTCCTGTTTGTATGTATCCCAGGGATTGTAGAGTGATAAGGTTATCCTATTACATGGAGTGTGCAATGCAAACAAATACACTTTTATTCATGATAAGTGTATTGGCGAAGGTGTCCACAGTGTCATTTATTAGCTTCTTGTTGATCTATGTATTTGCTCTGCAACTGAAACGAAAAAGAGACAGGAAAGAGGCGTCCATGTTTAATTATTAAAACATTAGCATTTTTAGTTACTTGTTATGTAATTTTCTCTACTTAGTGACGTCATTTAAATTGCCCCTCAGCTAAATACACAATTGGGCACGTATTACAAATCACAATTTTAGATATCTGGCTGTTAGGAACATGATTCTTCTATGTACATGGTTCCTTGGTCACCAGATTGGTACATTGGATTCATAGAATTACCACCAACTGGAATGAAGTGACCATACAAGAAACATTTTAAATACTGACACCTAAGAGGTTACAGTGTATACAGTAGATGTCATTATTACAAGATAGCCAGCCAAGCTGTTTTTTTCTCACACATTTACTAGAAGGGGCACTTTTTATTGTTAAGTTTGGAAATGGGGGATTTCACATAGAGTGCCCTCTCAACATGTTGGACAAGTCAAAACCAGTTTAATTTTTCCTCTACAATCAAGCAATTATGAAAGTAATATGAGTGTTATGTAAACTATGATATTAATGTACAGCATCCACCTGGTTGATGCAACAGCAACCAAAGTGCACAAGTACGCTCACCAGCTGTCAGTGGGGAGGAGAACAGAGTAATTAAGCCAATTCTTATATGGGGATTATTAGGAAACCATGATTGGTAAAGGCCAAAAAATAGGAAATTGGGCCAGGATGCTAGGATAAGACCCCTACTCTTTTCGAGAAATGCCCTGGGATTTTTAATGACCACAGAGAGTCAGTTTCACATCTCATCCAAAGGATGGTGCCTTTTTTACAGTATAGTGTCCCTTCACTATACTGGGGGATTAGGACAGACATAGACTGCAGGGTGAGTGCCCCCTACTGGCCCCAATAACACCTCTTCCAGCAGCAACCTTTAAGATTTAGATACTGTATTTATTACACTTTATGTTCTATCCATATTCTGATTTACAATGTTTCAGTTTCTATGAAGAGAACTAATACTGTAACTTTGAATGTATGCACGCAAATGTGTCCATGCAGTAGGTTTGAATTTACTTAGTTCATCACCAGCATTTTTTATTTTTTTAACAAGCTAAGCATTGCACGAGAATGGATACACAGTGAACATCTTATTCTTCATTTTGTATATGCTACTGTATATTCAAATAGCTTGCCTGTTTATTTAGTTTATGATATATAAACGTTATTATATTTATGATATAATATATACCGTATAGTCTGATATTTTAAACTTTGTATATACTGAACACCCATGCAAAAGCTTTACTGTAGCCTTCTATATTACATAAGTGCACATGACAGGCTGCAGATAAAAGAAAGCCATTTGGCCCATCTAGTTAATTTGGTTCTTAGTAGCTAATTGATCTTATCCAACTGTTTTTTGAAAGAAGCCAAGGTACTGGCTTCAACAACATGACTGGGCAGCTTATTCCAGACTCCCACAACCTTTTATATAAATCTGTACCTCCTGTTTGCAGCTTTTAAATGCACTCCCCTGTAGTTTAGTATTGCTGCTCTTTACAAAATAATGAGTGCCTATGAAGAACAGAAATACACAGTTTTCACTCATTACAAATCACACTGGGAATAAGGTCTTCTTTTGCTGGTCCTGTTTAATCTTAAACAACCTTCAAATACTTGAGCTTTTAATGTTCAAAAGGAGAAGTATTAGCTTAAGGTTTTGTTAAAAAGGGTATTTTTTCATTTGTGATGTTCAGTTATTTTGATTAATAGATAATTAGTTCAGTAACTTATTTGTCTGTTATTTTTCATCATTAAAATATATAGTGAAGTCCTTAAAATAAAACACCATGGCTAACCTTGCATTGTTTTGTCTTTATATTAGCTTGTGATGATGACTGTACAGGACTTCTTCTAAATGACTTAGATAACCTTGGAAGAATGGTTATGAGTGTAAACCTTACTGGCCCCCTACCTCCACCGTACAAAATTCTTTACAGATTTGAAAATATGACACAGGAGTTAAAGGTAAAGTGTTCTAACAAAGAAATATATGTAGTTTGAATTATTTTATTTGTTTTGATTTTTTGTGATTATTTTTCTATTGAAGCAGAAAAAAGTCCAAAATGTGTACTGTTATTACATAAATATAGATTGAAAATATTTTTAATTGTCTTTAAAATTGCTTGCAATTACATTTTCTAAGTCTAATTGCTCAAATACTGTAATCTGTCAAGTGCTTTAAACATGTTTTCTTGTCACTTTCAAATTATTAAAAGCCCAGCTCTTCCACCTGAGGGGTTTTTGGACAGCTGTTTGTATATTTTACTTTATATACAGTATAATTATTTTTTCTTTTTAATCATGCTGTACATGTATGTTTCTTATTTGTTAATTGATTCATGTGGTGTTAAATGAATTGTGTTATGTCATTTACCTACCTGCAATGCAAATTTCCCATCTGGGACAATAAAGGAAGAAAGTGTACCAGGTAGATCACTCAAACCATCAGGAGCTAAGAACTTAGAAGAAATATTTCCACAGAGCTGTGAAATGTTCTTGGCAAAGACTATATACATTGATAAATACAGTATAATTGAAGCAGTAAGATAGGTGGAAAGTAAGCAGAGAGACTTTTACATTTTAAGATCCGAGTTTCACTAAACCCAAAAAGCATGATTACACATTACAATCTTTTTCTTTTGCAGTATTTGCTATCACCCCAAAGAGCACCAGAGAGACTACTCCAGCTGGCTGACAGTAATCTGGAAACACTGGTTACAGAGATGGATGAGCTTTTAAGCCGGGTAAGTCAAAAATACTTTGATGTCCATTTCTAGCCTCACCTGGAAACTCTCAATGGGAGATCATTTGGTTGGTATGATGGTGTAGGAGTCTTTTAGAGCTCCCACTCCTCTTGTGTCTGTTATCTCCCTCATCTGCGTCTTTCATTTCATCTGTGTTTGTGATCCATCGCCAAGAGGTGGCAAAGACACAGAAACCGGTGCTCCTTCAACAAATAAGAAGAAAATGAAAGAGTTTTGATTGTCCTGAAAGGGTAAATATAACTTCTCTGCTGGATCACTCAAGAAGGGAGCAGGAAGCACAACCTCTGAAATCTAAAAGAGCAGTGGTGAGCTCACCGATTTGTCGTGATACAGTAGCTAAGGACTTAATCTCTCAGATCTTGAAACTGGATTTGTCATGGATGATCAACAGGATTGCGTACACAGCGAAACTGATGCGAAACACAGCGAAGCTCCAGAACCACATGATGGCTGAACTGGAGGATGACACTTGAGTGTGATGATCTTAACGGAATTGTGAAAAAAAAACAACCCTTGTGTGGTTTCCAAGTGTGAAGCTCCTACAGTATATACTGTATATGGGAATCACTCTAGAGGCCTATACAAGCCCCGGGTATTTATCTCCAGACCTCTCTTCTTCCCTGAGAGACAGGACTGTTTGGAAGAATGCAGGAAACCTGGCCTTGTTCACTCAATGTGTTTTTTATCTGGATTTACTGTTCAGCAGAGCCCAACAGACATACGCCTGAGTTCACTAATGAGGAAGTCACAAAGTATAGCAGGCATCCAGTCTCTTATGCTTTACTCTACAGTGCCTAAAGCTCCTTCATGGTGGTTGAGAGTGTCTGTTTACCTATGCAAGGGAATGTCTACCGAGCTCCAATGGAGTAGTAGAAAAAACACAGTTTTCTTCTTTCTCTTTTGAATGATTCTAGTATATTGTTAATATATTAATATAAATTTATCACCTTTCTTTTTTTGTGTATGTCTGCCACATCCCTCCATTCAGATTGCCTTTTGATTGCGTAGGATCAGCATAGTTGATTTAGTCCATCTAGGCCTTTTAGTTGAAAATTATCATTGGAAACTGAGATGTTATTTGAACTTTTTTTTTCAGGGTTATTATTCTATAAAATGAATCTCTGTGTATGATACAGTGTATAGTTTATATACTGTACATGCATTTTTCATAAATAAATAATTTTTCTATTCTATTTCTCATTATCCTCTTGCTGATGGGATTTCTTGTAATGATATACAGTGTTAGACTGTAATGGGAGGGGAGATTGTCTATGTTTGTGTCATGATGGTACAGAATAAGAGTCATAGATTTGACAAGGAGAGGGGTTTAGGAGCAAAGGGATTGTAGCTTGTTGCTGTCCTTTTCCTATTTTTTTTATTCCTTTTATTGGTGGAGACAGGGACAGTGATTACGTAACAAAGAAAAGGTCTGGAATGTCATTTCCATGAATTTGTATGTTTTGTAAATCACTTAATAAATATGACCAATTCTAATACTTTTTGGTGATTTTCTAGTCGATGTTACTAAATGCACAGAAACCATATAATATGTATATCCTGTCTATTAAAGGAAGAAGCAGAGGTGATGATAAAGCAGAGAACAGTAATCTTGTACTGTCCTGTTCTGCACGTTTTTATTTCTGCTTTTCACACATTTAAAACTAATAATAAAAACATAGAATGGACACACAGTGGCACAATTTTTAGCTTCTGAAACTAACAGGCTTAGCTTGGTCTTAATTCATACCTTGTGTGTTTTATGGTGATGAAACCGCGTACAGGGAAGAAGTAGAAACGCTAACAGCATGGTCTCAGGACAACAACCTCTCTCTGAACACCAGTAAAACTACGGAGCTGATCGTGGACTACAGGAAGCATTGAGTAACAGACCATGCACCCATTCACATCAGCGGGTCCACAGTGGAGAGAGCCAACAGTTTCAAATTCCTGGGTGTCAACATCACAGACAATCTAACCTGGACCCACCTATTCTTTCTCTGCAGTTCAGCATGCCATCAAACATCCTTAAAATCCTTACGATTTTTACAGGTGCACCACTGAAAGCATCCTAACTGGCTGCATCACTGCCTGGTATGGTAACTACTTCTCCCGAGAGTGCAAGGTACTCTAGAAGGTGGTAAAACTGGCTTAAAACACTACCAACTGTGTACTACCATACATCGAGGATATCTACTCTATTAGATGCCTCAAGAAGGCCAGGTCTATCCTCAGGAACCCCAGTCACCCTAATCACAGCTTGTTCTCTCTACTACCATCCGGAAAACAATACCAAAGTATACAGACCAAGACCACCAGGTTTCATAACAGCTTCTTCCCCCAGGTTGTAAGACTGCTAAACAGCCAACCACTGCAGACCCCTACAATTACTCAAACGGCCGCTGGTGAATAGACAACCTCCTTGAACTGACAGGTGCACCGGCGCCCTCCTGTCACTTGCACTCTCAGGACACATACGAAGAGCGCTAAATACCTCCTATCCTCGTGTTACTTTGGCACAATCTGTAAATTGTATTGTAAATTGCAATTTATTGTATCCTAATTTTAATCTAATCTCTATAAATTCCTGTCCTTCTGCTCTTCTATCCCTCTTAACGAGCTCGGGGACAACACCGCTGTACACTGTACTGTTTATGCATTGATAAATAAACCTTGATTGATTGATTGTTTTATTATTGTAGAGGAGTTAATTATATAGAAACAAGTTTTGAAAATGTTGAATATATGCATAATTGTAAATACATTTATCATTCCACTTTGTGGAGTGTACCATAGCTGTTGAAAATGATACCTAAACTAAAGAATAGTCTGAAGATAGCTATTCAAAATGTTGTCATTGAAATTTAAAAAAGTGCAAATTTCAAAATGACATACAGTATAGCGCAAAGGGACTCAGTCTAACTAATGTTGATTTAACTAACCTTTTGTTTTAAGTGTGTAAACCTTGGTGTACAAATTGAACATTAAACCTATCTTTTAAAAAGCATCATTCTAGTAACATCCTAGATGTTTAAGTAGTTGATAATAAATTCTTTAGCATGATGACAAAGCTACTCATGTCTCAACAAACCTAAAGTAACAAGTAACAAGTGCTGAAGGACTTTGCTTATTCTATATGTTCACTGTATGAAATAACAAAACTGAAATGTTATACAAAGCATCATAGCAACATTTGCTCAAACATAAAAAGATTAATTTAATTGAACCCATCTGCTCAATATTTTCCTTTAAGACTTCTTGTAGATTTAACATTGTTTGCCTTTGAACTGATTACAGAGCAGCAGCATACATTTTGCAGTATGGTGACCACATTTGTATAAATTTAACAAAATAAGGACTTCAACAGTAAAATGAGAAAGACGCTTACTTTCTGCTCCATGCCAATTTATTACAAACTATCAATGTTGTATCACAGAAGAGCCTACATCAGGAACTTCTCTGAAGTTCAAGCATTGATAACATGTACTGTACATTAGAATGGAGTACAGTATTTTTGGTGTGTATTTCTTTCCATTTTTCCAAATGAGGTCCTACCAATACTTTCTATAGTTTAAATGAAACATCATTTTAACTATGCTCTTTTCACTCTATATCTTCAACATGTTTTTTTATGGATTTCTTTCATCGTCTTATTGAGGACAATGATACAGGACAATGATACAGTACGTCTAAATCAACTCCTCTTTTAATCAGCAATGTGCTCAAGATATATTTTTCCTATTTTATGTCTTTAATGGATGTTCTTCCTACCTTCATGAAATTTCCTTTTATATTTTCCTTTAATGGTGACATGCCGTTACTGATTGTGGAGGGTCACCATTTGGGACCAGGTTAAGCACTAGGTGATAAAGAGTGTTCGGTGCTCCTATTTATGTGTAATATAGTGTACAAGTTAGACATGTCTGTTAGATAAACTAGAATATAGATAATGTTATATGAATAAGAAAGATCTACTCATTACTTTAGTCTAATTAGCATTCTCTCCCCTTATTATAATATTCTGTGTTCTGTCCATTAGCCAGTTCTGAGGTCATGCATAAACATCGCCTTGGATTCCTATGGTTTTTAACATGAAATGAAACCTTTTTATTGAAATCTTGTCAAAAGCTTTCTGTAAATCTCAGTACTTCATACCAAATTATAGACTTTACCTTACCCTTCTGCTAACATTGCTTGTTTGAAGAAATTAAGAAAGATAGACAGAATTAAATTTAATTATCTTAAGTATTTATACTACATAAGGGCAGACTTCAAACTACTTCTTGCTTTCTTCAAGTAATTTTTTATAACTTTTATCTGTAAAAGTAGACTTCATTTGAAAAACCTGTTTTGTTTGTTCTCATAGGCAAACAAGGTATCTGCAGATGGTGAACAAACAGATGCTGATGCAGAAAGAACTCACAAAAGGGCAGAAGACTTAGATACATTTGTGAAGAATGCGTTACAAGCTGCTGAAGGTACCATTTATTTATTTATTTCCTTGTTAAATCTTTCAGTGAAAGTTTTCACAGTATGGTTACATTTTTTTTTCAAAATAATAAATTCAAAGATTTATTTTCACATTTATTTTTCTGTTTCTCTCAGTTTTGATAATGTTAGTGATTAATAAAAACAATATACAGTAGGTCTTTCTCCTTTTTGTAAATCAGCAATTTGACTGGCATTAAATGAAGCATAAAGTATGTTTTAGCAATTGAAAATTGTATTTATATTTTCTATTATAATTTAATAATTTTCTATTACTGCTGCTTGTAACATATAATTATACGATTTTTACATCTTCATTAAAAATCTATGGTCTGCTAAAATGATTAGATAAGGAACGCCTGCTGTAAATAAGGAGCAGAATTGGTGCCTGGCCTAAGGCTACCAACTTCTAGCTGCATTGTGATGTGAAGAGGTTTTTCAAACTGCCTGCAAAATGGAATAAATTAAAATGCAATTTAACCATTAATCTTAAGATAAGTATTGTAATTAAGATCACATGTGTGCTTATTCATACTGTGAAAGCGTAAAAATATAACTTTCTTAAATAAAACATACTGTTTACAGTCATATGTTATCTTGAATATTTTATGGCAGTTACTGTATTTTACAGTTTGTTATCCATATTCTAAACTTTCTATCACCTGTCAATCAATATTTAATCCAATGTTTTTATCTTTCCTAGAAGTCATAAGCTATTTATGTGGAGCAATTCATGGAAGCTTTTTGTTGACACAGGGGGAATGAAGCAAATAGTTTAATCACACTGAATTAATGTGTTAATTTATATCATTTTAAATGCGGCTTGAAACTCCTGCAGAGTCTCAGGGTGACCTGTTACACTGGGGCCAGATGGCAGTCCTAATAAGCAGTAGTGGAGGAGTAGCTTGGTTGCCCACGATATGGTTTTGCAAGGCTTCCCACTGGTTCACCTCTGGCTTCCTTATTTATAGCCAGTTTTAAGTAATGAATTAAATGTGATGGACTAACAGCAGCCACCAGTGTCTAAAACACATCCGTTCACCACAATTCAGTAATGTCAGAGGCACAGAGATTCATTGCCGAGTTATCATCGCACGCGAAGCATGCTGTCATGACAACAGGTTGTCTTGTCATGGCGTCGGTGTGTCTGACTGAAGTCACGATGAACTAAAACCATTATCCTTCAAAAGAGAATAATGAAAAACTAAATATCATTAATTCTTGTATATTTGTCTTTATATTGTGTTTAATACTATGGTTTCATTTTTTATGTAGGATTTTGGATTAATTGAATATTACATTTTAAATTTTATTTTTTGGGACATAAAAAGAGAGACATTTTAACATTTATTTAGTCTTTTCCACACCCATTGAAAAATTAAATAACATATACCCATAAAATGTCATTACTTTGAACTACAGTGCTTTAATATGTATATCTATTGTCTTTTTAATCTGTGAAATTTTCACTTTTGAACTCTTAGAAATTAAAGAAAAAATAATATTGCAGCTAATCGTGTTTCATCTTCATTTTAATTTGGTGGTTTATATTTAAATTATTTAAATGAGAATCCAGAGTCACTTCTCTCCTTTCAAACTGATTAGATTTGGATTTCAAAGAAGACCAATTTAATTTGATTAAAGTAAATCAAGCTGCCACACAAAATTTAAATTTCTTTGAAACCAACTTTAAAGAAGCATTAGCAAAAAATAAACACCATACTGCAGCTTTTGTCATTTTTTACTTTGTTCTGTTCTTTGAGGTCCTCTAATCTTTAACTACAGTGCAATGGCTGTAGAATGTTGTACAGATATAGATGATTTTTTCTGTGCTTGTATTCCTTAAAAGAGTTTTGCCAAGACAACCACAGGGCTTTATTTACACAAAGTACTTTCCCTCACTGACTGACCCACAGATTGTGCAGATGAGAAGTACTTTAACAGAGATCAACTATTGCATCTTACTTTGATGACCACCTGATAGTATTAAGTGTACAGTGTTTCATTTCACTTCTCATTATTAACATTTTTCATGTTAATATATCCTAGAACAGTTATTATATTACATATGTTTGAGCTCTGTGATTTCAGAGTAGCGTCTTGAACAATATAAGCAACATTATTGTTCTAAGGTACTCGATGTGATGTACAAAACAATAAGAAGTCATTTTAAAGCACTGAAAGAGGAATTCTGAACCAAACAATTGGAATCAAGCCTTGTTCTCTGTGATCTAGGCAGGCTGGCTACTGCCACACCAAACCACTTTGACCATTTGGCAGGGTAGCAATTGACCTGCAGCATGCTTCCTTGGTATCTAAAGACTACAGTATCACAAAGCTTTTCAGCTGTTGTCCAAGATTGGAACATACACAATATTCCTGTATTTAATCAGATAAGAAAGGACTCCCGCTTAACAGAGATAAATTGACTATACTAATGTTATGCAGCGGACAAAGATAGAAAGAAAACTACACTCAATACAAAATAGTATTACAAGATGTGGCAGTATTAACAAATGCAAATACACCCTCAGATATCAAGGTGGGTTGTTGGCACTTCCTCTCTAAATTGTTCCAGTCATTGGCAGCAGCAATCATAAATGACGTGGACCCAAAGCCAGTGTTTGCTTTAGGGAGGTTCGGTTTAATAAAAGAGACCGTTTTAAGTTGTAGACTACTGCAGTCTTTTGGATGTTTTGGGGAATGTGTTTGGTGTTTCCCAAATTAAAGATCTGTAAATGAATGCCAGTGATGCATTCATCTGGCATACAGTGTGTGCATCACTGAATCAAAGAGGAAGAATCAGAATACAATGATTGAGGGGCCAGTGAAAAGTCTATGGAAGAGGAGCTTAAGGCGTTAAGTTTCCCTTAGTAGTTTTAGTGCTCATAAACCACATAACCATAGACTAATAAACCAAGATATGGAGTTGAGACAACTCCATATGAAAGAATTAGTGCATGTCTAGAGGAAAATATTTAACTAAATTTGTTGCAATAAAGAAAACCAAGTCTAGGCATGACATCTAAATGAATATTTTCAGGTTTGAAAGTTAAAGGAGTCATATGCTTAGATATTTATAAATCCTGACTTGTTTCAACTTTTCTGAGCCATATTTTCAATATACAGTATGTAGATAGAAAAAGAGTGGGGCCCTAAACAGAGCCCTGAGGGACTCCATTAGTAACTGAAACAACTGGCTATGAAACACATCTGTCCAGTTTTAAACACTATACAATATGTTGTTGTGTAAGTAATTCCAAAAACTACACAAGGGAGTTTATATCAGCTACTTAACAGTAATGAATGATGCACAGTATCAAAAGCTATAAAGAAACTTGCACAGTTTTGTATCAAGAGCCGTGATAATGTAATTGAGATATATTTAAAGGCAGCCACAGCACATCTACAGAAACCAGGTAGTGTATCAAATAAATTACAGTTGCTTTCTAAAAAAAGAGCTTAACTGCCTTTTTTTCTACAATCTTAGAATAATAGACCATAGTCTATAGCCATTAGAGTCTAGCGTATCACTATCTTTGCAAAATAGGCAGAAGAAGAGTAGACTTTTGGATTGCTGTGATTTCTGCAGTTTTAAAAGAGAGAATAAATAAGTGGGTCTGCATTCTTTTTGAAACACATTACTACATCATTAGCCTTTAGCTGAAGTCACTCTTCTTTATATTGCAAATACAATAATGGTATATTATGTGTTATATTATGTACAATATACTACTTTACTTCTTTGATTAATGTTCACTTTTTCAGCCTTGAAAGACAAAGCTAAAAAACTTAATGAAACTCTTGGCATCCGAAATGGAGTCCCTGAGAAAAGTATTCAGGAGATGCACAAAGATATTGAGAAGATGCTGGTGGAACTTCGGAGGAGAAAATTGAGTGAACAGAAGCAAATAGCAGAAGAGGAATTAGAGTAAGTTTCATACTGTTCCTGCACATTATTGTTGTTTGTTTTTGTTGTTGCTATGGTTATTGTTGTGGTTGTTGTTGAAGTGGTCAACAGTAAGCTGAAGAGAACAGCTTACATGAGAGAGTATCTGCAGTATCTGGGTTAAGTAGTTCAAGTAGGAAGCTGCGTCAGCATGCATAGGCTGTAAAGGAACAAGTAAATGTTTATTCCGTGCTGAAAAGAGAAGAAAAGAAACTCAACATTTCACCTGTGGAGCCTTCTTCAGGTGTGATATTAGGGTTAGTGGCTTCATATTAGAGTTTTACCAGTTTAAAAATTATTGATTGCTACAGTATATGCTATACGACTGTCTTATTTCAAGTACAGTAACTTGCCTTTGAATAATTATCTGCCTGTGATATGGTGTTTTCTACACATAAACAGTGCCTTTCAAGGGACACTGTTCCTATGGTGTCCATTTAGTCAAATTACTAAATCAAGTATAGACATTTCTTTAAATGTAATACTTTAAGATAAATTGAAGTACACATTGGCAAAAAACAAAACTAAGGAGAAAAACTGAAATACTGTATGTTGATTGCTTATGCATTCAGACCCATGAACTCAACATATGGTGGAAGCACCCTTGTCAGAAATTACAGCCACAAGTCTTTTAAGTCGGACACTGCCTTGATGCAAATGTTGCCTATTCGTTTTAGCAGATCTGCTGAGGCTCTCTCAGATTGCTTTGAGATTATTGATGGACAGCAGTTTTTAAGTCTCAAGTTTGAAGTACTGCAGGAATAGGAATTCTCAGTGGGGTTCAAGTCAGCACCTTTAACCATTCGAGGACATTGACTTAAGTCATTGTAGTTTTGGTCTTGTACGTTGAGTCACTGTCCTGCTGAAAGGTGAATTGTCACTCAAGTTATACATCTTCAACAGACTAAAACAGGTATTCCTCAAATATTGCCTGTACTTCCCTACAGTTTTCCTTCAGTCATGCAACTGCTGAGAATAGAATTCCCATAGCATGACTTTAGAAATGGTGTTTCCTGGCTGAGGTGCTGTATTTGTTTTATACCGGATGAAACACAATATAATTACATAAAAAAGTTCCAATTAGTCCTGATCTGGGCAGAGTTTAGGTGGTGTGAGCAAACTACACCTTCAGGGATATGCACAGACCTCAATATTATTTTTCTACCCTTCTCCTGAACTGTTCTTTTCATTGACTATTTCTTTGACTTGCTTTTTGGTTTAGTTTTGCTTGAAATTCACTGCCTGACCAGGAAACCTCACAGTGGCAGGTGTTTTTGTTCTGAAATCATAAGAACCACAATTACTGCACATATAGTAAAGGGGGCAAATTGTGTGGCTCGTTAAGGTATTTGTGCACACTTTAATTTAGATTTGCCAAAGCAGAGTGTTTGAATTGTTATGCAATCATGACTTTTCATATTTTCTTTCATTTTTAATTATCTATTTACTTTTTTTGCTTTTAGTGTGTGCAGTAGGTGGTGTACATAACAAATATTAATTGCTACTGTACTTCAAAGTGTCATGACTACAAGCTTTAAAGCAACAGAATGTAAAAACTATGCAAAGGCCTGAATACTTTTGCAAGGCATTAATTTGATTGCTTTAATGCGTTTGATGAACATTAATTAATGAATTGTTTTATAATCACCTAATAAAAGATTGAGGTGGGTGTGAGTGACAGTTTTCATCTAACTGAAATTAATTTAGTGGTGTTTTTCCTATTTTATAACTACCTGCACTTTTACAAATATAAACAGAACCATCTAGTGGCAGAGTGATGGAAATGCTATAAGTTTAGAATTTTAAATTAAACCAACATTAAAAAAATGTTTATACATGAGCAGAATTTAAGTTGTTCACCCATTATATGTCCACAAATTGCTTGCATACTGCATGTTTCTTTTTTTAAAAAAACTTTTTTTAAATATGAAACAACCAATGATTTATTGTATTGGGCTATTTCAGTGCTGCTCATACCCTTCTACAAAAAGTGAAGAGGGTTTTTGGTGACCCACATCAAGCAACCACGGACCTTAAACTGGAGGTGACAAATAAACTGACAGATTATAAGAACAAGCTGGATGACGCACAGGATCTGCTGAGAGAAGCACAGAGGAAAATCCGGGAGACTAATGCCTTATCTGCTGTGAACCAGAGGAACATGACTGCCTTGGAGGTCAGTGCCCTCACTCAGAAGATCCAGAAGCTTTATTGTGGCCTTCAAGTAATGTGCTCTGACATGTTTGGAACTGTCTGGACTTGACTTAATTTTCAAAGTAAATAACAGCAATATGTTACACATTTTGCTGTCCCAATTTCCTACATTTAACTACAGAAAGTGAAAGAAATTTAAAATCACCAAGAAATAATACCATTTAGAGGCACTTTATTATTATAGTATAATTATTATTGTTGTTGATGTTACTGCTGCAGAAAGATCTTAATGTATAACAATATTGTTTACAATAAGTACTACTGTATATCTATATAATTAAAGATAATGTTTCTTTTGCCTGAACACAGAAAAAGAAAGAGGCTGTTAGCGGAACAAAGAAGAACACCGATGATGTCCTAGCTGAAGGGGAACGTATCCTTGCAGAAGCAAACCTGCTCTTAGATAACATCAATCAAGAAATCGAGGTATCAACTACAGTATACGGATGTGTGTGCCAGATTACAACCTATCTGCATTTCCCAGTAAAAACACATTCTTACCCCTTCTGCAATAGCCTGATGGGTCATTCACAAGAAAGATTCTGTATTCTCATAAGGATGGATGTCATAAAGGATAACATTATAAACTCATGGTAATCAAAAACCCCTATTAAGAATGTGAAAATGAGGCTCCGTGTTATGATTATCCTAGGACCTGGAGGAAATAGAGAGGGACTTGGGGCCTCTGCACGATCAACTGGATTATAAAGTCAGTGAGCTGACCAAAGGCTTGAAAGAAAAAAACCTCCCAGAGCTGATTCTTGAGGCTGAGAACCATGCTGCTCAACTCAACGACTCCTCAAGCATTTTGGATGGGTAAGTGGTTGTCTTATGTTAGCCAAAAAAGTGTTTCCTCTTCAAACGTTTCCAAAGAGAAGGTAGTCATAAAAAGTCTATAGTTAATAATTTATTTTACAGTGCAAAAACAGTAATTGTAAAATGGTTGTACAAAATTAAACTCTATTAATGAAAAACATAATACTGTACTGTTGATGTTATTTTTACGAAAACACAGTATGTGACAGCATCTCTCTGTTCCAGTATAATGTCTTATGTGATCGAATTGTGCAGTTTATGGATTAAAATGTGAAACAAAGATCCTGTTTTTTGAAGTTCAGAACAACAGATATTAAAAATTAAAATTAGTATCTTGAAATCATTTGTGGATAAGTAGAGCTGTTTAAACCTTGGAGTTGCTTTGTGTTTTAGATACTGTAGGAGGTAAGCAGGTTTTGCTGTCCCCGCTGTTAACAGAGTTTATCCAAATCCACAGCATCCTAGCAGAAGCTAAAAATCTGTCATTTAATGCCACGGCGGCTTTCAAAGCTTACAGCAACATTAAAGATTTTATTGAAGAAGCTGAGAGGGTTGCTAAGCAAGCAAAGGCCCATGGCACTGAAGCTGTGCAACTGGTAAGAACATCCTTCTATTCTGTGCTGTGTTCAGAGTGGATTTTTTAACATGTTGAACTGCAAAAGATTTATGCTTTAAATGTTCGCATTTCCTTATTCATTTCAATTTTCTAAGCTTCTGAGATCAAAGTCCTGCTTTTTCTAATTTAAATTCTTCAGGCAGAAAAGAAATGCTCTGAAATGATATATCATGTTTCCGAGAGTCCTGGGGTGCCTAATGTCCAAGGCAGTGCTGAGGCCTTTTTTTATTAACTTAAATTGCGACTTTTCTCTCTGTAAACGCAAATTGTTATCAATAATATTTTCAGGAGTTTTGAAGCAATACACATTCTATTTTAAATATAATATTAAATTCAAATAATTAAATGACTGTATTTAAACAGATTGTTCTTCTTATGAGTAGTAATAATGATAACAGGAGTGGTGATAGAACTAGTATTTCTTGTCAGATGCTCTTATCCAGATTTGCATACAATCAAAACAAACAATAGATATCATAATAATGAACATACAATAAATCACACTTTTACACTTCACCTAATTGTTAAATTCGAATTTTTCAATGAGCAACCTTCTTGTACGGGACTCTAGAGCAGATGGAACCAATCTGTCTCTTCTCATTTGTTCCCAGTCTTAACATTTATACCCACTGGTGTGACTCCCAATCATTCTTTTCAATCTAACTGCACTAAGGTCAGATCTGCAGTCAACCATATTTATTGCATCACTTGTACTTTTGCATTACACATTATTCTGTACAGTATATGCACTTATCTGTATTTCACTTTGCTTTGCAATATTGAATTATTCATCCTTCTAGATATTCTTCTACTAAGCACCTGTCTGTTCCTGTATGGTATTATCTTTACGCTGTTAACTAAATGAACAGGGAAACTTTAGGGAATTGCTATAGCTTCAAAATGTCCTTCACAGACAAATTTACTTCATATTGAAGATGTTTGATTAATAAAAGGAGGTTTTGTATCTTTGTATTTTTTCTGTTAAATTCTGCAGGAATTTATAAGGAAGATATCACTTCAATATTTTTAGATAAATGTCATTATGTACGTACAGTACTGTTAAATGTGGCACATCATTGACAAATTTTCTTAAAATTAGTTGATTACAGACACAGTTTATGCACAGGACATGGAGACAAAACTGGTGATTAAAAACCTTTTCAGATTAATAATGAGTCACCTCTTTAAACAAAGAGCAGTGAGTATCAGAGAAAGAAATAGCAAACCAAGAGGTGGATATTGACTTCAAGAAGGGATGGATGATACTCTTCAATCAAAAGTTCACTAAAAGCCAATTAAGCAAGATGAGCTAGATGGTTTCCTTGTATTTATAACATTTATAAATGCTGGTTTCAGCCTGAGTCCATTTTTCTGTATTTGAAAAATTTTGAAAAATTTTCTTTGATGACCTCGATCAATGGTCCTAGCAAGAATAACTCTCTCTTTGACACTATCCTCTGCCATACTCTAAAGACTTGCCTGTGTTTCTGAGCATAGGATACTGAAAAAACGATTTTGTCCTGATGTTTGAAATAACATGTTTTCTACATTTTCATTCTATAGGCCTCCAGTCCTAAAGGCTCTTTGAAGGATAGCGCCAAAACGTCTCTTCAGAAGAGCTTCAGGTTGTGGAATGAAGCTAAGAAGTTAGATAACGAAGTGAAAGGTGAATCTTTAATCTAGAGACATGAACAGAATTTAAAATAAAAAAACACATCTGTTAATTTAAACTGCATTATCAAAAGGTATTAATGCATAAATTACAGGTGTCTAATAATTAAACCATACTTTTCATGTACTGTACACAGTAATCCATCACTATAGAAGCAACCACTATAAGATTTTGTTTTTGTTTATACAAGATGTAAAAATGCATACCTTTTTTTATTGAGTAAGCAGATTGTTACTCCTATTAGCCAGGTTCTTGTCAAACACTGAAAAGATTCTTCTTTGCTCACATTTTCTTGGTTAAGGATTTTTTTTAACATTTTAACTTATTTACTTAAAAGTTTTTTGTTTTGTTCATGTAAGATAACACCTAATCTGTATGCATTTGCTTACAACTATAATGATGTAACGTCTGTCAATGAGTAAGAGTTTATCATTATTTTACCTACAGTATCATTTACCCATCGGTTGATGAAGTTAAGCATTATAATGAAATAATTAACCAGGAATATTATTGTTTTCAATAATAACATTCTGTGCTGTATTAAGTTGAAGTTTGGGTTTTTGAGGGAACATTTTTGAATTATAGAACGACTCAGAGGTTATGACATCAACAGTAAACAGAATTTAATTTCCATCATTACAAGTTTTCATTTTACAAGTAGTTTTTGAGGAACCAATTAAACTTATATAATGATGGATTATTTTTCAGTAATCTGAAAAATATATACATTTTACATACAGAATTTAAATACTATACTACAAAACATCGAAAAATATTTAACTCTTAATGTATACATTTTGCATTTATGGACAAGTATATTGATTACTGTCAGTGAAATTTTGCCAACTATATGCAAGAAATATCTGCTTTTCAGAAAATGTTGAGGATGTTGATCGTCTTCAGTCCAGAGTAAAAGCAGCTGGAATGAAGAACAGAGATTTGTTAAGAAGTCTAAATGACACTTTTGGAAAGCTACGTGCAATCCCCAATGGTGTGTATGAGTATTATTTCTGCTTTTATTTAAGCATTATATGATTTGATTATTTAAAAATTCTGCTTATACTATAGATATGGAGTTTTTGCACTTTGCTGGTGTATATCAAGGTTGTCAAAGATTGAGATGAAAATAAACTTATTGTTTCAGGAAATGGCATGGTGTATTAGATTATTGCCATTGGACACAGAAATGTTTAAGTTAATGAATAGTAAAGATATTTTTCCAAAGTTTTATACTACTTTATCCATACTACTAATCTTTTGTACTACTGATTTATTCTTGAGAGATATTTTTTTCTAATTAAGAGAGAAAACATCCATATAAAAATGATTGCTGATCTTTAATAAACGTGAATCTTCCAGACACAAGCTCAAAGTTACAAGCAGCCAAAGACAAGGCCAGAAATGCCAATGATACAGCCAACGATGTTCTTGCTAGAATCAAAGACATCAACTTGAATCTTATTGGACTGCAGAAAAACTACAGCAAACTGAAGGATGATGTGGACAAAGCCAATGCTATTATCCAAGATCCTGCAAAGAACAGTAAGTTTCTTCCAGTTATGTGTTATAATACTTTCAGGTTGTGAAAGGTGTACAGTATGTTCCTTCAGAAAAAGAAAATCTCAGTAAAATAAACTTCTGTGTTGAAACTTCACAATGATAAAAAAACAAACAATTTGAATGTACACTGGTGTTATAATTCTTTGGTTAAGTTTGGAAATGTCTGAACATTTTGCCCAGGCTGGTGTAATAATCTGAATCTTAGCCAGTGCCAGTAAAGACTCATTAAGGCATAATGTCAACACATATTTTTTGCAATTTTATAGAAAAACACTGCTGTTGTTTATTAATAATTTAAATATTGTTTTTAATGTATTATCATGTCACACATTCTAGGCAAATTATTAATATACCCTGGCAAATTCAAATCTTCTTCTCCAGGTTTCCAAGAAATACTCATTAAAGAACTATCAAATCAGGGTTTGGGATTTGAAATTTTTAGATTTGTTGCTGGGTTAAGTATTTTATTTAATTCAGGCCCTAATTAAATTGTAAATAATTTCCTCTTAATTTAAGTACATTTAACAAATTAAATAGATTTATAATGCAATTATTGAATTTCCTCACAAGTATTTTTTGTGTTTTTGTTTTCCTCTATGCAATCTTTTTTCAACCTCAACAGCAATAAGTAGGTATAACATTCACCTGTGCATTGTTTTTAACATTTAAAGCATTATTCTCACCAAAGCGTATGCATGGAGCCATACCGCTTCGATTCTGCATGAGCTTTAGCTGAAGATAAGCTTCTCTTTTTGTCATTTAAAAGTGTTGTGCCTTATTGTTTTATTTCAAGAAGATTAAGCTTGTCATTTGCAAGATTCACAAGAGCTTAGCCTGTAATGTGCACTTATAAAGATTATAAAAATTCTGTTATCATACCGTGCGATTATTTGCCTTCTCTAATCCCAGTTTTCTTTTACAATGAATATTCTTACATTTTTAATTATGGCATTCTTTCTTTTTTGCTGCTTATAATACAAATAGCTTGGTGCCTATCTCCCATTGAGTCAGTCTTCTGTCTGTTTACTTTTTAAAACGTTTGACTATTATTATTATTATTATTATTATTATTATCATAATCATTATTCTTCTTATTATTAAGTTAATGCAGCTAGCAACAAAGTCAAGGATTTGGAGGAGGAGGCTGACCGACTTCTTGAAAAGCTGAAACCTATCAAGGAACTTCAAGAGAATCTAAAGAAAAACATCTCTCAGATCAAAGAATTGATAAATCAGGCCAGAAAACAAGCAAATTCAGTGAGTACCCTGAGTATTCTGTATATACTGTTAATAAGTCCTGTTATTATTAGCAACAGTTTGTTCCTCATTAGTTAACCTGGTACCTTGGTTGATGAGTACTACTCTGTAACCTCACTCTTCACAGAGTTCTCAATTTAATGTTCACCTGGAAAAAAAACCTTCTATGTTTCATAAGTTAGTGTGGACAGTTTTCTAAACCCTGAGTCTAAGACAGTATTTATTATGAAATTATAATGAAAATGTGTTGCCATGTCATTTTACAATGAAAATACAAATTACAGTAGGTATGCGTAAATTAAGAACTAATGACTCCCTCAGTCAAAAATGAGTGTTACATCCTCCTCATCATTTGGGATTCTTACACAAGCATCAATATCATTAAATGAGCAGGTTAATGAGGTCCCAGAATCAGGTTACTAGCTGCCGAATACGCAAGATGAGTTAAAACCAATGGATGAAGCACAAGATAGCCCAATATTTACTTTTGTACCAGTGAAGTTTTCTATGAAAATGGGTTTATTTTTTTATATTTTTCAGAAATTATTAACTATGGTAAACACAACATACTGTGAGAAGAAAACAACTAGAATCACTACTAAAAAACAATATGATCTCCAAAAAAGCAACAAAACCAAATTAATGAAGCCACAAATGAATTACTGTATCAGTGCTGTGTGTACTATTTGCAAATACAGAAGATCAAAACCTCTCAGGGTGTTCGTGTTTCAAACATTGGTATAGTAGTGTAATTCTAGTAAGGAATGCCTTTAAACAAAGTCACAGCCTTGTATTATAGGGAATAAGCATAAGTTAATTACATGGCTTATTATCTGTGTAAAAAGAACTTCCCACATACTTCCAAGAGACAAAGCAAAACTGCTCTAGTTCTATGAATTCACAAGCGCAGTATATCTTTCATACTTTTTGGTTCAATTTTTGGTTCAATAAAGAACTGCAAGATAAAGATTCTGAGAATATATATGCCTTTGAGCAAGTTACAGTGTTTTAATGCAATGCAGTGCAGTAGATGTATACTTCCTTAACCTAAAACTTTAATACAGTAAGTGAAATAATTCCAAGATGTGTTCAGACTATATTTTTCAAATAATATTCTGTATTTCTATGTGAAAAAGTCAAACCCGAGACATACATGAAGATATTGGTTTCACATATTGTTAAACTAAAAACAACTACATGAAATTTTGAACAAACCAGTTTCCCAAATAAAAAAAGAGATCAGGGGCTGAAAATACTAAAGTAGATTAATTGGGATGGGGAAGTCATCTACCATGCCACATCTTAGAATACTGGCATAGAATCTAACAAAAACACATTTTAAAATAAAGTATATTTATGTTGTACATTCTTAGTTACATTAGAAAGGCTACAAAAGAAAGTAGGCCATCTAGTACAGTTTTTAAATTAGTGGTCAATTAACCCAAGTATCTCATTTAGCTGTTTCTTGGATAAAGCCAGGGTATCAACTTTAACAAAGTTTGGTAGCTTTTTGCACACCCACTGTCTTCTCCCAAATCTATGAATCCTTCCAGGAAGGTTTCTTGGTCCGTTTAAATGGGTGAATTACAGTATAGAACAATACAACCTAATTATAATATCAGTCTCCACAGAAAACCAAAGTGCATCCTGCACATAAACAGTGTATATTAATTCCTCAGACTACCACTACCATGGATGTTTAAACTCTGAAATCGTGATTTTTCAAAAAAACATGAAAAAGGTTAATGTAAATAGTTAATTGTTAATTTTTCTATCTACAGAATTGCTTCAATGGCTGACAATCATTTATCAACATATTTAAGGGTAGTATTTCAAAATGTAGACAAGATTACATGGCAGACAGTTTTTTTTTACTTTTATTTTTTCAGGTAGTTCACATATCATCTCATAGATTTAGTATGTAAGATACAAAACTGGAAATTTAGATTTAGAAAGATTGATTATAGTTTCATTCGTTCATTTATCTAAACATGTATGTCTATGACTCCATCTGCTTTAATTCTGTACTGAGGTAGCTGCATTAGTGAAGCAACAACAACAAAAAACTGATTTAACCACAATTATCTGGTGAATAGAAAAGGATTCTTCTTTTTTACCCACAGATTAAGGTGTCTGTCTCATCGGGAGGTGACTGTATCCGAACATATCGACCTGAAATCAAGAAGGGCAGATACAACACCATTGTCCTCAATGTGAAAACGGCTGTTCCTGATAATCTTCTCTTTTATCTAGGCAGTGCCAAATTTGTAAGTTGGTTATGTTTCATTACTTGATTATTATATGATTATTATTTATTAACCATAATGCTAAGGTAATGTTATGTTTTTAAACCTTCACAGTGAAGTGAGAATTAGAGAAAAAATATATATACTGTATACTGTAGTATGCTTCCCTCCAGAAACAACACTTTACTGATGTTGTGCTATTTAAAAACATATATTGAAAATATTTGATGACAATCAGAAATGAAAATCAGTTGTGTATAAATTACAATAAATGAGGGATCTTAGAGCTCATATTTCCCAAAACTCTTCAGAGAAACAACAGAAATTCCCTGCCCCAAATATTAATTACAATACTAGCTACTGTAATCCGAAACCATTTTCATGCTGGTTTTCATGCACAAAAAGCATACTGGTTCATCGTTTTTAATTACACTGCAATAATTGTACAACTCGGGGAAAGAGCAAGGAAAATGTGCACTCAGTCTTACAAACAGGAGCATCATTATGTGAACTTGTAGAACTCCTAACACATTACTAGTGCAGTCAGTTCACACCCACCATCGCAAGACTCCAGGGTCTCATTTCTTCAAGGATATGTGAATGTAGAGCTCTCAAGAAGCAGTCCGCAGTGTGCCTGAAAGGAACTACTTCTCCTGCAGTCTAAAAGCTGTCAAAAAACAGTTTCAAAGAAGTGTAACTGGCAAGAAAGAATGGAATCTCTTCCTCTGCAATTGTTTCTTCAGCAGCTGATTGAATGGATATTTAACAGCCATTGACTGCCCCCAGTACTTTGGTAAAAAGCTACAGAATTCTTAAAACTCAGAAATTATCTTTCTCATTTCCTCTGCCATAGACAAAAGGGTAAATTGTGTGAAATGGTCACAGAAAGCACTAAACACTTTAGATAGGCATCTGGAAAAGATTGCTTCACTTGCACTGTGGAAATCTCCGTCCACCTCCTGAAAACCTCTACTGTCATTAACTCATAATGCAGTAGTTATTACAATAAACTAAAATAGATTTATTTTATCTTATTTTGAGCCCTAGGTTTTGATTGAGAAAATTGCACAGATGTATAATTTTTAAAATAGGCAGTTTATTTGTTGCTGTTGTATCTAAATTACTGTGAAGATCAAGGGTTGGTTGATGTATTCTTAAACACACCATAGCTTCTAATGTCTGTGCTGTGTTTGTGATGAAGTCAAATAAGCAACAATGCAAAGTAATAATATGTAAGAATCACAAGCATAGCACAATAAAAAAATGTGATTACACCTTGTATGAAAAGTATGTAATACAGAAAAGCCTGTCTAAAAATGCTAAGTTTTCAGATTAGACTTTCAAACAAGCACTGTGGCTAAGTGCTTCTTTTCTTTTGGTATACCGTTCTAGAGCTGTGGGGCATAACAACAAAAGCCTCTGTCACCCACAGATTTAAACGAATAGTGAATACACATAATCAACCAGCTTTCACTCCATTTCCTTTTCTACTAACACTGGATTTGAGGTGGAAAAAGGGAATTTACAGCTGCTTCCAAACCAATGCAGATTTAAGCATTAAACCTGATATCTCACAATCCCAGAAAAATCTGCAATGTCTCCATGAAACAATAAATTTGTTTACAGTAGTTCTTAATAACAATTGGTTAACAATTAATAACAATTACTTGTTGTGATGACAGTTCCTCACAGATTATTTTCAGAAAGAGCCCAAGTAACACAATTATCCACGAGAAAGCACCTACTATATAATCAACCCTGATATGATACAGTACATCAACTGCTTATAAATACCCAGGAGGGACAACCTGATGGATCAGTCCCACACTCCAATTACGACTGCTAACACAACTGGGTCAAATGAGACCTGACAATCATCCATTGTACAGTGTAAAGCTACTGTTGGTATCTAATGCAGGTACCCCAGCTTTAGCAGCCCACTATAGCAGGGCTCCGACTGCAATTTGAACAGAAAAATGGAAAACATAAGTCTGGATCTTGGTAGAAAAAATATGTTTTTAGATGATTCCAAGTGAATAGAGATTCCATGCCTGCTGAAAAATACCGGAACAGATAGAAACAGATTGGAAATCAGAGAATGTCTCTTGTTAACCAGCGGTGCAAATAGCCGTGTTTGACAAAATTTGTTAATCATATGAAAGTGTTAAAGGGTAACTGCAATCCCAATTTCTCAGACTGATTATTAAATCTTGATAAGAAAATAAATTAATTAACAGTATCTCACAATTTCACACATTCCCCTATTAAACACAAGCTTGTGAAAGTACTGTAAGTCGCCATGTTGTCACACGTCTCGCCTCTAGCGAGAGTGAGAGTTTGTAATAAGTGTGACAGGAAGCAGCCCTTCTGCTCACTAGTCACTGTAATGACTAATGTAATGCGAGCAAATGTACTGTGATGTAAGTGCTGTAATGGGAGCCAGGACCCTATGTAGACGGTATCATCTGGACGTAAGTACAGAAGGACATCAGGGGAAGGTACAGCAGGATAAGACGGGTTGACAGACAGGGGGCAGTGACGGCAGTGATCCGGAGCTCGGAGGCATGGTGAAGGCAACTAGTCCAGGGAAGTCCAGAAAGGGAAATCCGGGGTACAGTCCAAACTCCAAAAACTAAGTGATCCATCCAGGACAAGACAGGGTTAAAATCTGGAACATGAACAAGAAGTAACGAGGCCAGGCGCTCCAAGCCCCGGACTCAGACAGTCAGGACGCCGTGAGGAAGCCTATGCTGTTGGGTCTCTCCTGGACCCACTGGTAGGTAGGGTTCCAGGCATCCATCACCCAATGCTGAGCCAGGAATAGCGAGAGCACCAAGCTTAAATAATGAGACAAACAGCAGCCAGGTGCACATAATCAACTAAAATACGAAAGGGTCGTCCTTAAGAGGAGGGATGAGGATTGTGACACGAGCAAATAAGTACAGGTGTGCAGCAGACATTTCACCACAGAAATGTTGCAACGTGATCTGCAAGCAGTTAACAGATAAGTAGTATTTGTTGGCTAAACTGTCTCGAAGTCAAGAGCAATACCTCTATTGGATTAAAAGAGATTTATTCACAACCCTACTTATTTACAGTGTTATAGGGCCATTTCACCTCACCAAAGTTTCGTTGCCTCATTCTAAATCACAGAATATGGCTCCGCATTAACCTGTAAATTTAATCTATTTTGTTATGTAAATTGGAGGTTTTACACGTTACTGTGTACATTTTACTTTCATTGTGGTTTGAAATGCACTCATCAATGCTGACTCTTTCTAACCTATGATATATAAAAATAGCATTGCAGTTCCTCTTTAAATCAAGTCATTCATAACTTTAGATGATACATAATCTTCATCTGATAAAACCTTAGTAATCTGATTAATTACATTTTTATCTGAAACAACTACTTCCTCAATTTCCCTTTGGGATCAATAAAGTCTTATCTTTACTTGTCAACAACTTGTCTTTGAAACAAATGGTTTGATAGAAATGTGCTGTTTTAAATTAGCATATAATTGAAATACTTTCCCTACCTAATTAAAAACAAAATATGAGGTCATTGCTTTTGTCTATAATATCACTATTAAGATACACCAAACATTTATTTTCAATTAGTGTTGTGTTCTGATAGCCATTTTTCTGATTTTATCACTGATTTCCAGAGGGAAATCAATATCCTGTTGTTGTACTTGATTTGCATGTGGCTCTTAAGTTCTAGGCATTCTATTAAAATGTGCTATTCTCAGAGTGCCCCTACACATGCAATATAATTATTATGCTGGGGCCCAAAGGAAAAGATTTACAAAGTGATGATAATTTTATACATTCTAAGATCCTAGCTGTGACTGTGCATGTTTTGTTTTCATATTTCACAGACTGACTTTTTGGCCATAGAGATGCGGAAAGGCAAGGTTAATTTCCTGTGGGATGTAGGCTCAGGCGTGGGGCGTGTTGAATATACAGACCTGGTCATCAGTGACCAGAACTGGTACAGGATTGAGGCATCACGGTAAGTTAACCGCTGTAAACTTAGATGCAGTAAACTTGCAGTAAACAGTAGATGTGCATAGCGGCTGTGTCCACACGCAAAAAAGAAAAAGCATCTCACTGTTTGAACTGCATTCTCAAAACTGTCAGCATTTAGGAGTTACATGTTACTGTTTAGCAGTGAGAGAAACTGTTTCAAAATGCCATTAATGGTGAACGGTCAAAGAGGAAGGATGAACTAGCTTCAAGACATCCGCGGGTGATAAGTATTCTCATTCAACACCGAGATCCAGCATTGCATCAGAATTCCGAAGGCTGAAAAGATGTGGAAAACAGTCTAAAGAACACCAAACTACTGTACACATGACAGTCTCTGAACATTGGAATTGTACAGTAAAATAACTCTTTTAACCATAGTCATTCTTACTATCCGATCAATGCATACAGTATCCTAAATAAATGAATAAAACTAATAAATGAGTAATGTAAAAAATATAATTAAAAAATGAATCACATGTGCAGACTTCACTGAGGCCAACACGCTTGTGCTCATCGTGCAGTGGGGGATACCTACAGTAGTTGTGGTATAGCAGAGAGCATATTGTCAGGTACTGTCTTTATTACTGGAAACTATTATTTTGCAAAACACTAAATTAAGACTTGACTCTATCTTGGAAAATATTTGAACTGACTGGTTCAGAAAAAACATAGAGTCTTTTTTATCAGCAGCTATCATTTAGGACATGAAATATTATGAAAAAATTACTTCACTTACTGTAAGTGTTTCTCTGCACAACACAACGACTGTTCCCTAGCTGCTATCGTATCATATTTTATCTCTCTCTATACATACTGTAGGGTAATGAATTCTAGAATTCTGAGAATGCCCATCCAAAACTCCGTTGTCAGAAAGCTAATTTGCTTGGTGGTCATGGCATCGCACAAGGTTAGAGAGCTTCCTGCACTGTTGGCAAGGCAGTCCCTCTATTGTAGGGAGAAGCAGGGCAAGTTGAATAGCCAATAACCTGGCCAGTGTAAGATTTGGAAGTGGGAGGAAATCAAAGCATCCAGAGAAATGCCACACAAACTGAAAGAGAGCATGCTTTCAGAAGACTAGTGTAGTAAAATTAATACAGTACCAAAATAGTGGAAGAGTACAATTAAAAAAAAAATCCCTTTTAGTGAAATTTGAGGTTTTACAAAGTAGATTAAGTTGTGCAACCTTTCAGAAACTAACCTGTCAGCTACACCATTTTTCCTCTCCAGCTGTGGGTTACTAAAGCCCCAGTAAGAAAGGAAGGGTCTACGTGCAAAATAAACAGTTTTGAATTAAAAAATAATAGACAAGAATACTGTGCTGGCTTCAGCTCACCAGCCCTTCGGGATACTGTGCTGAGTCATGGCTAATTCTCTCAATGAAAAGACCTCAATTCTGTTGTTGGATTACACATGATTAGTCATATTATATACAGTAAATACACAAAGAGAGAAGTTAAGTGCAATGTCTTAAACTGGAAAAAATAAAGATACTGTACATTATGTGAGTCAACTATATTGACTTTAAAACCCTAGACCAGATATAGTCATACAGTAACTTCTTTAATAAAATGAATACAACCACAACATATTGTTTGACAATTGTCGAAAAGTCTGATTAGCATTTTATGTATTCTATATCATACAGTACATGTATTGCACATACTGTAATGTATCTCAACCAAAATTGTTTAACAGCTGTCTTTTCACTTTCTGAAATCTTATGACCAAATGACCCATTTGTTTTTATAATTAGCCTCTTCAAGTTATGGTTTCCCATTTTCAATTTAAAATCTGTTTTTGTTGCCTGAATCTAATACTCTGCATTTTTCTAAGGCTGGATGCTTGTCAAGTCTGAATTTTATTTAAATGTTTTTGATTTTCATAATCTGCTTCTGTAGTGTTTACTAATCCTTTTATTTTGGTACTATCTCAAATTTGATAACTTAACCAGAATCTAAATCATTTGTATAACTTAGGAAGAACTGTGGTCCTAGTAGACATAGTGTACAAGTGGTACTCCATTAATTACAGTACATCATCCTAATCAAATGAATTTGCCTGACGTGTTCATCAGTATAATGAACTTACCATGTCATGTCTAGTCAATAAAACACCATCATTTTCCTGAGAACATTGTGCATTTGTTGCAATTGTGAGTTTCTTTTAAAACTTGCATAGCACATTGTCATTCTATACAACAGTAATGATATTTCAATGTATTAACTTCCAGTCAAGAAAGATCTTAGTTATATTTCCATAATAAGGTTTATTATACTTAAAAGTTAGTTATTTAATAATTCCAGTATTGTAAACATTTAAATAAATTGTCTATAAGCATTTTAGTATTGTGGCTTACAAATTATTTCTGCTAGTCCTTACATTGCTTATAGAGCAGAACATTTTACATTGGTATACTGATGTTTATTGTATACTGTACTGTATATACAATATGCGTAAAATCTGAATAGCAGCTTATACTGTAATTAGACTCATTCCTTGTTACAGCAGCTGAAACACATTGAAAATACAAATATGAATTATAAAAAGCAAGACTCCAAGACAACATGTAAAGTCATAATGATTGCTACAGTAGGTTTTTGTCAATACAGCATTTGTATTTCAAAATTACATTGCCATGGTAAGAAGACATGTTGATACAGTAGATGTACTTTGGCTGAATCCATTTTCAATACATGGGGTATTTGTTAAGGTGTAAAATCACCTGTACATTGCATTACAGGTGTTCTACAACCTTATGCATCCTTATGCCTTATAGAGACAGTGCAGCTGAGTGGAAGAAATTGGATATGTGTGTGTATACTTATATAAAGACTGAACGCAATCTGCTAATATGCTATGCTAATTGAAAGAGCATAAAGAATTGCTTAATTACCTACAAAACATGCTGGCTGTAATGAGATTTCCTTCTGCTGCAGGATTGGGCGCAATGGTACGGTTTCCGTTCGTGGCCTAGAGGGGCCCACGGCTTCAAGCATGCCCACCACGAACAGCGCCGTCTCACCTGAAGGCTACACTATTCTGGATGTAGATGAAAACGCTTTCCTCTTCGTTGGTGGTATATTGGGAAAAATAAAGGTAATAGGAACAGTTTCCCTTCTTTGGGACATTAAAAGTTTTACATTTTGTGACAGTTTGAAGAGAATGCAAACCACTACTTTCTTGAAATACTTATACTGTTTTGTATGACACATTAAAAGAAGGCAGATGCTGTTAAAACCACCACGTTCACTGGCTGCATGGGAGAGACATACCTGGATAACAAACCCATTGGACTGTGGAACTACAGGGACAGACAAGGCAACTGTAAAGGATGTGTAGTGAGGTAAAGTTTATTGCTTAGTGTTTCACTCTGTGCATGAGACATTTCTTCTTGAATGACCCCTTTAAGAATGCACTGATATTCATTCATCATCTCATTTTAAAACATATGAGCCGAAGTAGTAATATAAGTAGTACATTGGCACACCCATTTTTACTGTACTGTGCAAGTGTTTGTTGTTCCTGATTCTATCAATATACACACTGATTATTAAAGTGATCTAAAGTTGGAAAAAAGAGGATCTTCCTGTGGGATGACTAACTTTGTATTGATTTTAGTCTATTTCCACGGAGGTGATTGCATTGACTTACAGAAAGTGTAATACTGTCTTTTTTTATTAATATAATAAGCACAAATAATATTTACACTGACATAGTTCACTACTGTACCAACAGTATGGGGTGATTTATGCAACTATGCAACGATTTATACGGATCAACAAGATGGCCCTGTTTTTACTCTTCTGCTTGCCTCTTTGCTCAGCCCACAGTCTCCTGACACTGAAGGTACAGTGCAGTTCGACGGAGAGGGATATGCTGCTGTGAGCCGTCCGACTCGCTGGAATCCCAATGTCTCCACCATTATGTTCAAGTTCAGGACCTTCTCTACTAACGCCCTCCTGATGTACTTTTCTACAAAAGACATGGTAATATATGGAATTTCTCAAAGCAGTTAATACTCACTGTATGAGTATCTCTTTTCAGTGTTGTCCAATCTTTTTTTGCACGCATTGTGCATAAATCGGTTTGTTATGTTGTGCGACATCTGTTTTTTTATTCTATGTACTCCTGTGCCTGAGTTCTTCTTGCCGTATTGAAAATATAGAAAACCTTTCCCTTATTTCTACTAGTTTTTTGTTTCTTCCTATTCAAAGGAAAACTTCATGTTTCCTTAGTGCTGGAAATTCTACAACATGCAGTGTCTTTAAGACTCCTGTCATTATGTGCTCAACAGAAAGACTTCATGAGCGTGGAGCTGGCTGAAGGCCGCGTGAAGCTCAGCTACGATCTTGGCTCTGGGGCAGCTTCTGTGACTAGTCTTCAGCGTCACAATGATGGAAAATGGAAATCATTCACCATGGCAAGAATGCAGAAACAAGGTTCACCTTAAACATGTTCTGTTATTGAGAATGTTTTTGATGTAACGGTAGATACTGTACGTAGTTCCATATTTGTGCAGCCCTTCAGTCCAGATCCTATCCTAGTTTCCACAGTTTTAAGCAAACAGAACAAATAAATGTGACCTTCCCACTGGATGAGATACCAGTCCATCGCAGACCCTTCCCCCAGAAAATGCTAGTGCCCATTTACAGTATACAGTACAGCTTTGTGCACTAGACCAACTGTGGTGAAATACCTCAGTCATAGTTCAACAGTAATGTCCGCAGTAGGAACGTGAACCACAAGCCACGGATGAATGGTCCAGAAGTCTACCCTTTTATGTTAAGTAGAAAAATATTGATACCCAATAAGATTTCAGAAGCAATGATTTGAATCACTTAAATGGTACCTTTCACATAACATCTGTTTTTCTTTACACTGATAAAACAAAGTTACTCTTACTGAAATGGATAATAGTACCTTTAAAGTTATTTTATAGCTGCATTTATCCAGTAATACTTTGATATTACACAGTACCGTGATATTATATTTTGCCTACAATTAGATTTTAAAATAGTAAGAGTCCACAAAATAAATTAAAACAAGTTATGATTTGTAATTCCCAATATAATATCATTTGATGTACTTTTATTTAAAATTTAAACATACATCACAGTATATTTATGTAATAAAAAAGGCAAACAAAAATTAAGACTACTAATGAACTGTTACAGAGTGATACACACTGACCAGAGCAGGGAGTTATCCTACAATTCGATTTGAGAATTTCAAAAACTCAATATACTGTATATGTACTGTATAACATGTAATAAAATGTGACAATAAAAGTACTAAGAATGGAGGACTAATGTAGTACAAATTGACAAAAGGAGGATGTTTGCATCACTTGTTGTGAAAGGGGCTTACAGTATGTAAGATCAGGGCAAAAAATAGCATAAATAGTTAACCAAACTACTGTAGATGAAAATAAAAGAAAATTTAATGTGAACAAATAATATTTTATGACAGTCATAAGTGAATGGTTGTTCATAGGAATCAAGCATTCTGAATAAGGCTGTCTATTAAATTATTAAAAAATAAATTCTAAGAAAGGAGTGCAGGAAAAGGTAGCATAATGATCGACATTGGTCTAACTCTTGAAATATAATGTTTTCTCAGTGATTCTATACCAAAATTCACTTCTTTGAAACAGACTACCAGCTTAGATTATAAATATTCAGTTACTGCTTTGACCTTGGCCCCTTAGTCTCCACTAGAGAATAGTTTTCATTACTCATGCCTCTCTTGTAGTTATTACATGGCTTATGAATATAAAGTCACCTGGAAAATTAGTGTTTGAACTTTAACAACACAGGCAAAAGTATTTCATACAGCATGTAAATATAGTAGTAAGTCATACATGGTATTTGTGTTATGTTAACATTAGTGTATTTCAGTAGTTTAAGACTAACATCTCCTGTTCTCAAAATAATTATTTTACTACTAACTGATTATTCGTACTTTACAGTATTTAAAGTTTGAGATTCTGTTGTTTCTGTGAAGACATTTCATTTCATGCTCTGAGAAATTAATTCAAACAGCACTGTCTTAACAAGAACTCTTCCCCACAGCTAATGTAACCATTGTGGACATAGACAGTGGTGAAGCTGAGAAGATTGTGGCAGTTTCTGGAGGAGCAAGCTCAGGTCTTAATCTGAAGGATGATGAGAGGATTTATTTTGGTGGTTTGCCATCCTTAAGGAACTTCAGGTAACAGATTTTTTTTTTGGAATCACATGCTTTTTTAGAGAACAGGTTTAAAAGTAAAGTATAAACTGAATTGATATTGTATTTGTTGAGCAGTGGGGACCCCGGAGGATTTTACTGAATGTCTGATAGGGACTTGTGTTGGTTACCCACTACAGAAACACAATATTATTGTTTAAATTTCTACAATTCGTTTTTTTCTCATTAGCCCTCATCACCCGCCTTCTTTCTTTTATGTAGTGAACACTGTGAGCATGACTAACCCCTTTCTGAACAGTTCGCCTGGAATCCTTCCTACTCCCTGCTAAACGTTCAGCAAACTTTATTAAGATATCATGAACAACAAAATGATTTACCTTTTCATTTTAAATGAAGGGTGCCAATACTTTTGACCATGACATGTTTAATTGCATTTGTGCCTTGAATATATCTGCATATTTATAAACAAGACTCTAGTACCATGCTAACACTTTTTATCTCTTGTTTTTACAGTATGAAAGCCAGGTAAAGCATTGGTTTATGCATGCCGACAGTGAATTCACAAGTTGCCTTAGACAATCTGGCTACCTTGTGTCACTTCTCAGTTATAAATGCAATTTTAAATTTACTGTATTGAATGGAATGAAATAGTTTTGCTTGTGGCCGATATAATGAAATATTTACATACAGTGTTAATCAAAATCTTAATATTTAAAGGGAAAAATGCTGAAGAAATTGTTCTTATTTGTCCTTTATGTATTCAGATTTAATGATTAGTCATTTATTTCTATTTGCTATAAAATCAAAGTTCAGTAACATTTTCTCAATGAGAATGGAGTATACAGTAAGTACACATTTGTTTCTGAATAAAATATTTGTTTGCTTGAAATGTCCCCTAACAAATTATTTTCTAATTACTTTATATTTATGGTGTACACAATAGAAACATACCTCACTTTTGCATTTTTTAATTATTTATAGCCTCTGAAATGTTTAATTATATTTGCAAACATACAGTATACATGTTTAACAGGATAGGACCCTAATGGACCTCACAGTCCAGGATACATACAGTACTGTAATTTACATTTCAGTTGTGGTGGGTGACTTACCACTGTGCTAACAGGAAAAAAATATCATTGGCCATAGAGCAAAGTATGTTATGAACACAGTGCAATTCTACCAGGTACTCTTCATATAGCCTTTTCTCCTTTTGATATCCATAGATTTTGATTATCACTGAAGCTTCAACACATTAGTGTTGACATGAAATTGCTGTTTACTCTTATGAGCTGCTCAAATTCATCTTCTTGCGTGCTATAAAAATGTTTCCAGCTGTGCAAGGTCTTAAATATATATATATATTTCAATACAGCATTATTAATCTTGTTTGTAGAACTTTAGAAAAATAGCATCAAAGGGAATAAATAACTTTAATCTGGTCTTAATTTTTAAAAATGCCAAAAGTTAAATCAATCTTGTTTTCTCCTCCAAACACCTGCAGAGCTGAGGTGACTTTGAAGAAATATGCAGGTTGTCTTAAAGACATTGAAGTTTCTAGAACACCCTACAATTTATTGAACAGCCCAGATTACACTGGATTGACAAGAGGATGCACTATTGAGGTTTGTCAGCAACATTTATAATTTAATTTACATCATTAATTTGCTTTTATGTTCTACCTCTTATGTATTTCCAGGTGTGCATTAGTCAAGAATTAAAAGGGCTGCTTAATGTATTATTTGAGAGTGAAGGAAACCAAAACACCGTTCATATATAAAGTAAATACGGAACATCTAAAGATACTTGTCACTTGGAACTGAAACAAATTCACAAAGTTATTGTCAGAAAAATGTTAAAATTCTGTTTTAAAGAAGCTGCCTATTCAAGCAATCGCACTTTTCATTATTATTTCATTCTGTTTCTGAAGTAACTCCTTAGATGATTAAGGCAAGAAAGCATTGCAGTAATCTAGTCTTCAGGAGATGAAATCATGAATTAATCTTGGAAGAAGGATGTGTTGCAGATGTTTGGACATGGGATCCAAAAAATAGGGAAGAGTCAAAAAAAGTTTTTAACAGAATTTGATGGAATAACTTCTATATCAACAAAAGTGAATTTTAGACCATCTTACTTTGGCACGTGATAGAGTAAGCCAATTAAAATACGAAATAATCTAAAACTCTTATTGTTGTTTAATTGGAGGTCATTTTGAGCCATCTAAAACTATATATAAAGACATCTGATTTTTGTCAGGTAGATTTGAGTATCATTAGTGTAACACTGAAAGGAACTGGTTTAAAGTAGCCAAGGCTGACAAATTGTTGTGTCAGAAAGGTAAGACTTAAACCACTGCAGTATTTTGCCACTTACACCTGCATAATACCCCATCCATTAATCAAAATCTTGTGGTTAACAGTAAGGCTGCTGAAAGGTCTAATAGTACAAGAATGGAGGAAAAGCCAGCATCCACAGAGATAAGAAGGCCATTAACAGCTTTGACTTTAAACGAGCAGATGAAACCACATATTCGGAAGTTTTACTAAGAATGGTAGATTTGAAATAAGCCTAAAACTTTGAAATTCTGATTAATAAAGATAAGTTGTTGGTTTTTTTTTTGAGAGAGGGGTATTTTCAGTCCATTTCATCTGTGCAGGAATTAATGAAGTACACAGGGATATGCTTTAAACAGTACAATAATAGTAGATGGTGCTGAAAAACACCTATTAAATACTTATGGAAGAATTATATCTACTGAACAGTTGTTAAAATTGATTTTCACAGTTACTGTAAATGACTTGGAGTAGACAGTGATAAACTTTGAAAATCTGAAAGCTCTGTACCAGAGAAGCAGTGAAGAACTGGTGTGGCTATCAGACTGGTCTGCCTGGTGGTGTTGATCTTATTCTAAAAAAAACAACGAATCTTTTAACTTGACAGAGAGTGAAGGGAGTCAGTAGGTTTAGAAGTTGGTTTACTGTCTTAAGGTCATTGGAGATGAAAAAATACTGGAGTTGAAAGCAGCATGGACTGACTGGCCTTATTGTAATTAGATAAATGGTGTTTACAAGCTCAAGGTGAACAGATATGGCACTTTTATTCCACAAATGCTCACAATTGTGGCCATCGGTTTTCATGGTTTGCTGATTGATAGCTCATCATCAAACCAAGATGGCCTGGTATCTTGAACTACATAAGCTCATTTAAAGAAGGCTTGGTTATTGACTTTAGACAGATCATATATAGTTAAAGTGTAGAATGCCAAAGGTGAAAGTTGCTTCAGATACTGGAAAGTGACAAGACATGTATGGTTTTCAGGCTGTGAGAACAAAGGTAGGTCAAACCGCACTGACAGGTGGGTGGAAATGCCTTTGTCCTACAGATAGGTTTGGGGAGCTGAGATGTAAATGTCCAGTAATGTCTAAATCTAAATTGTGTTCATGTTTATGAGTAGTCATTTAGAAATTCCTTAGTAAGAGCAGAGTTGTATAAGTCCACATGAATATTAAACTCACCGAAGACCAAAATTTGATCCATTGACGTGCAGACAGACGACAGAATTCAGTTTAGAGAATTTAGTAATAAAATGTGCTTTACATTTCCGTGGGAGATAAACAAGCAAGATAGTAATTGACTGAAGACAGTTAATATTAAAAGTGACAATTTCGAGAGAGTTAATGGGAGGGTAGACCGTAGATGCAGATCTATGTCGGACCCTAGAAAATAGCCAGGACTCCCTGCAGCCTGTATTTTGGGCTTTCTCCAGATATCCAGATAATCACCTCATGTAAAATGCAGTATTGTCAATAATTGTGTCACATTTGGCACAACTGACAGAATTGTGGTCAGATTTTCGACAAGCTGGACAGTCTGGTTGAGAAACTGACCAGGAGGAGCCGATTCTGGAATTCAAAGAAGGTGCTGGTGGAGTCCTGAACCTGAGTAACCTGAGTCTCTGTGGGAGTACTTGAGACAGCTCAGGATTCCTGAGAACGACGGGGATCCTGTAGGGCGGCGTCGGGTTTAAAAAGCCTCAGGATACGGCGTTCATTAGGCATATAGCATTGTAAAAAGAAATGATCCAAAAGTCACACATCCATCAATAGAAGAAAAGGTCAGACCAAATACCAAAGCAATCAGTTCCTCATATGTCAGAAAATAAAGGGAAAAAAGTAGAAAATTAGTGATAGGAAACTAGAAGCTAATTCGCACCAGCGTCCTTTACCTCCCCCATCATAAGAAAAAGAATCATTAGTAAAGATTAGTAATATAGACAGGTATTGTGAAGCAGTCTGTTGCCGCCTGTTTTTATTTCAAACATATGTTTGAGAAAATAAACTAAAGACTGATGAAGAAGCTTTTGACTGCTGAGTTGATCTACTCCAGAACCAAAGAAAATGGTACTGAATTTCACTTTTTTTAAATAATTTTTTTAAGGTGGTATTGGTGGTATTGTGGCAACTGCAAAGAACAGACATCCTTTAGCATACTTTTTCTTCAGATGAGATTAGAAGTTCAGTCACAGGGTGATGTAAGTGTTTTAAAAATGCTGAAAGTTTTTTTTTTTTTTCAGAATATCCATACTCTTAACTTTCCCAAACCTGGGTTTATGGAATTGAAACCATTTTCCTTTGATGTGGGAACTGAAATAACACTGTCATTCAGCACCAAGAATGACAAAGGCATCATCCTGTTCGGTAGTGGTGGTGTTCGTGTTCCACCCAGGAGAAAACGCAGGCAGACTGGACAGGTATTAATAGAAATCTTATTTCCCGTGATGTTCACGTTTGTGAATTGAATAAATTTATCATTGTTCTTTTTCCATATTGTTTATGTACAAGAGTATTCTATATTTAATGCTGAAACCTACAGTAATAGTAGTGAACTGACCTACTCTAATAAGCTCTACATTTGATAGGGTCAGCTGTGTGTAAATATTCTACTATTTGTTTTTAAATGTATGCTCCTATTTAAAGTAGCTTACTTTTTTGCAACACAAACATGTGACAAGAGGGTTACAGCCTATTTTTGTTTTGAAACTGAATGATTGTACTATAATGCATGCCTTCACCCTGTTGTCCTTTCAGACAAAAAAATGACATAGATCTTTGTCTTTAAAAGTGAAAATGTTAAGCATCTGTGGTAATTTTAATTAAAAGGATATTACTTTTTAAAAGGACATTTTCCATCTTTCTTCACAGTCATTCATATCACTCAGTCCCCTGCTCTTCATAGAGCTGTAGGGCATTACATTAATTAAAGCCATTGTGTTAAGGAAATGATAGTAGTTTTAACCTCTAACACTAGGGTGGAAATGTCTTTAGTCAAATAAATTATACAATCGAACAGTAACAGATTGTTTCCAATTTGTGATAACCCTGGGGAAATGTCTAAACCATCACCTTTGATCATCATTATGAGCCATAAATTCCGTAGATGCCATTTAATATCTGTATCGTACAGCGCCTTATTTTAGTTTTTCTAACATTCCACTTCTTTTACTGTTTTGTACATGAAATGGAAGAAGGGTTTAATTTGCTCTGAGGATGAAATAGTTTTCTTTTAAGTTAGAACCAGTGGTCGTCATATATTGCACTCTAAATCTGAAACATGCTCTGCTCAGACATCCAATTAATTAATAGCAAGCCAATGTATATCCAATTCAATTTACTTCTGCAATGATTTGAGATTATCACCCCTCTGAAAGGGGTACATTCAAAATCCGTCGTATTTTAAGTCACAATTCTACAAACTGTTGAATAATCAATGTAGTTTAAGAGATGGTTTGCAAAGGGTTTAGAAATTTCAGCGAATTTGTTGGAAATTGTACGTCAACATACTACGACAGAAGCTGGACATTGAAATTAATAACACATTTAGCTTCCCATGATTAGAGTTCTGTCATGTTTATGCTAGTGTCTTCACTCCACTAATACTGTTAATGTATACTCATATTATCTATGTATGGCTGTGAATTTCTGTAGCCCTACTTTGGAGTTCTCTTGAACAAAGGAGTTCTTGAAGTAACAGTTTTTACTGGAACCCGAAACCCACGCAGAGTGATAAGGAAACCCGAAGAAGGAATTCTTCATGACGGCAGAGAACATTCCTTAAGAATCGAAAGAATAAGGGGAGGGTGAGTAGAACCATTCAACCACATACATTTGCCTCATTCATACCAGATACTGTGCCCTTCAAAAGTACCTAGTCGAGTCTAAATTAGGATTTTTACTATTAAACCTTAATAACGTTTTTTTTTTCTGGTGTGGAAAAAAAATGATAAACACACGAGAGATAAGTACAGTTCCTACTGAAATTATTTTTAATAATGACTTCAGTGTTTGGAGAAAACCGTCAAAAGCCAAAGTGAAAAACAAAGATCTTTTGGATAAAGAAAAGCAGGCAATTTGGAAGCTCAAAGACATGAAAAACATGCCTGGGCCTGGGTCCCATCTGATTCACTTGTCTGACTCCCTGACACTTGTCTTTACTGATGGTGTAACTAATAAAGGCAGCAGCGGAATTAATTGAGAAGCTTACAGCTTACTTGTTGTCTGCTGATGTAGAGGAAAATGCTTCCATACATATTGCATACAACTTTAACATGTGACATGACAGTGACCCAAAACATACAGTATGGCTGATGCATCAAAGGTACACAATGCCAGAGAAAAAAAATGTGTTTAAACAAGATAGTATTGCCTTAAAACAAGATTATTTTGCTTTTAGATGAGATAGCATTGCATTAAAACCAGAAACATTTTGCATTCATCCAAAATAACCTTTTGATGTTTTTGTACTTAAAGATTAAATGATAGACCTGCAATAACAGTATCGGTAAGCCAACCGTAGGTGTACTGTAAGTCTTACTATCAAATCAATGTAAATGTATTCTGTTCACTGTCTAAAGATATGACAAAAAACTGCTGTACGTACAGTACATGTTTCTGAACTTTCACATCAAAAATAACATTTGTTTGAAAGGGCGTGTCATTTCTGATTCTCACAGAAGTGGTGAAAACGACACACGTTTAACCCAGGTGTACGCAATCACAGGGTGTTCTACTTGTACAGTACACAAAAGACAATGCCCATGCTCCTTTAGATTAAATCTGTTGAATAAGAAGGAGAGAGTGACAGCATTGTTCTGTTGTTAAAGTCAATACTCCTTTGTATGGGGCAAAATTATTGCATAGATTTTAGTATAGTATGAAATATTGTTCACGATATAATTATTGTGCTTTAATGCAATGTTATCTTGTATAAAAGCAAAAAGTATCTTGTTTTAGTGCAGTAGATATAGCACAATGTTTCTTATTTTAACGCAAAACGTTTCTCATTTAACCCAATGGTATCTCTTATAAATGCAAAATTATCTCATTTTAATGCTATACTATCTCTGTGGCTCTAATAGGCTTCTGTACAAAGGAGTTCATCATTACAAAAAGAGAAGCTCTTAGACTGGACAAGTGTATACATTATCCAAAGCTAAAATGTATATTATCTTCTACTTAGCATTCATATTATTTTAATGATCACAGATACAAATTGCTACACTGTAATGCACAAATGACATAATCAATAATCTGACCTCGCTCTTCCAGTACATTTGCAGAGCATTGCAGCTCGCATCCAGCAATGTAATGAGAGCAATGTGGAAGAAACTGGTATTTTTTGATCAGTGTGCATATTTTCTTTATTCATAAATAAAGGGATTCCTTGTGTTTGAGCAGCATAACATTCACATTACGTTTTTCCCAATATTTTATTTTCTGCATTGTGTGCTGGACCTAGTGTCACCTACTGCTAGATCTATGACTACACAACCTCCTCCCAATCTCTGGGAAGACTGGCACACTGGGTGGCTGTACTGTACATTTCTAGAACTGGGTTTGCATGAGTGTCAAATCATGTACTCTGGATGGTGAAAACAACTCACATTTGGTAAATGGCAAATTCTGGTAAAAGAAGAAATGGTTATGTTTGCTGTCAAGCTATGAAGAAATAATATCTAAAATAACTAATATCTAAAATCAATAAACATAAAATGTTACAAAATGAAAAATATATTAATTGTGATATCTTTTTAGAATATGGGCTATGCTTGAATAAATAGGAAAATTCTGTATCAGGTCACACTATGAGATTCACTATACATCCTGCTCAAATGAAATCAATATCATACAGAGCTCTTAAATAGATGTAGTGCATTAGAGGAAAAAAAACACATTTCTTTCATTTCATGTCATTTCATTTCTATATAACGCAGTAATAGCACAAATTAACTAGAGTTCAATGTATTCAACTGTGTAATTGGACTACAGTAGTGTAGTCATACTTAAATACCTTGAGAGTTCATCAGTATGGCAAAGCAAAGACTTGTTCTTTAAAGAACTGAATGAAGGTGTTTAACATTGTTTTGAAAACACACTTACAGTTTTAATTATATAAGTTATGGATAAATAGGCCCTAAGACATCAACAGTTTTCGGATAATACACTGCAAGTTAGAATGGGATACTGTTGTAATAGAATGTAATACACTTGTATTCATTCCTTTACATTCAATTGTAAAGATCCCCAAAGAAAATGTATTCCCTATTATTTGAATGTCACACAGTGTCTCATGTTATGTCTAATTTTGTCCAATTTTGATAATGCAGTTTCTGTGCAGAGTGCTTGATTTGAGTAATTTGAGTTCTGTTACTACCAATCTATTGTATAAATATCTTGTCGCTAAAAGCTTTAAAATATAATTGTTTATTGGTATCTGCTGTTTATGAAAAGTGAACCCATATTTCTTAACAGTTACACTATTATCATCATAGCTCAAACATGCTGATGTAATATAACTTGATGTTGAGTGCAGACTTACAAGTAACTCATATTTCTAATACAAATCACTGCTTTCTTCAGTAATATAATAATATAAAGTCATGCAAGGTTAATGTTTAGTGTTATGGTTAAGTTCCAGATTTGTGTGAGTTGTCTCTTTAATCATAGTTATACTGCATGACTTTGTTCAGCAATAAAGTAAAAAGTTTGCCTAGTTATGCATGCTGCTCTGTTCTTGCTGGGTGTATTCCTAATGGAGGATATATACATTTGTCCACAGGGATTTATATCAGAGCTTATGAGTCAGTGCTGGAGTCAGAGGTCTGAGAGGTCAGTCAGTGTGTAATGCAGAAGTTACCGTGTAGTTAAGCTGTCTGCACATCCTTTCAAACAAAAGAAATCTAAGCCACCAGTGTCAAAAGCCTACCGTTATACTGTATTTGTTTCAGTCACTTAACAGCTAACGTTCTATTGTCTTTCTTTCTCTTCTCTTGCAGATTCACAGTGCAGGTGGATGAAGAAAACAAGTTTGAACAGACCCTACCTAATGACCAGCCTATAAGCATCAGAAAGCTCTTCGTTGGTGGCATCCCCCCTTACATTGAGGCCAGCACTCAGAGGAACATCCCCTTTGAAGGATGCATATGGGACCTCGTCATCAACACCATGCAAGTTATTGTTTAATTCAACAATATGAATTCATTAACGGCAGTCTGCTGTGATTTATTAAACAGAATTGACACATTTAATACTAGGCAAAACAAAATTTCAACCCACCTACAATACCAGTTAAAATAACTGGTTCCATTGTTTACCCCTCTGCTCCTACAGTACTTTACTTAGTACCACCATCCACGGTCTCCTCTGTGTATAGTAAATGTGTTTTATCTTGTGTATTCTTTTTATTTATTGTTGTTGTCATTCTGAAAAGCGCTTTGAGAAGCCACCTTTAAAGGCGCTATATAAAATAAAGTTATTATTATTATTATTATTATTATTATATCAACAGCACAGGCCAAATGTGTCATTTGCAGTGTGGCTCCCTTATTGTCAGAGGGGTTTTGGTTTTACGTACTGTATGTTGTGAGAAAGGTAGCATAGCTTGTTGGACCTTCACACAGGTTTCATGTTTCATTCACTCTATAATCCAGGCAGTGAATAGATGTGCAGTCTCACCTGTGAAGTTGCGTTTTTGGGGGCCTCTAGTGGCTGAGTCATGGTTATTACAGTCCTTCCATTGATGATGATCATGATGATAATAATAATTTGCATTTATAAAGCTCCTCTAAAGAACCAAATAACAATAAAAGCTTGATTTGATTTACTATTTAGCCATTTGGTAGGTAGCCTAACCTATTTGTGGCGAACGTTTCAAGTGGCATCAATGTGTTATCACTCAAGTGAGCCTAAAAAAATAATAACAAAAATCTTCAAGATATCGGCATTGTTTTTAACTTTTGGACTCTCCCTCTTCTTCCTCCAGCCCTGTGGATTTTGCGCAGCCAGTGTCTTTCGAGAACGCCGAGATCGGGCAGTGCCCCACCATGGCCGTGCCCCGCAGGCCTCTCCTGGAAGAGACCACAGGAATTCCCCACTTCGCTGCCATACCACCTACACCTGCTCGGACCACAGCGGCCCCCGCCAGGCAGCCGCCGACCCCGCCCCCTGTATGTACACAGGCCCACAGTCACAGCCCCCCTTCATTTAGTCTGTGCCTTCAACCCCTCTTACTGCAGTCGCAAAGGGGGCCTTGAGTGGTCTGCTGATACAGCTTATGAAGATTGATTTTTTTTTAATGGGAAATAAAGAATTTCCCGGTCCATTCATTTTATTTTTTAATTTTATTTTATTGTAGAGGGCCAGCAGTTAAAACCACAGAGTAATGAGATTCCAAAATAATCCACATAACTTCTGTTTTTTTCCCACAGTCTTTCCTCTAACGTCCTTCTAATTTCTTGGCCATAGTCTGCTTACATAGCCTGAAACCAGAACATTCTTCGCTAATGTACAGTATGTGTGTTCCTGCAGTCAGCTGCTAGGCTGTAGCTGTGCTATTGAATTGTGCTGAATGTCTGCAGTCAAAAGATCCTTCTACTTTAAATACAACCTGAAAATCTAAGTTCATTTAGTTAAAACAATTTGCTCTAGGAGGATTAAACATGTTTCCAAGTCACTATATACTTATATAGTTATAGTATTTAAGTTCACAGCAACATCAGTGTCCATAAAGTATACTGTAGATTGTTTATGGCCAGCAACACACTGCACTTTTTTTAAATAAACTTATTTATAAACAATTTGTAAATACAGAGGATCTCAATGTGCTTATTATAGTGCTACCAACTCTGTGGTTGCACCTCTTGTACTTAGATTAGTTTTTGTCTAATCTGTTTAAATTCAATAAATAGTACTTAATAATCTAGACAGGAAATAAAGTTGTAGATAGAACTAGATCAGTAGGAATAGAGTTCTGTTGAATTAAAAGGAAATGCTTATCTGGTTTTCCCACATTTCTATGACTGTTGTATGCACAATCCTAGCCAATGCATGAGCATCTGCATAAGGCCCTGCATGGTGCAGGATGGCAAGATATCACATCCTGCTGTGCTTATCTGTTTTGTCTTATGGCTGATATTCTGTTGCCCTTGTGTCCAGGACACACAGTGTAATACTGCCGGTCTGTGTCTGTACAAAGAAACTGGTGAAAATTCATTTTTGTAAATAATTAATCATTAAATAATTAAAGGCTTTAACATTATTTTCTATAATGCTATAGCTAATTATATTTTCTATATAAGCTGTGAACTACACACTTTAATATTTGTTTTCTAAATAGACGTTGTACAGGTACTTGTTTTTCTATATGTTTTGTTAAGTTCTTAAGTAGTTGTAGTGAAAATGTGTAAGTTACAGTGAAAGTGTGTGATTTGATATCAGCTATTTATAATATACACCTATATCTTTAAATTAGACTCATGTACTGCAGATACAGTATCTCAAAAGTGTTTCAGAATGCTATTCATAATGTTATACGTAACATTCCTAAATATTTCACATTACTCTCTCTCTCTCATAATTCAAAATGTATGTTGTATAGCAGTTTGATCCATGAGAGTCATCGATCATTATTATGTTCATGGTTATTGTTTAGCTTGTTTTGTACTGAAGAAGTTCATCTGCTTTAACAAGATGCTGCTCCTAACTCTGCTTTACCTTACTCTGCTGCTCATAGGATTCCTTTGTAGCCGAGTTCAGGAGCGCCAGCCTTGCTATTGACCTTGACTCCACACCGGTACCTTCTAGCTCCAAATATTTCATATTTACTCTGTGTATAGCAAGCCTATCAAAATTTAACTAATTTTTCTCCATTCATTTGAGTGGTGTGAAGTAAAATGACTGTAACAAAATCCCCTTTTGTCAACACTGTGTGACTCCATAACAATTAACCATTCCCTCCTTTGTATGTTTTTATTTAAATATTATGGGGATTATACAATGTACTGTATGTAAAAAATCTTTGTGCTGAAACAAAAGATAACAAGTACACTATGTCTTCCTTTCAGTTTTATCAGCATTTAAGTCAGTGAACCAGCAGACTAGTACCAATCTAAAAAGCCAGTTTCTGACTAAAAGTTAACTAAACGTGATTCTGTTTTTTAGCTTCAAGTTAAAGAACACAATTCTGGAGGCTGCACAAAAACAAATGATATAATACATTTTAATTGAGTACCTAGGAAATTAGAGTTCCTTTCTTCTGTGCATTACCATTGATGCAATATAGTGTATGTACTGTAGTGTGGCAAATTGCCAGATATGAGATGTGTTTATCGTGGCTTTTAATTTGAAAGCTTATTGTTGCCTATTTACAGTATTTTAAATATAATTTAATGTTTAAAATACTTGTGTGTGAGTTACTAATCTGCACTGCATGAATCTCTTACACGTTTTATGAGACATTGACTGTTTCACAATCAATTATGTTAAGAACTGGCTAATAGTAACCTAATAAGAATAATAAGCTAATACTACTGTATCTTGGACCCTCTCTCCTCATTCCTTTCTGACTGCATCAATAGGCTGAGTGATTTTATCCTGACATTTCTTTTGGTACATTCCTCCAGGCATTCAGCACAAACTTTGAGAAGGAAAAAAAACAGCTTTGGTGCTGCTCCACTATATGAAATCTAAATGGCAGTGTAATACAGATTAACTTTATCTACCATACACTCAAAGTGCTTTAACAAAGAAAATTGAAGTTAGATACTGTATAAGGAGATACAGTAACTTACAACTTGTTTAGCGACACACACTGCTCTGTCTAATGCAGACAGTAAATCGCATTGGAGACGATGTACAATCAAGGAATTTCAGCTTGTGGAGGCACATTGTATCAGTACTTACCAGACATTTTTATGAGAACTTGACTGTTCTCTCGATGTTACCAAGCAGCAGTAACATTTTATTCTATTAAACTTGGAATGATAGAACAAGTCCATCTAAAACATAAAATCATTGTTTTGATGTGGAACCTCTAGAGAAGTATAGAATAATGTAATTACAGACAGGCTTGTTCCATGTAAGGATCCTATTAAATTATGAAGCACAAAGATTGGATAATACGACAAAAACATCCATAAACCAAACCATGAGTATCGGAATGCAGATTTTTGCTGGGAGTCAAAGAATAGTGCAAGATAACGTATACCATCTTTATTTTGGGCATTTTTCCAATTTTTTTATTTTTGTGGTGTTTGAGATTGGTCTTCGGTAAATACTGGGCCTACTACTTTTCATTTAGTTTGTTCCACTCACGACACAACAATCAATGTTTTGAGATTGAGACACATAGTGGTATGGACAGAAATAACTGAACAATGCAGATATGTTTAATGAAACAAAATATGTTTCATGATCATAATAATTCTAAATAAAAACAGGATTGATAGTGACATAATAATGATGTATTGCATTGTCTTTATTTTAATACAGTAATATGTATGTAATGAGTAATATATTCCTTGTAAATTGAATACATTATTTAAAACAAGAAAACAATACAAATCTAAAAATACTTTGAAGAATTCTTTATTATAGAGACTTTTCTTTGCTGTTTAGTGGTGCTATAAATTCAATTCCTTCTTTAACAGCTCCACCTATTGTTTAAAAGAGAGAATAACTTATGGAAACACTAGATGGAAATTTACTAAGTGCAGTAATGGTCTGGAATGCATAATTTAAATGATAATAATTGCCTTTGTAACTTCCACATAATTACCTTTACTAATCTCATGTTATTCTTACATTTTCCTACAGTAAAATGTTTCTTGGATATATTGTTTTTGATTTAAAAAATAATGCCTATATTTTGCATGAAAACAAAATGCATTAAAATTGTTCTGGACTAATCATTGAAATCCTGTTTATTTCAATCTGCAGGTATCATGTGCTGCTCAACCAGATTCTGTGACGTTAATGAATGCAAAACAGTTTGGTCTTTCGAGAAACAGCCACGTGGCTCAAGCATTTGATGATACAAAGGTTAAGAGCAGGTAAATTTGTATTTGAAATGTACAGTTAATGAACATTGTCTGCTTGGTAAATCACAGTGTTCCTAATGTGTTATGAACTAATTAAATTAAAATATATGCATTTCACAACAAAGTGATCCGGTCAATTCAAATTGCAATGATTTGGAAAGATGATAAGATTGTAAATATAGTCATTACTGGATATTCTTTTTCTTCCAGACTAATAATTGAGTTTGAGATCCGGACGGAGGCTCAGGCAGGGCTGGTGTTCTACGTGGCCAGAATAAACCATGCAGATTTTGCAACAGTCCAGCTGAAGAATGGAATAGCCCATCTGAGTTATGATCTTGGAAGTGGAAATACATCTGTCAGTGTGCCACGGATTATCAACGATGGACAGTGGCACAAGGTCAAACAAATTTCTCAGATAATAGTTTCAGCCCTTTTTAAACCTGAGCAGATTTTAATTTAAAACAGTAAAGAATTAGTTACAGGATGGTTTTAGGATCAACTTCCTTTACAGCTGCTCACCCAGATCCCCTCCATCTGGTTACGTCTGACATAAAAACGTACAAGTATAAGAAAGGTCACAAACGAGAGAAGGTCATTCAGCCGTTCTAGTCTCTTTGGTTCTGTACTTGGTACAGTAGTTAATTGATCTAAGGTCTCAAACAGACGTTTCTTGATGGAGGCCCAAATTGTCCATGCAACAAATTGCATTCCCCGAAATAAGTATAATTACCTCACAGTGTTTTATTCAGGAATCCAAACCTTGGTATTTTAACAATCAAGTTGTTAAACCTATAGCAAACGCTGAAGCAAAACTTTCTGTATTATTACCACGCTAATTTGGAATGCCTTTATTTTGTGAAATGAAAAGTTGAAAGATCTTATAGCTGTACTGTACCCTCTTGAACTAATTTTGTTAATTACATCTTGGGTTTCTTGATTCCATGTTTTATGGTGCTCATGCACTGTTTTGAAATATAATTCTGAATGATTTTCAAATGTGTGAAAACATCTCTTGGAGTATGTATTTCTTGTAAAAAGAACTTGAAGTTCACAGCATGAAGATAGCAGTAAACGTGAAATATAGAATGTTAATTATATGAAGTACTGTATATGAAGCCTTTGCACTTTTCTATTAGATCTGCACTGTCTTAAGCTTTGGAAAATGTCAGAAGACCCTCTGGCATCAAAATAATAATGTTTGCAGATTTTCCACTATTTATTTATCAGACTTTCTATTATTGTATTCACAGATAAGGGTTCTAAGGGAGAAGCAAAGAGCGATACTAACAGTCGACAACCGTTTTTCAAAACACACAACAAGCCCCAAAAAAGCAGATATACTTGATGTTGTTGGCTTGATATACATAGGAGGACTTCCTCTGAATTATACGACAAGAAGAATTGGTCCCGTAAGAATATTTTTTTTTGCATTGGAAATTTCTCATTGAACCCAGAACAATGTTTGTTTGTGTGTACAGTATCTGTTCCTGATAATATGCAATTATAAATCAGAACATTTTTTATTGGACAGTGCAAACCTTCAAACATTAAAGATATATATTACATACTATATATATTAACAATAGTATAGTAAACATAATGACAAGCACATTGCTAGTTCTGCCTACACCATATTAATAACTTGGCATGTGCATCTTTAAAAATTAAAATGAAAGATTTTTTGTATGAGATATTTATAAAGATAGAAACATGTCATTTAAGAAAAACAACAGTTTGTAATACTGAGTGCATCTGCCACTACTACAAAATATTTATTCTGATGTTCTTCTTTGTTTTATGTGAAACAGGTGGTGTACAGTATCAATGCTTGCATAAGGAATTTCAAAATGCTGAATTCTATGCTGGATTTGGACAATCCTACCTCTAGTTACAATGTTGGATCTTGCTATGTCAACGCTCAGAAAGGAACTTACTTTGATGGCACAGGGTTTGCCAAAGCAGGTATTGCAAGACAACATGAATGAGCACTGAAAACAACTCGGGCAATAGAAGGAAGACACTGAAGTATTTGTTATTGCATTGCTGCTAACTATTCTTCCCAAAAGTCATTTCAATTATAAGTAGCTGTCAATGTTTCAAAAGTATCTAATGTGGAAATGTTATCTTTATTTTTTACATTACAGTGGGTGCATATAGAGTTGGCACAGATCTCTTAATAGAGCTTGAATTCCGCACCTTCAAAAACAGTGGCATCCTTCTGGGAATAAGCAGTCAAAAAATGGATGGATTGGGTATTGAACTATTTAATGGAAAAGTAAGTAAATATATTGGCAGTGTCAAATGATGTGGTTCTTTCTGTATGAGATTCTCAATGTACATAGTAAACACGCAAAAAAGGTCTTAAATGACCAGATATGTAACTAATATTTCAAATATAAGAACGTTGCCTTCTGATAACAATCCTATTGTCTTTATACCTTGAAGCATTGATGTATCAGGTGTATTGTTGTGCTTAATTGAAAATTGACAGGTGTTCAACAGAAAAGAAATAAACAAATCCAGCAGATCCTGGTGTACCAGAAAGAAATTTAAAGTCACCTGGCCCAGCATACTTGTCATTTCTTTTGGGTTTTTCCTCCTACCCTGCCTCTACATCACAGCTGGTGCCTGTCTTGAATCAATCTGCCTGTTGGTCGCCTTCTTAGGATATACTGTAGGCAGCAGCTTGCAGTCTTTGAAAGACAAGACAATTGAAGCATGTATAAAAGTCAAAGATTTTTCATCGAAAACATTTACTTACTATACACCATAATGTGTAGTTACACGTGTCTTACAAGAAAAACCTTTCAGGTCTAATGTTATAAAAGTAAGCAACCACTACGAGTCATTGAATTATTGAAAAACCATATGACATAATATATTTATATTTACTTATTATTAAATGTTTTATATTCAGGGGCATTTGTCTCTTTTCTAATGATGTATCTGAGTTAGAAGATGGAAGGGTGAAAGGAAGAATGGATGAATTTTTACTGTAAACAACAGTGGATATCTCTAATGAAAGGATCTGCCATTTTGAAGATGATAATTTATTATTATTAAAAAAATTAATACTTTTTTAAACAATGCTAAATGCTAAAAAAAACTCTCCTCAGGTGCTCTTCCATGTCGACAATGGGGCTGGACGATTTACAGCAGTATATGAGCCTGACGCGAAGAGCAGTCTCTGTGATGGTCAGTGGCACACAGTGGTAGCCAGTAAGCTGAAACATCGCCTTGAGCTCACTGTGGATGGCCAGAAAGTAGAAAGCCAAAGTTCTAATGTCCAGTCGACATCAGCGGACACAAACGACCCTGTTTTCGTTGGAGGATATCCTGGTATGTTCATGAGTACAGTCACAGTACAAAGCAATTATATTTTTAAGTATTAATTTACTGAAATATTATTTTATTGTTGTTATATATCACCTAAGGTTTGTCTAAGTCATAACTATAGTTCACATCGTATCATAAATCCAGAATGAGTAATAAATACAAAATATTAAGATTACTCATTTCAAGATGAGAACTGTAAATTGTACATACAAAATGCATGTCTCTGATTCATTACTAAATAATGTCATTACTATCATCTAAAGTTTCACAGCAGTTCCTTTGTTTGAATTGTCTGAAACAGAGCAATGTCAATTGGTGAATGTGATTATTTGTTCCTATTTAGATTTTCTTTCTCCTTGAGTCTTTTCCAGAAATGTTATTTTCACTAAAAATATTGTTAAGCCAATATTCAGCGCGCACAAGACAAGAATTTAATGATCAAAAAAGAAAATGTTGTAGTGCATTTTAACATCTAATCTGGAATCACAGTCATAGTAGACTCAAGTAGGCATTTATCTTATTGTGACTTAATAGGCAGGTTATCGATGGAAAGAAAACTTATACTGCAATATTATTTTAAACTTCCTTTTTAGATGGGCTGAAGCAGTTTGGGTTGACCACTAAGACACACTTTAAGGGATGCATCCGCAACATGAAACTAGCAAAGGGCTCCAAGACGGAGGAAATCCTCTTTGACAAGGCACTGGAGCTACATGGAGTGCAGCCCCTGACATGCCCTTCAGACTGATCTCAGACCTGCTTTATTTTAGAAAAAGAGCCTGCTGGAATGGAATTTAAAGTAAACAAAAATAAAATACAAATACCGTACATGAAATTGTGTGTTAACTAAGTTTGTGGCTTGATTGTATCAGTGGTGTTACGTTCTAAAATGTAGTATTTAGATTTATGAAGTTGGATTAGAACAGCTAAGTGAAAAATATTGGAAATCTAACAGATCCATACAGTATAAGGTGTATCTTTTATACCAAATTACCTTCCTAAAATGGATCCAGCGGGTGTTTGTATGTAAGCATTTGTATTGTAGAATGCATGGTGTGATTAAAACACTGTATTATGAATGCAGCTTTGAAAATATATCTCTTCAATTAAATTCCAAGGATTTTCATGTGTTACTTGAAACGTAGCAATATCCTGGAAAGACACAGTTAAACAAGAGCAGTGATTTCCCAGCCCTGTTTCACAATTAGTGATCTCTACATTTCTTCAACGAAAACATTTCCCATCAAGCAGGTTTTGCAAGATATATCTTCTAACAATGGGACCGAGTGTCCTTATATCCCACTGAGTTTCATTATTTCAGTGTAAGAAAAGAGGAATTTCGACACAAGTTGTGAAATTCTCTGACAGAAGGATTTCATTTACTAGTTCTGAATACAAAAAGACATACAGTATATATAATGTATATGGATTTAGACTGTCGATATTATGGCAGATTTAAATGTGTTTGAAATAATAATACCACTAGAAGATGACAATACAGTACGTTTACGGCCACATACTTGAAATGCCAGTAATGACATATCATGACTTCATGAAAAAGAAGAATAATTGTCCCTCAAAGGACTAGATCGTCATCTCTGAAAAGGAACAAAACCACATTTGAACAAAGCAAGTTAGTTTAATTTTAATTAAAAATAATTAGAACACGTCAGTTTTTAAACATATTGCAATTTATATACAGTATGTTACATACAGCATGCTATTTTTTTAGTTTGAACAGTAACAAATGGACTTAAAATTTTAATCTCGACCCTAAGATGACTGAAAATGTCAATGTGCACTTTGGTGATATGAAAATATAGCTAAAAATAATTATCATTATTTTAAGTGTTCTAGTGAAAGAAATACATTTTAAATTGTGTTTGATAATAAAACAACGAACATTTGTCTAATATGTATAAAAATAAAGACTAATATTTTTATATTAATTATATAAAGTATAACATACAGTATAGACTGTCTCTTATGATTATGGCAAAATACCTTTACCATCAAATGTAGCAGTGAAGCAATCAAGTGACTGTAAAATAGATAACAGATCAACTAAAAAAACACAATGTATGCAATTACTGACACAGGAAACAGGAACTACTATTGCCTCAAAATGTGGAAGACCAAGTAAGATTACTGAAAAATGTGGCAACTCACAAACATTCTCTGATTACCTAAAGCAAATTGACAAAAGCATTTTAAAATGATGGTCCAGAAATCCATGTGTGAAAAAAAAAACAAGATGTAAACTTTTGTTAAAAACATACAAAATAAAAATGAACCCTGACAATTTATTTCAGCTATACTGCTTTGTAATAGAAATTCAAACACTAATTTTTCCTGTAAAAATCAACAATGTTTGGCAGAAGAAAGGAGAAGATAATCGAGAACCGTTCCCCCTCGGCCACAGGTTATGTTATGTTATGTTATGGTCTTATCTTTAAACAGCTGTCAAGCTTTTGCTTAACGAATATTACAAAATAATGGGCTACTATATTCTGAAAACTCATTTGTTAACCTGTGCTACCAAGCTTGTTTTTTACAGAAACAAGGAAGATCATCATTCTGGAACAACCACAAAAGATGGCTATTTTAGCTGCTTCCCAAGAATCCTGTACATGGGATATTCTGTTACATTTTCATTACTGTGGTTTCCCTTTTCAATATGAAGCAATCTTGTTTCCTCGGAACTAAATACTGTCATTTGTACGCTTTGCATACTACACAGGTCCATATAACTGCTCTACAGCCTCCATCATTCATGGTTGTCATTCCTCTGCTCTACAGTGCATGTTCTCTGACTGGTGTCCCCTAAAGCCTTGCACGTACAGTACTGTACAGCCTGACTCGATCAAATTAAACTCGCGTAACGAGAGCTCTTGTCAGGGTTGTTAATGATCGGTTGATGACAGATTACTCCAGTCACATACTGCTGGATTTTAGTTACGTATTTGAACTTCTGGTTATTCCACCTTGCTGAATAGGTTAGAGAAGGTTGTTGGTATTAATGAAACTGCTTTTTCATGGTTTAAGGAAAGTTATATACAGTAGCTCCTCATTTGAGACACAATAGCTCATTGGTCCAACCTGGTTTCCATTGTATTAAGTGAACAGAGAGGACATTCCCCACCTGGATGGGGCAGAGCCTAACCTCAGCCCTGCTGGTGCCCTTTTGTACACCTGAATAAACTGGAACCCTTGGGATAACGCATTTCACTCAACATACGAAAAGCAGTGTCTGCAGTGGGAACTTGAACTCACAACCCACCAGTCAGGAGCTCAGAGACTTACTCGCTGTGCTACACTGTCCCATTTCATAGTTAATATTTTGAAAAAGTTGGGTATCGTTTCTCCTCAACAAAAGTTGGTTATTTCTGCTGACCTCCAGGACTCCATTCTTGAAAGTTTTCTTTTCACTCTATGTTACCATTAGGTCAGATTTTGTATTGCTACGGCATCAGTTTTCATTACTATGCTGATGACCCCTAATTTCCATCTGCACAAAACTTGCCGTTAATCAAGCATGGCCTGTCTTATCGCATTACATAGATGATGTTAAAAATAGATGCAGCAAAAAACTTTGTACATATGAGCTCAGTAGTTAAACTGATTGGCACTTACTGGCTCCACAGTTAGTGCCAAACAACAGATTTTCTTTTGAGGGTCCTTGGAATTTGGTGTAATCCAAGTACTTAGGTCAGGAATTTTGCTGTCATCTTTGATTTGATTTTGATTCGTAGTTTGTGTTTGAAGAACTGTGATCTTTATTCATTCTTTCATCATTCCTTTCTGTTCACATCTCTCACAATCTGATGCAGAAAGAGGAATGCATGCTTTTGTCTTTGCCAGGCAGGGCTTGCTGGTTTATTCAAGTTCAATTTCAGACCTGGGGTGCCGTCTGCATGGATATTGTATAGTCTCCCCGTGTTCACATGGGTTTCTTCCCGCAGTACAAAAACATACTGGTAGATGAATTGGCTTGAGTTAACTGGCATGAGTACAAGCATGCCTGTGCCTGTGAGTGTCTGAATTGGATGAAGTGGTTAGAAAATTAATGGATAGATGAATAAAATGACTTGAAGGGTATATTAAAAAAGTTACTTTTTTAATTTTGATGGATCATTGATCCGTTTAGAAGCAGTTAATTGAATGGCATCTATTCATATCAACAACAGATAAGAGAACACCTGTCAAATAAAACAAAGTTGCTTTCAAGCGAGAGCTCATGTATTGCACAACAGGAGTTCTCAATTCACGCAATCAGTTCACAGACTTCCTTATTTAAAAAGGAGCTGACAGACAGAAAAGGTTCACATACAGTTTCTTTTGTGCTAGGAGAAAAAATCCTATGGCACACACTTTTGTATTGTATTAAATTAAAATGGATTTATTAATTTTGTTCAGAATTTAGGGAAACTATACCATAAGGAGGCCTTATAGAAACCTGCCAGTTTCTAGCACACATAAGTCTTCATTAGCATAACATACATCATTAATTATTCTCCTGTAGGCACTTAATTAGAAGCACAGCAAAAACAGGCCCAATTGATAATCATTTGTAACTAGCATAAACTCCTATTATCATTATCAAACTTTTGTTTTCTGTATAATGTACACCACTTAATGCTTACAACTCAAAGTTTGGGCAAATCAAATTTTGAATATTTATGTTTTGGTTTCACATGGGATACTACCACATCAAAACTGTAATGGAACACTTGGCAGGTAAAAATATTTGTTGTATTTTTAATAAGATTTCACACATTAATACTGTTTGTAATTATATTGTCAATTAAAATGTATACAATGCTTAAGGTGTTATAGAAAACTCTTCAAATTTTAACAGTTCTTCACTTTAACTTACATTGAGTTTTAAAAGTCTCGTTCTATTGTGGTGTCCTGGGGGTAGTTGACATTATATTGGGCGTGGACAGGCTCTCAATCTCCTGTCATGCCCCTTTATAAGTTTTTCTTGGTTTCCTTTACTTTCTTATACACACTCTTCTCCGAGAGTGGTGATCACACTGACCCCCTCATCGGTGTAACAGGACACATGACTCCACATTCCATTACTTCTGGGTCCTTTACCTTCAGAGTCCCAAGTTCACCAAGTTCATCCCGTTTTCCTTACTGCTAGGAACCTCCTGCTCCCAGACCCCAACACAGAGCCTCCTGCTCCTACTCCATTAGGTCACTGTTTCACACTCAACCAGTTCCTCAGACTCCCAGGTCCACCTCCAGCCCTGACGTCCTCTTCCCAACGCCAACAGGTTGGGTTACACAAGTACACACTACCTGTACCTACATCACCGGGTCTCTCCTGCACTACATACCGTGCCAAGACCCAGCACACGGTCCCTCTCTAACACACACTCACAACTTCTCTGGCACCTCACTCTCACGCCCTTAGGTTGTGAACTCACAGCTGCCAGCGCACCCCACGTTGTGCCCAGCCACCACCGTGTTACATCTACACAGCTGCCAGTGCACCTCAACGTGCCCAGCCACCACATCACTATCTCCCAGAGGGTGCAGCTAGATAGACCCCACTCGCTTCCTCGACACCAATGTATTGCCAGGGGGAGGGTCCCTCTACCACACAACCCACTCTGGTCTACACACACTAACTCATACAGCAGACACGTCAGCCCTGCTCTCACACCCTAGCAGGATGCTGTCCCTTTAAATCTTTCAACGATCTCATAAAGCCCAGTTTCTTGTCCGTCTCCTCGCACACTGACGTTTTCGCTCTTTTCCCCACAGCCTATTCCTCTCACAACCCCGATTGTCGATCTTCTCCACCCCCTCTCGGGGTTACTACAGTGGCTAGTCAAGTCTTTGCTCACTCATACTGTACAGGGCTGCACGCCCTTCTAACATCGCCCCGACTAGTAGCGTCTCACACCCGCTCCTGTCCTGCTTCAGCTCGGCTCTCCCCCAGCAGAGCCTCCGCATTTGTCCTCTCACCAGTGCAGCGACAGCAAGGCCAAGCTCCTGCTGCATCTTTTCCCCCTTTAAACCACTTCTACCCCTGCTGTTCCTTCACTTAATCACGTCAGGTGGGGTTTTCACGGCAACGCGTCTTCCTTAATCCGGGGGCTCCGCTCCCCACACCAGACACTCCCTGCGTTGTACTGTACCACACTATTTAAATCGAGTCGGTGTACGTTTCCAAATTTTTAAAAATCATCCCCATTTATAGGAAAAGGCGGAAGCATTATAATGTACTTTCCAAACCCTGCCCTCTTCTCCTATAAATGTGTTGTAATAGCCCAAGCATGAGAAGGAAGAACACGACTTTAAGAGTAGAGGACGCGCACAAGAGATTCACTTATTGTACACTGTGCAGTATATGAGGAAACAAATATGAGGAAAGGAATTTACTGTCTTAGTCGGCCTTTTCTACTGGGCTCTGGGCATCGGGCAAGGGTAAACCAAACCCTCAACCCAGCTAAGCTGCCTATAACTGTAAGATCTGTGCATTCTTGCAGAGCCCTGGTTTACAGAAAGCACGGAGCAAAAAGTGATGTGATAAGGTAAGGCATTCACGACTTTCATTCTTGTTGAAATATGAAGGATTTTATTTTTGTTTGTGATATGGAGTTAAACATATCACATTTTAAATTAATACAATCGGAATGTATTGCATTTCTACACTATTTTGAGCCAAATATTCTTAATAGGCATTAGAGTCTCTAATACTTGCCACATACTGAACATACTGTACACTATTTTACAGGGAATCACCTACAGTACACAGGCGAATGATGAACATAAGGTTACGCTGCTTGCTACTGTATGGTTGTTAGAAGTGCTGCTTTAAGTACCCTTAGCAGTGTATCATGTTTTCTCTCTATTTTGAAACCAGTGATACATTTTATAAGACCTATAGAACTAAGGCATGTACGATAATTCAAAGAATATGTGTTCAATATTACAGCTGTATACAGTATGAAGGTGGATTATAAAATTTGTTTAAATTACTTGTTGAACTTGTTAACAAAACTATGAAAACAACAGCACCAAAATCTCAGCAACCAGTAAAAAAAGAAGTGTGAGAAAGGATAAAACTAACGGACTGTGGTAATTAACAATGAGAAACAGTAAGCTACAAAATACAGTTATAACTTATCCTGCACAGTAAGATCTCATGCAAAGTTTTCTTCCCTCTTAAGAATGGAGAAAATAACATTACGTAATGTTGGAGACACTGACGTTAGAATGAAGATGCTGGCTGCACCTGTTAACCCAGCAGATATTAACATGCTTCAAGGTACAATATTTTATACGTGTATGTTTGTCCATATAAGTGTATCCTTAACTAAGTTGTTCCTTTAATGCCACAGCAATAAAATAACAAAAAAGTTTTAAATGAAACAATTACGGAACTTGTCAGCTGTGAAAAGAAGAAATTACATACATAGTCCATTACACAACCAAAACCACAATAACACAATGAAACAACGAGACAATGAAGGAAAATAAAATAGTTTTATGCACAAAGCTGTGATAGAATTTTAACCAGTTTCCATGTTTAGCAGTAGCATTTTTTAAAAGGTCATACATGTGCAATAAAAATATTGGTGTTCTCTTATAAGTTTTAAATTTCAGTTGCACAACCACTTAAAACAAATTAACCCTCAAAATGAATGTACTAATGAAAACACATATTTCATTGACTGATAGTGACTGAAGAACACTAATCTAGACAAACCAACTTGCTTCAACAATTTGTTTTTATTGTCTATTTAAGTAAATGAGATTCTAGCAGGAGTATTTACTGTTTAAAACTTCTTTAATTTTGTTTTCTTTTCTCTTTGCCTGAGAAACAATAATTTTGTTCATTTAACTTATTACACGTTGACAACAGTGGCCTAGGAGGAATTCTTCAGTTTTGTTTTCATTTTATAACTTTCTTTCCCAAGTTTTCACCTTATCAGGAGCAAAATAAAATTGTATGTACTGTAGTATGAATTAATAAGCTTAAAATAAAACAGTATGATTTAATAAGCTTATTTTTTTGTTTTAATAGATTGTAAAAAAGAAAACAAGATTGAAAAAAATAAAACAGGAATGAACAAACAGTAAAGAAACTCCTGGAGACTATTAATATCTTACAGTAAGGGAGGCCACCTGAAGGCCTTAAGATGTTCATGTCATTTACTGTATGATCATAATTATTTTATTGATCTAATTATTTTAATATGCATATAAATGGTCTTTAAGGTCTTTACCATTTAACCACATGTGTTTTGAATCCTTCTCCCTCTGTCTTGCAATATGTTTTGCAATTACTGTCTCATTGTCACACATTTCGTCAAAGAACAATAAAAGGTTCTTTTAGGCCTTTAACTTGAAGTTACTGTATTAAACCCGTGTTTGAAAAGTAGAATTTAGGTTTAAGCCAGTGTAGTAATAATCTTCCAACATCCATTTTTAGAAAAAGTTATATAAGAGTTGCTGTTCAGTTAAATATTACTTACAGTATCTACAAATAAGATGCTCGAAGCATTTCAGACTTGGTTCACAGATTGATGCCTCTTGTAGTTCTGAAACAGCTCTTCATGAGTTTACTAATGACTTACTGCTGACTGATGACTTTGGTTTGTTATATATTCTTCTCTTACTGGACCTCAGAACTACCTTTGTATTTTTAAATCATACCATCTTGATGATTACTGGCATTACTGTAACTGTTTTGTCATTTAAAATCTTGAGTAACAGCTTAAAAAAAAGTTAGGTATTGTTCCTTCTTGTAAGTTTCATCCATTTTAAAGTTAGTTTTTATTTCTATGCTAATGACACCCAAATGAATGTTCTTATGAAACCTTGCTCTACAGTATACCTTAACATACAGGTACTGTTTAGATAATGATAATAAAAGGGTGCAAGAACTTTTTCTGCATCTGAGCTCTAACAAGGCCAGTGTTATGTTGATTGTCTCTCCTTATCAGCGCCACTTTACAGTATGTATTTGAGTCAGAGCAAGTAATCAGGTTGGCAAGCCTGGTATACTCTGATTCAAGTCTTTCGCTTGTACCTTATGTTCGCAACATAGTGAAGGTGACTTTATCTTAATAACATTGTTTATAACCATTCTTCTCTCTCCCAATCTGATTTAGAGAAACTGATGCATAACCGTTTGTTTTCTTTCCAGCCTCAATTATTGTCATACTGTTCTTGCTTGCGTATCCAAATGTGTTCTTAACAAATTGCAATATGTTCAGAGACAGATGCTCGGTTCTTAACCAAAACTGGAACACATGAGCAGATTTCTCGTTTTCACTTTTTTGAAAGGCTCCCTGGGGGTTTCAGAATAAAATTCAAATTCATACAAAATCAAAATTCAAAATACATATTGTACTACTGCACAACATGAAGAGCTTGAACAGTTTGTCTCCTGACTACATCAATGCACTGTAATCTCTCAATATACTTACATTTCATTTGTACTTGATTAAGGCTCTAAACCCTTGGAGACTTGTTTTCTGTTCTCTTTCCCAAGGCTGTAGAATTCTTCCTCAACCAATTTTATTGTCTTCAGACGGTATAAAGATTCAAGATTCACCCCTCTTGGATTTTTTCATAAATTGTTATGATTTAAACTGAAATAGAAACACATTTACTGTATATGGGATTTTTGGTCACTAATCTGCACCAATGTCAAAATGTCAAAATGGAACAAAGGGTCTGGAAATGTTTTACATGTACAGCCTACAGTACTGTATATAAGGTCAGAGCAGATACTCTTCCATGTAGACCAAGGAGCTGTGTGTTCATCTCTGTGATACCGTAGATCTGTGAAGAGGCATAGATCTGGAGCCGGGTATAAAGCATACAGTATCTGTGGTGTTGAATGTTCCAGGAACACAGCCAGATCCATCATTAGGAAATGGAAAGAAGGATAGTTTTTGGCCTTTTAAAGTGTTGTATAAGTTGTGTGAATTAAGGGAAAAAAGCAAGTTCATTGCATTAAAAACATCTGGTCGTAACACAATAATTGCTCTTGTTCAGGAAAGGTGAATACTTTCTGAAGGCACTGTACTATATCCCTTAGTCAGCACTATGAAATTGTTCAACCTTTTAATTCTGTTTATTGTATTTAAGTCTGAATTCATGTGTTTCTGAAGCTTTTGCTTTATTGCCAAATGCCTTGAGACAATGCGTAATGAAAGGCACAACAGTATATAAAGATGTTCCTTAAAAGCACTCTGGCCTTAACAGACTAGAGGAGCTGATGTGCAGCAAATATACTGTATCGGCCTCAATGTCCTTTGTTTGATAGTCTACATACTGTACATAGACTAGAAATTCAACCCTTGAACCCTTTACCTATGGGATGCTAAATGTTTGAGCAAATAAGTAAATATGTTTGGCCATTAGCCCATCAGTATTACTATGGAATTATTTTTTCTAGTAGAAGGTCCATTCAATTTTTGATCACCAAACAAAATAAAATCTAAATGTGATTCTGCAGAAATTGTTTTGAAAAACAGGGAAAAGATGAGACATGACAGAAATATCCATTCATTTCCATTCTGTTTTTCCTGGTGCGGAAAAAGAATGGTTACAATAAAGACATACCACAGCCTGATTTCACAGCTGAGAAAAATAAACCCCTTCCAGCTGAAACATGTTGATCGAGAAGATGAATTAAATTAAACCATCTGGAGACGTGTACCTCAACACCACCATGTGTTTTTATCTGACAGGCACCTATCCCATCCTACCACCTTTCCCAGCTATTGGAGGCAACGAAGGGGTTGGGGAAGTTGTTGAAATTGGCACTAATGTAACAGCTTTCAGACCTGGAGACTGGGTGATTCCTGTAGACGCAGGTTTTGGTATGAATCCTACTCTTTTCTCAGTCTTTCCTGTGAACACATGCTAATAGAGATGAGAAGGGGGAGTGGAGTTTTCACTAAAACACAACTTCTGTAACTGTAGCTGCCTGCTATTTCAGGAGTATACTTTATGGTGCTACAAAGTTTCAGAAGTTAATCCAAATGATAAAAATAAAATATAAACAAAATAAAACTGTCAAACAGACAAAGTAACGATTGTTTCCTATAATTCCAAAACTGATGTGAAAATGTACTTTTATTGAGTAAAGGAAAACGGTGAGAAGGAGGAATAAATGTTCGAAAGCTTATTAGCTCCAAGGAGAAAACAAAACAACTATCTTGTTTAGAAATTCGATTTTCTTTTTCCTCCATGGTGCCAATAGGCTTCCGTAGAAATTGTTTGGTTTTACATAATTGAAACCCTTTCAACCTCCGCCCCCAAAACGGTAGTCAGGGTCAATGTTCTCCTGGAATGGATGTACTGTACAGTACTGTACCCTTTAATTTTTTGAATTATCTTGGAATGCATAAACAGAGGTCAGAACACCAAAGAAGTCTATTAAGGTATTCTAAAGGGTTTTGTTTATGGTTCATTGCTCTCATTCAACTGTGTACTTCCTCTGGGATCCATCTTCATTAGGTTTAAGATTTAAATAGGGTTACAATACCACCAACATTAACATTAATCTATGTGATTTTCCAAATGTTATTGTTTGAAGATGATGAAATATTCATCCTTACATTGATTAGGTCAAGAAATAATTAATATTATTTTCTTGGACTGAGAGACTGTTGAAAACAAATCAGCACCTGAGGTTTTGTGGTTTCTGTTAATGTCAATGGTGTTTTATTTACTTAATAGCATTCTACATACTGTATTCAGCTAAATATTCAAGCTTCATTTACATTCCCTGCTAAAAAGCTAAAACCTGTGATAAAATTAATATTACCATAGGACGTAATAGAACTCAGTATTTTTAAATAAGCTGTGAAACCAGATAGTAATACCAAAACTATGAGACCTCTGGCCAGCACAGTCAGCTAGCTACTCCATAAGCTAAACATACAGTATGTGTATTGTTTTGGGGGGAAAAAATAAATTGATCTTTGATATTTATAATTCATAGTATTATTATAGCAAACATATATTTTAATTACATTCAGTGATCATGTTAAAAGTCATTTCTGTCATTGATTAAATTGTTCTAACAGTGAATCCACACTGGCATTAATTTCCTCCTGCAGGCACATGGAGAACAGAAGCAGTATGTGATGAGTGTGACCTTATTAAGATTCCCAAGGATATTCCATTACTATGCGCTGCAACGATTGGTGTAAATCCATGCACTGCTTATAGGATGTTACATGACTTTGAGCACCTGCAGCCTGGTAAGTTCATAATAATTGTGTATTCTGATACACAGGGTTTATCTCCTTTCTGCTCATCAATGAAATTTGTCTTTAGGTGAGACAGTCATTCAAAATGGTGCCAACAGTGCAGTTGGACAAGCAGTAATTCAGATTTCAGCTGCCATGGGAGTGAAGACCATCAACGTAATACGAGACAGGTAGGAGTAACATGCTTTACAGTATACTGCACTGTACTGTACTTTATACAGTATACAGTATGTTGCCGTGAGAATATAGAACTGGGGAAATTACTACAGTAAATAACCATGGATTTCACACATTTCCTAGATTTCCTTGATTTCACATTCTATAACATATATACAGTAAATTTGAAGTGTCTGAAAAAAATCGGCGAGAAACTTGTTTCAGTTTGTTGGGCACATGAAGTTGAAATATAGTAGTTCAGGTGGGTAGCTGCGTCAGCATGCGTAGGCTGCAAAGGAACAAGTAATAGGTTTATTCCATGCTGAAAAAAAGAAGAAAGAGAACACAACGTTTCGGCCGTGGAGCCTTCTTCAGGTGTGAGAGAGACAGGGCAGTAGGCAAAGGTAATGTAGCGGGAGAACAAAAGCTGGGAGAGAGTAGGAGCGAGAGGCGGGAGCAGGGGACAGAAAGATAGGCCAATCAGGAGGTGTGAAGTCAGAATGGGTGCAGAGAGGTGTGAAATGAAACTTCCAATGAATGGAGAAAATTTAGAAGAATAGTAGTCTGCCGTTAAGTGAAGGGGGAAGGTGTGATCCTAGCTGCAGGATAATTTTGGTTTCTGTAGTCTTTCTGATGTACTGTATGAGTTAGGAAAACCATCTTTTGGTCAGTAGTCTGTCGTTAAGGGAAGGGAGAATGTGTGATCCTACAGTAGCTGCAGAATAATTTTAGTTTCGGTGGTCTTTCTGATGTATGAGTTCGGAAAACCGTCTTTGAGAACACAGACGGAGAGATTAGAGTGGTTGTGGCCGTCAGAGGTGAAATGAGAAACAATGGGCTTGGAGAGATCTTTAATCTTCACAGCCCTGACGTGTTCTCTGAAGCGGTCTCCGAGTCTCCTTCCTGTTTATCCAATGTAGATGGCTGGGCATTTACTGCAAGAGATACAGTAAATAAGGTTGCTGGAGGTACAAGATGCTGTCTGGGTGATCCAGAATTGTCCTGAGGGGCCTTGAATGAGTGTGGTGGTGGCTGTGTACTTGCAGGTGATACAGCGAGCTCTGTTGCAAGGGAAAGTGCCTGGTGTGGATGGTTGTTGAGGGCGGTCAAGGGAGCTGTGAACAAGGAGGTTACGCAGATTAGGTGGAGGTTTATTCCATGCTGAAAAAAAGAAGAAAGAGAACACAACATTTCGGCCGTGGAGTTGGGAGGGAGGAGGAGTGAGAGGTGGGAGCAGGGGACAGAAAGAGAGGCCAATGGTTGAAGTTGAAATATGTCAATAATTACTGCACGTACGGTCTTTCCCTGAGTATTCACAGTCAATTTCAAATATTCAAATTCTCCAAGAAAGCGTTAAAGGTCACAGACTAAAGATTTTAATGTAAAGAATGGGGAAATTACCCAATATTGAAAATCATTCCAAATTCCAAAGAGTGGGGGCACACTTTGAACTATTGAAACATACATATAGAATATACATTTTGTATATTTTCTAATGTCATCTTTAAGATAAACACATAATTTTATTTTTCACAGATCTAACCGAAGGGAACTGGTGGAAAGCCTACGATCTATTGGGGCGGACTATGTAATCTCTGAAGAAAGTCTGAAAAGTTCAGATATGGACCAAATATTTCAGGTGAGAAATAAGAAAAATGCTAAAAATAAGAGTATTTTAAAAAATAGAACCCCTGACTTTCATGGCATTCGACTGGAGACAGCAGTATCTTTTCAGCTTTAAAGAAACATTTCTTGCTGCCCCTCGAGTTCAAAATTCAAAATTCAGCATCAGTATTGGTCCTGTATACAAGTGTATAGTTTCACAATAAGAGGGGATGGTGAATAGAAAGTGGAAGATTGTTTTGTTTTTCTTGCGAGTCAAGTCGTTTGGGACAACTGTTTGCAATGTCATGTCACTTGTAAAAGGAGCGGCACAGTGGTGCGGCAGTGCCGATGATCCATGGCTCTTGGGTCCTGGAGTCGTTTGCAGGCTCTGGCATCTTCTGTGTGGAACCTGTGTGAACTCCACCCCTCATACTCGCATCGACTTCCTCTGTGTAGTCTAGCTTCCTTCCTCCCTCCAAAGACAGGCAGGTAGGGTCACAATTGTCTCCGGATGGTCCCCCTCTACAGTATGTGTGCCCTGCAATTAATCTGCACTTGTCCAGAATGTAGTCTTTGTATCCTGCATCTGCCAAGTGGAACTCTGCACTCTGTGGCTCTTTATAGCATTAAGTGGACCGACTTATTAGACGGAGGGTACTTGTAATGTTAAGAATAATGGGGAAATCCTTCTGAATTCAGTTATATTAGAAATGGTGTGATACAAATCATGAAGTAAATCCCTGGTTCTGCTGTGTGACAAAACACTTTTCTTAATAATTGCAATGACACTGTATGTATTGAAATGGTTTTTTGGTCTTTCCAGAGAGTCCCCAGGCCTAAGCTGGGTTTGAACTGTGTGGGTGGATGCAGTGCCGGAGACCTCCTCACTCATCTGGAGTAAGCATTGGATTACATGCGATTCATTCAACTGAAATGGTGGCACGCTGGTGCAGTGCTTAGAGTTGCTGCCTCACAGTGTCCTGGGATAAATTCTGGGCATGTCTCTATGTTCTCCCCATGTTTACATGGGTTTCCTCCCACACTCCAACATGGCTGGTAGGTTCATTGGCTTCTGGAAAATTGGCCCGGGTGCGAGCGTGGTTCCATGTCGGTATCTACCCTGTGATGGACTGGCGTCCTGTCCAGGGTGTATCCTGCCTTGCGCCTGTGGCTTGTAAGAATAGCCTCTGTCTCCCCCATGCCCCTGAACTGGAAGAAGCGGCTAGAAAATGGATGGATTATTCTATTGATTGTTAGTTTAATTTTTCTTGTATAAAGATTTACCAATCCTTGAAGCCTAGGTACAAAAAAAATCCAGTTTTTAAAAATTCTATACTTGAATTGTCCGTGAATATGATCATCAGTGGTGTTGCAGAACTGATGTAAGGGTTTTCTTGATCGCTGTCCTAAAAGCACATTGGCCTATTGAATCTGATCCCAGTGGATGTACCAGTTAGCTCAAGAATTCAAACACGGATTTAGTGTATCTTACAAAAAGACATGGTCATTAACAAGACAGAGGAGTACTGTATGAGCTCTTCATCTGAACTGATAACCAATGGCCCTTACCTTACCAATACAGGGAGTCTGCCATTTAATGTGCACTTTAGAAACAATTGCAAATATGCAATTCTGAAGAAATCACACATTAAAAAAAAAAAGCAAAATTACTCATTTTTGGCATATAAACACTTGTTATAGTGACATCTGGAACATGATGTATGTGTAAGATATTATTTAAAAGCTAAACTTAGACTGTAAATTCATGCATTACTGTAAAAACACCTAATAGAACAGCTTGCATTTGAAAAGATAATTAAATATACTGTAGTTCTGAGATAGTTCAGGTGGGTAGCTACGTCAGCATGCGTAGCCTGCAAAGGAACAAGTAATAGGTTTATTCCATGCTGAAAAGAGAAGAAAGAAAACACAACGTTTCGGCCATGGAGCCTTCTTCAGGTGTGAGAAAGACAAGACAGTAAGCAAAGGTAATGTAGCGGGAGAACAAAGGCTGGGAGAGAGGAGGAGCAAGAGGCAGGAGCAGGGGACAGAAAGATAGGCCAATCAGGAGGTGTGAAGTCAGGATAGGTGAAGAGAGGTGTGAAATGAAACCTTCAACGAATAGAGGGAATTTAGAAGAAAAGTAGTCTGTCCTGAAGAGAAGGGGGGAAGGTGTGATCCTAGCTGCAGGATAATTTTGGTTTCTGTAGTCTTTCTGATGTACTGTATGAGTTAGGAAAACCATCTTTGAGAACACAGATGGAGAGATTAGTGTGATCATGGCTGTCGGAGGTGAAATGAGAAACAATGGGCTTGGAGAGATCTTTAATCTTCACAGCCCTAACTGAGATGCTGAGAGTAGTTCTGAGATGCTTTCTCTCGTCTTTAAGCATACCTGGTCTTCTTTATTACAGCTATGGGGGAACACTAGTGACTTATGGCGGCATGGCAAAGAAACCAATTCCACTTCCAGCTGTAAGTTATTACTCTAAAATTAAAAAGAATACTAATTAAATCATGAAAACCATGAGTTCATATGACATGACAGGTTCCATAGGAAATCGCACAGAGATTTTTTTAAATTTTGATTGCAAGTTGTGTGTTTGTCTTTTCAAAAGAAAGCCCTCATATTCAAAAACATCGCAGTCCGAGGATTCTGGATGACGCAGTGGAAAAGAAACAATAAACAAGGTAAAATGCGTCCGAAAGATAAATTAAGCAAAGCTTTACACTGACGTTAAGTGTGCGTGCAAATCTGTGATGTTTAAAAAAAGGTGACCAGAAAGATGGCACATGGAGTAAAGGAGAGGCGCTTTAGTCTAGAGAGCCCAGGTCTGAATCGGGGCTCTGTCATTAGCCTGTTATAATCTGGGCTGTAGCGCAGTTTAGTGGCATTGTACAATTCATAAAATATGTTCAAACAAGATACACATAATTCCATATTTATACCAAGAGACACCTGATACTTGTACACTGTGTGTTCCAGTATTCTTTTCAGTGTCTTTAATGTCTCCCAGGATACAGACGAATTACTTCAGAGTCCTTGATGGATAGTGAAATATATATTTTTTTTTCTTTCTTGCAGAGGTGATCAAACTACAGACCATGGTGTCTGGGTTGTGTGGGCTGGTGAGGAAAGGGACGCTGTCTGCCCCAGTCTGCGCTGAAGTGCCATTTCAGGATTACAGAAAAGCTTTAGATGCCTGCATGCAATCATACCAGAATAGAAAACACATTCTATTGATGTAGACTTTTTAATGTATGTTGTACTGTATATGCAGAGCTTCTGTTTTATGCACACAATGTTTTATGTAAATAAACCTAGGGGAAGAGATCCTTTGTGTTAAATGTTATTAAACTCTTCAGGAATTAAAAATGAAATTTTCTTAGTAACATTTAAGTTATATTTTCACATATGTAGTACAGTCACAATTAAAGAGACACATTGGAGTGTAATTTCAGTGTAATTGCACCTGCAGTACAATAATTTATTGAACTGCTGGATAATGAACATGTGCAGCTGTGCCAATCATGTAATATGTTTCCTTCAGACTTGCCTATTTTCAGGTCAAGGAAATATGGTAGTTATTGCTGGCACAGAGTGCGTTATATATAGACCAACTGCTGTTTATATCTTCCCAAAACATTTTCACCTCAGAAAAATAATCAATCTGTACAATTCTATTTTTGTAAAGTATTAATCTATACAGATAGAAAATAAATCAAAATTACCAAGAACTTTGGTATTTGTGATTATCATTAAGTAAATCAACAAATTCAACTGTCATACCACACAATGTGAGCAATTGCAAAAAAATGCCTTCATTCATCAATGTAACTAATGTTACAAAGTATATGCTACTGTATAACTGCAGGTCATTTACAGAATGCAGCATTTTAGATTTCTTCTTAATGAGGTGGTACTGGCACTGTGTTAGAGAATTGTCCTAGTAGGAAGCAAAGCACAGTATCTGCACACAGAATTGATAAATTTCTCCAAACCAGTATAATTGGCCACATAAATTAAATCAACAGAATGGACTATACGTAGACACACTATTAATTTTATGTTTCAGATTAAATGGCCTTAATAAAAGTTGTTACAAACATGAAACTGCAAGATATGCAATTCCTTTTAGAAATGTTCTACAGTTCAAATTATTATATAAAGGTAGAAAATCTTCTTTGCAGAACACAGGCTAATCTCCTAACAATGCTACCAACATTTTTATAAGAAATATTATTCCACACTTTCAAAAGATATGTTGGTTGACACTCTAGCAGAATGTGTAATAGAAAAAATTAAAATGCACTCTTTTATCTTTTATTTTTTTAAACGGAAACTTTGTCACTGCATATTGTGCTTTTTAAAAACAAATTCACAAATACATTCATACTTTTTTCACATCAAAATCTTAAATTATTCTTAGGTATTATGTCTTGCACATGCACAACCTCCTTTTTCATAAAGTTTGTGGAATTATCTGACAAAGTAATTAAAATTCAATTTCTGCATTCTGTCAACATACCATGCTGTATCTTCCAGTTGAGGAGTCTGTGTTTTGGGAATGGGTATCGAGGATTAATTAACTACTCCATGGTACTTTTCTTCTGTGATGCAGGGGATACAGTGCTTGAATAATTAGCATGAGGAAAACAATGTGAATATAAGTTGTAAAAAGAAGACGAACAGATAAGAGTAATTTCACAAAATGTGCCCAACTATTGCTTATAAATACAGTATAATCTTGGGAAACATTGTGGATAGGGCTAGCGAGAGAGAAAAATATTGTGTATTCTTTCATTTAATTACAAGAAACTAAGTTTATTCAGAGAAAGCAACATGTTTAACATGCATTTTCCCACATGACAATTAACAGACATCCAATACATGAGGGATGTCTGTTTCCTGACAAGTTTAAATGTCAGGTAACAGACACACTAGCCCCCTCTTCAGTTAAAGGAGGATACCCTGTGTTGCCAACACTCTTAAGACATTGATGGGTATAGTCCAGTGCATTAGAGAGTGGCCTGTTCAGTATGGCAAAGCTATTAAGTGAATCTAGTGATTACAGTGAAGAATACACAATATTGGTATTCCAAGTAATGTGGCAGTGAATGTTAATTAAGTGAGCACAACTATGTTCTTAATAATTAGTGATTTACAAAATACATAAGCATTTTTGCAGCTCCCATTGACAACAGAATAATAAGTCATAAAGATATGTTCATTGCAGGCTCAGTTTTGTACATTAAAAATAAAAACTAAACATTTCTTCATATGACATAACAGTCCAATTAGCTTTCAAAACATATATTTATATTCCAAAACACAAACTCAATGAGAAAAAAAAATCATGTAATATGTTAACATTATAGAACATACAGTACAGCAGTAATGAAAGGAGAAAATTAAAGCAGCACCCTAAACATTTCCACAGAATCTTTGCTTCATAACTCGTTCCAACATCCGCAATTTGTTCTGTTCTGTGCCCCAAGTACAAAAGATTCCTCGCCTTTGCGTAATGTTACACTTAACAGGCAAAACAATTACTGATCTTCTTTAAGTCTATAAAAAATTAAGAGCTGAGAGATTATTAAAACATGACATTAAATATACGAATTATCATTCATATTACTTTTGATGCAGTAAAATTACTTTTAATCTCGATGTTTTCTATCATTGCTATATTACTGTATTTTAGTGTAAATGTCAAGTAATTAAAATGTAATATACTAAACATTCATGTGCTTTGTAATAGATCAAGGTTAGATAGGTTAGATAGATTTAAGGTGCCCTAAAAATATTGACCCCCCACACACACACACATTTCCAGATTGTTTCTGTGTTTCCATTCAGGACACTGACCTATAGGAATTTACATTCAGAATCAGTCTAATTCAATCAAAAACAACAGACTCAATCTCCTCCAGACTAATAAGGCAAAAAAATGCTAATGATATGTAAACAAAATTGATTTTTAGAGAAACATAGAAAAGATTATTTTAAGAAGTCACACAATTAGTGTGGTTTCTGTCTGTATGCAATCAATGTGATTTAACTTGTCTAAAGAGTAACTGTATCTTTCTCTTGAAGATCCCTCAGTTTGGATATGTAATTTCAAGCCACAACTAACATTGTTTATGTGACACTATGAAGGCTAAACAGGTTTAGAAACAAATCATCCCAAAAGTCGTTGAAACGCAAAGATAATTAGAAGATTACAAGATCAGCACCACTGAAATTCATTCAATATTCACTCAGTACATGGACAATAATGCTGTCCCTACAGAAAACTGATTAGTGTGGCCAAGTGATAAGAAAGAAGCGATTACTGTTAAAGAGTTTGTAACCAAGCACGTATAAATACTACAGACTTGATATATGAAGACAGAAGGGTGTTTCTAGTACGAAGCCCAAAAAAGAATATAACCAAGCAAGTAGTAGCCTTATCTTATTACTTCTCATATCGGTAGGGACTGGAAAGACTGTCAGGTTTGAAAAGAACATGGCTAGTGCATAGTACAGACATATCCTAGAGGAAAACCTGCTTGAGTCAGTCAAGAATCTAAAACTGGGTTGACAATGTATCCGCATAACACTGACCCCAAGCACAAGGCAAAGATCCCACAGCAGGGCCGTGGCAAGAACAAAGCAAATGTCCTTGAGTGGCCATCTAGCTCCTGACGCCAATGTCACATTTCTGGCAAGACTCCAAAACTGCAGTCAATCAACAATCCTCAACAAACCCACTATAACTGGAGCAATGTTGCCAGGAAGGATAGGCAACAATTATACCATCCCACTGTGTGGTGCTGGCAGAGACCTCGAACACTCACTGCTCCCAGCGCAGACTCGGGGATCTGAATATTTATGCAATCAATAAATTAAATCTGCATAATTTGTTTGTACGTTTTGGTTTTGTTTATTCTCTTTCACACACGACAGTGCTCAGTTTTATCATTACAGCTTTTAATAGAAAAAAAAGTTAATTTGAAAATATATGTTATTTGTATGAAAATGAGATATTATTGGTGAAAATCTCCTTAAGGCACTTTAGTATAAGGGATTTTACATTCAAAATACGACAAAGTTTGTTTAACATTTTGAATACGCATTGGCTTTACTGTATAAGCCTACAAAAAATAACATTTTTCGTTTGATTTCAAAGCTTTGCAGGGCTTCCGCAAGGGCAGACACGACTTTTTCTTAAAGTTCATTTGCAAATGTTAGCAGAAACTGCCCGATTTGGGCTGTGTACTTGTCTCTCTATCTCCTTCTCCTTCCACCTGTGTATCAGCTATGTCCACCTGGATACAAAGAGCATGTTCTCCTTTTATATTACACAACTCTGTCACGTTGTTGTGAGGTTAAAGTGACTTTATCTTTAACAGAGAGATTCTGCCTTTCTGATAAAAGGTGCCAGTAGAGAGATTACTAGAATTCTAAAAGTGGCTTTTTCCCATCTGTGCTGCTTCAATTTTAAATGTATTCAGTACAAAGCTAATGGCATTTTACAGATTTTGTTCTTGACCTCCCAGAATTTCTCTTGCCTTTGTACACTATGAACACATTACATGGAAAATACTCATCACTGACATTTGTAAAAAGTCTATAACCGGCATCCAGGCTTTAGTGGTAAAAGCACTCATAAATAAAAGTGCATTATTATACAGTGCTATTTTCAACTTAAAGCAAAGGCTTTGTAATGAGAATGCTTTCATTTTCTTGCATAGGCTTGGTTATTTAGATTGACATTGGCTTAGCCACCGCATTACACAAAATCAAATTTTTTATCCGAGGTTTTAACGTTCTAAAATGATAAACTTTTAAATACGCTTGTTCAATTGTCTTTTACCTCTGAGGAAGTGGCATTTCCCTTTTTTCTGTGAAATACCCCCAGAGAAAGTACGAGTGTGCAAGAGGTCCTAACGGGAGCGCGACTTTATAACCCACTCCGCACTGGGATTCAACTGCAGCAGATCCTTCATGTAGGTTTCATCATCCAGGCAACGTTCCCCTGTTTCGAATAAAACCAAGAACCCATTAGGAAATGGGCAACTGGGCTACCTTAGCCACAGTTCGCTCTGTAAAATCCATCCCTCTATTTTCTAACCACTTCATCCGACCGAGGGTCACAGGAAGCTGCAGCCTATCCCAACAAGCAACAGGAGCAAGGCGGCATACACCCTGGGTGGGACTTCACAGCGCACACGGACACAAACACAGACATGCACACCAACACATGAGGGCCTATTTTCTCAGAAGCTGAGTGTGGTCCTTGGGCTGTGGGAGGATACCGGAGCACCCAGAGGAAACCCATGTGAACAAGGGGAGAACATGCAAACTCCACACCCAGGTGTGGAATTGAACCCAGGGCCCCAGCACTGCTCACCACTGAGCCACCATGCATAAAACACAGAACGATCCTTAGGAATTTGTCAGCAGTTTCTGTTCTTGTTTGAACTTTGGAAAATTGTTATTATAAAGATATTTGTTTGTGGCTGGGGTCCCAAGTTTATTTGGGTCCTTGTACACAAACGGAGCAAGCCCTGTACTGTTACCTACAAGAATGTGTGAAAACAGAGGTACCGTAGTTAAACACTACTCTGCCCCTAGGAAGAGAGCCCCACTACTCTATTCTTCTCCTGCCAATACCCTAGAAAGTGATCTTTAAGTTTTCAGTGTAAAAATATGTTTTTTTGAAATTGTAAATAAAGGGCACGTTAAAGCAGGGAGGACGATCCTTTCAAATTTAATTACTGTTTTAACAGCAATGTAATCTAAAAAAATACTTACCAATATTACCTCCAATTTCAAACAAAGACAGTTCTTCTCTTTTTATGGACACAGCACTGCGGAGAACAAAGTTAAATAGAAAATTTGAAAAAGATATTAATAAGATCAGAAGAATGGTTACAAACTGGAGGAGATATTCGACCCATCCAGCCCATTGGGTAGCTGATTGATCCGAGGATCGTGAAAAAGCAGGGTACTGGCTTCGACAGCATGACTTCCATGCTCCCTCAACCCCAGTATTCCTACTATTATTGTAACACGATTGTAGTTTTGATCTGTGTGATTATATTTGGCTTTCCACATCTTTACACCAATCACTTCCGATGTCTGGAATGAATGATTTATTCATATTGTGGAAGCTGATTTACTGGAATCCTAACAAAAACATCAAGTTTTATTTCAACAATGAGTCAGCAACCAAAGAGTTCAGGTGAAATGGCCTCCTTTCTTCTGTATTCTTTTTTTTTTGTTTGGAAAATCTGAAAAGGTGTCTTTGTGGCTTGATGGGAGTATCACAAAAGGATCATATCCACTCACAGTTACTGTATTTAAAAAGCACATATCAGGCATTCTGCCACCACATTAGCTGGCACCCTAGGTGTAGTTCTGTTTCTTCCCAGCAGAGGCCGCTGAAACTTCACTTCACTGATTCCGGATATACAGTATACAAGATATACGTATATACAAGAGTCCTGGCGGAGTCCCTACTTCCCTTTAACATAGAAGTAATAATAAGTGTATTTCTGATTAAATGCCGTTTCAAGACTTCATTTCTTTCTTGTATATGATTTCAGCAAATCATGAGAAGAAAACAGCGTTTACAATTTAGAGTTATATATAATTTCCATTCGGAAGTCACTGAATTTACGTTTCAAGGTTTTGAAGTTCTGAAACACCGCTGATTTTTAGACACTTTTAGATATATGGGAACTGCCAAAAAACACACTCTACATACAAAACAAGAATAACCCCTGCTTCCTTTTCAATACAGCAAATAGACTTATAAACCAATAAACAGAGCCTTCTACCAACATACTGTAACTTCCACTATTTGCAGTAATGTTTATGCAAATTAAATTAGATACTTTTAAGTATATAATTATAATAATAATCAGGCGCTGGTACTGAGTTTTCCATTTGTTAAAACACCACTTGAGATATACAATCTTGTTCATCTTTTAATTATACTGTAGGCCTCTCTCAAATATCTCTTTATCATAAAAAAATAAAACAGTGGATACAACTCAGCTGTATTCAGTTCTCACCACTCACAATAATTCTGAAAAACATAATTATTGATTGGCATAAAACAATCATTCCAATCAATAATTATGAAATGACTCTTCAAGTAGTAAACGATTCACTGTTATCCTCTGACACAATCTGACATTTTGATCCCCTTTAAGCCTGTTCTTTAGATCTAAGCACAGCGATTGAAACTGTTGATCATCAGCTATTGATAGAGCACCCTGAAACTCTTCTAGATTTACAGTAGCTGTGCCTGTGCATTTGGTACTGTACAATGGTTTAAATCATGCCTCACAGATTTTAAACACATGCTTGAACCTGCCTAAACGAAAATGCAGTATTCCGTGGCAGTCTTTTCTTGGGCATTTACTTTTATCATTAATCCTGCCCCCGCTAACAGACTATCTACTGTATAGAGACAATGCAAATGTTCAAAGCCATAGTAATGACACGCAACTGTATGTATATAATAGTGTACATGATAGCGAGTGACATGGCATTCATAAATTATTGTGTCTCACTGGTCTTAACTGTGTGACAACAAACTGCAGTCAGTTCTGACAAAAGAGATCTTAATCCTGGGGGCTTAATCACATCTTGATAAAATGGCCTAGTCTGCCCTCAATGTAGCTTGTTATGTCATTAATACAAAAGCATCAACACAAAACTACTGATGTTACTTTCGATCCTGATACTTTAATTAATACACACGTAACACATGTTCTGAGTGTCTTTCCTCCAGCTCAGAAATATCTCCTACGTGAAATGCTTACTCTATAAGGAATGCAAAGAAATTAATGAATGCCTTAAAATCCCCAAGCCTCTTATGAGGAACAAATGAGGTAGAGCGTTTAGCTATTGGGCCTCTAAACTGTAAAATGAACAACCAGACAAAGTTTAGAAATGTCACTGGCGTTATCTTTTCTTGAATAGCCACATTCCTAAGGCTGCCAATATTTTAGATTGCCACGCAAGGACTTCAGTTAAATGTGCTCTGGTTTATGTTCGCTCACCCATATTAACACATTCTCCTTGCCCTGTCTCCCCAGTAAGTCAATCATTACCTGTACCTCACAAGCAAACGAGTAAACCCTCCCTGATGAAAAGCTGGGCTCAGTATGATGGACCCAAATCATTGTTTAGTTCAGAATGGCAAAACCTAGACACTTGACCCATACTGGTTGACTAGACACAGTCTTCAAATACACCAGCCTGGACACCTGAACAGCCTGAACCGCCAGCCCACGCTGACTCCTATTACTTAATATCTGATGGAGGCAAACCTTGAAGCTATCACCTCCAAGAGAATCGTTTTCCTCCATTGTGAGATTTTGTTGTTTTTTCTCCATGCTTAATGTCTGCCCTTTTAACTCCGATATACTTGTGCAGATGAATGCACAAGTATGCTCTCTGATAAATTGTTGTGAAGGGCAACATAACATTTAAACACTGAATTGAAAAGAACAGACTAAACTGATGAAAAATGTTGAATGCAAATATACACCTCTCTTCTCTATACGACAGTCTCATTTTTAACAGCTTTATTAAAAAATAATCCCTTTAAATATTTCACTTAGGACGGCAGTTTTTAAGAAAAAACAAATTGAAATGTTTTTCGTACCTTTCCTGGCTAAGAAACCTGGCCAGTACATCGCTGGCCTTCAGCTCTTCTGTTAGTTGTATGGCCATAGAGACTTTGGTGAACTGTGGTGCCTGTACTCTTATAACTCCTTGAAGAGAATCAGACTAGAAAAAAAACAAAAATGGGCAACGACAAGTGTTATTCATTTTTATTTCAATAAGCATATCTTACCAAATCAAATTTCGTTCTAAGGCTTAGCACATTAAGACTATGTACACCCAAAACAGTACTGTGATTTCTTTAATACCTTTTTTTCTGAGACATATTTTAGTATTTGGGCACATTACAGTAACTGGGCATTCATTTATTTAATAAAAATGTATTCAAAATAATGCTGGAATTATTTTAAATCCTATATTTCCTGAAAAAGCAACAATGATTATTTTGAATTATAGGGTTTTCTGTATTTTAATACAGCCCCTTAACTATACACCTTCCACTTAATCTTAAGGTTTAGAAAACCACTAGGTAATATAAGGCGTGTATTATATTTTAGTTTGTAAACAACATTAATAAGTCATATGTTCATCTTTATGCACAGAAAACCCACAATCAAGTCACACAAGGTATTAAATAATACCATTTACTATATGATTGATGAAATTAGCATAAACTTGAAACGAGAGCAAAATGTCATGGTGTTGCAAAACATTTCCACTAGGTGGCGCTGACAAAACCTGTGAAACAATAATACCATCCAACTTGTAATTCGGCTTTACTCTGTCTTCCCCTAGCATTACATTCACAGGTCAAGAGTCTAATATTTTATTTGATATTAAATCAAAATAACAAGAAAAATGTAAAATTAAGCATATTATACTGTACGATGCATTTTACCTTCAGCTGTGAAACATCATATTCCTTATCAGTTACAGTATTTGAGACAAACTTCAAATGCTTATGCTAACCTTTTTGGTCTGTCCACTGAACAGTACACCTCAATTAAAGTTACAAATGTGTTAAAATATTGAATGCAACTGTCTCCTATCAAACTAGAAAATGTTCTGAGCCTTTTGTCCAATGCATCATATATTTTTTAGAGATGCTGATACCATCCATACTAACTAGCAAAAATAATCGAGTGAACATTTTATATAAAAGGAAAAAGGTCCATAACCCTTGTATTTTGGTTTCTTACAACATGGACAAACAAGTCTTAATCTTTGTTGCATTTAGACCGATATGACGTTTTGGTATCAAGCAGTGAATACAATGCGTTTTATTCTTTCCATCATAATCTTCACAACACACAGTATTACACAAACGACCTTTTACTGTGAAAAAGGGCTGGAGTCTACAAGGCCTCTCAGTTTTTACCAACAGTACTCACCTCTGTCAAGTTCTTCTCGTGTTTGTCTGCTTTTTCACGGTCATAAGCCATTTTCTTAAGCAGTTTCTTCATAGCTCTCTCTTTGGTCATCTTCTTCTGGTTTTCCATGTTTTGTTTTCTAACTTGATTGACAATAAACTTCGGTATCTGAAAAGACAACAGTACACAGTACACTGAAAAACAACAGTCCTAGAATCTACTGCATTAACATTCAGAAGGGAATATATTTTTAATCCGATGTGTTTATTAAGGTCTTGTTTTTATTAAGCTTAAAAAAACTGAAGATGTAATTATTTTCTATTGTAGGTGAGCATGAAGGTAGGTTACTCCCAAGTAAGCATGAATTATCTTATTAAGCCAAAATATAAATATTTACAGGACAGATCAGCCGTTTTTCTATCAGCGCCATAGTTCCTCATCAAAAGTTTTTTTTTTAAAGAGCCTCCCTGCACCACAATATATGGATGCAGCCATTCAGATTGCTCATCGCTGTGGGAAGATGACTTTGCTGTGCACTTTGTATTCATCACACTGCCCAAAGAATCTTCACTGGCCAAAGAAAGATCAGTAGGTGGCAGTTCTAGTGTATGAGATGTTAGTGAAAACATTTGCTTCATTTAATCTGTAGTCTTACTTCTTCAAATTCACTTAATAAGTAATATTCATATGGAATCAAGTACTGTAACTAAAGGGATTTTAGTAGCTAAAAAAATAAGTTCTTGAATGTCATTAACAATACTATTAATATAACTATAACATTAATATAGCTAGTAGTGTTAGTGTATTTCACTTTTTTTCATAGACATCTGCATCGAATTCTTTAACTCATTCCATCGTGATTATTTTGGAAAAGTTGTGATGCACTTGTTTTAACTGCACTTTGCTGTCATTATTGATGCAATGCACTTGTGAGCTAGAATGTGAAATCACCTTAAATCAAGGAGTGGTGTAGACTGATCCATTCATAGGCACTAGTTTTAATCTGAGTGAGGTACACAATAAGGGAACTACAGTATGAATTTTTGTTAATAAAGTGGTATAGGCTCAGTTAATTCAAAGAACAAAATGGTTCAGGGCTAAAACACTGTAAACATAAAAATCCACCCTAGTACCTAACTGCTGTTGCAGTTATTCAAGAGTCCTTAAATAAGTCTCAATGTCTTGCAATCAAATCATTGCAATGCATAACAAAACAGTTAATTCATCTCGGAAAAACATTGACTGGTTAAAATGAAGAGATTCCCTTTGTTAGCAATTGTAAGAAGGTAAAAGCTGTTTACCGTCCAGAGAACGTTTTGGTATCTTATGAGGAGCCACACAATATTTGCTGTCCCAGTAGCCACAGCAAACTCCTGTTGATCACTGGCCTTGGAGCGCACACCCTTGCACATGAAGAGATTGGGAGCCATTACAACAGCAACATTTTTCAATGTCATTTTATTCTTCTCTCTGTTGTTTATCACTCTTTGTAGAAATTCCACCAGTGCCTTGAATATAAGAGACAGACAATAGCACACCATAAAAAAACAATATCTCATTGTTTAGTGCTATAATTACCTAGAGTAAGAGAGCCATTCTGGGAAAAACACATTCAGGTTCTCTTTAGGCTATTCATTCATGCGTACAGTACATATTTCAAAGTCCTAAGAGAACTAAGAGAGTGTTCATGTAAAATGTATGTATTGTTTTATTTTCTCTTGAATATTTTTTGCTTTTGACTAATTGGAAAAAAAATAAAAAAACAAAGAATGTGGAGGCACCTCACATGTTTATTACTCTCTTTTTAATAACATTTTACGTTTTGAATCATATATGTGAATGATTTTGAACACAGCAACTGTTAGATCACATACAATTCCACTATTATGTGCGTGTGATGTCAAAGGCTTAGATACTTACCACCAACTGGCAATACAAACCTACAACTTCCTTTAATGATGTTAATAATAATAGTGTTTTTTGGATAACCTTTGCACTTTCATGAGGTTTCAATACTTTCAATACTGCATGACTTCAGCACAGCCACAGATGTCCCTGAGTGGTGTGCGGTTTGTCACATGCCATTTCTGTTGTTTTCTTTATTGAAAACATGGACTGTACTTGCCAGCAAGACTTTATACCAGAAAAACAAGTGTGTCACGGTTGGAGACAATAGTCTCACCATCCACATCAATGTCGATCCTGATCAGATCGGTGTTGTGGTGCAACATTTTTTAGTATTTGCCGTTTGCTATTTTTAAAATAATTAAACTGTATTTAGTGATGTGCAGTTTTGAAAACCTTAAAAGCGGGATGGATATTAAAACAAATATGGAATTTATGGGTTACTGAGACATTCAGGATTATCAGGTTCTGAAATTGTTATTCAGGATTATCAGATTATCGGCAAGATCCAAGTTATTGGTGCAAAGACACAGCACTTCTTCGTTCTTAAAACTCCTCTTGTTGGCCTCAACACCAGAGGGCAGTGGTGTGAACACAGCAGCACTTTCACAGGGAGCAATGACCAAAATCAAAATCAGCAGAAGCTTGAGTAGGCAGCACAGTGGGGCTGTGCTAGGTGTTGTTGCCTCACAGGGCTGGTGCCCAGGGTTCAAGTCCAGACCTGGGGTGCTAAATGGGGTTTGTGGAGTTTTTACAGTATATTCTCCCTGTGTTCACGTGGGTTTCCACACTGGTACACACTGGTACTGTGCAGTAGGTTGATTGTCTTGTGGGAAAAATGACCCTGGTGTGAGTGTCCAGCTGTTTGTGTGTGCCCTGCGATGGATGGACAAGCTAGTGTACGTGTACTTGTCCGTTTCAAACATACGACTTGGACAACAAATTTTGAGACAAACTAAGAAAGAAATAACTGGAATATTTAAAGGAATTTCTTAGATCCTACCTTTAAGGTACCCCTGTTAGGTTCTGGAAGAAGCAGCAGGAGAAGATTAAGGGCTTGAAGTTGTTGTTTCTTCATGGGTAATTCTGTTCAGAAGATCCAATGTTGGTAAATACAACAACTGCATTACAGTAGCCTTATTTTTTTTCTAGTCAATGAAAGAAAGAAACTGAAACACTGAGTATACATAAAAAATGATAACACATATGTCAACACACTTTTCAGAATGATAAAAATGAGAAATTATTCAAAGCAATAAGCTCAAGAAAGTGAGGAAACGTAATTAACTACACCAGTAAGATAAATCATGAAACTATTTATGACTTGATTGCTAGGTAGCATTTAAATGCCAAGGGTTTCAGAGCGCTTCTGTGAACCTACTTTGCACAGCTATGAAAGCGTTGAGGTATTCCAGAGTTAGCAATGGGTGTGGCAGCTCCCTGATGAAAAGCTTCAGAAGGCTGGCAGCATCATGCTGCTTCACACTGTCCCAGACAAAGGTTCCCTCATAGAACTTAGCTTCCAGCTCCTCGCAAATGGTCTTGTAGAAATAAGATGACAGAGAGATTGTATTAAGACTACGTTCTAGTTAGTTTCATTTCTAGATGACCCAATAAGGTCAAACAAAATAAAGTTTCAATCATTAACATCACACAGGAGTATTTAAACACATAGAGATTACACAATGCATTACCTTAGCTAACCCCTACCTCCATATTCCAAAGAAAAAGAAAATTAAATGGTTCTTTAACTTATGTGTCCGGACTGTCCGGTCCGGTTCTTGTTCTTGTGTGTCCGGACTGTGAGTAACTCTTGTATTGTATTGTATGTATTGTACTATTATTATATAATTCGTTACACTGTGGCTGTGTTGTGTGTGTTAAGCTGCTGTTGCACTGCAATTTCCCTCACGGGATCAATAAAGTATCTATCTATCTTAATGAATGGCACAGTGGCATGACGGTGACTGATCTGTCTAACCACACTAGGGTCCTTGGTTTGATTCCAGGCTGGGGAAACCTACAGAATGTTTACATTCGTACAGTACAGTATGTTCTCTTTGTGTCTGTGTAAGTTGTCTCCAGGTGCTCCGGTTTCCTCTTACAGTCCTGGTTAGATGGCATCTCTAGATGGCTCCTGTACTCCTGAGTGAGTAAGTGTTTGTGTGTTTGGGTCATGTGATGGAACACGGCACACGCGCTGTGAATATGGGTAGATGGATAAATGATATGTGTGACAGATTATATGCATGCCTTACACATGATGCTACTTTGCTGGAGTTTTCATGATCATCTAACCATGATGTGATAGCATCTCCCTACATTATCCAGCAATATGCTTTCAAACTCTAAATTCGTCTTGAAAGGTTTAAGTTGGCACAGATCAAATCCACAAAGTATTTGGTATTTTTCACATGTAGCAATTCCAGAATGTGTGAAACGTGTTCAAAGAGAGGAATACTGTAATAGTAAAAAACTACAATAAAATATGCAAATACAGGAAGGATAGTGTATTGTACATAATTTCACCTTGTGGAGTCTGATAAGAGAAGAAAATTATTCTGGCAGTGCACAATGCTTACATGAAACTTGCTTTCTCATTCTGTAATTTAATATTTCAATTATACAGTTAATTACAATTAAAAGAAATCAGTATGTTAACATGATCATCCTTTTATTCCAGCATTTCATTTACAAAAATATTGACTGTTCCTTTGTGAGATTTTCTGGATATCTAGATAGCACCTCCCAATATTAACATTCATAGCCAAAAAAGCCACCCACTATAGAAGAGATTTAATACTAATTTGACCTTTCCAATCACTTGGCTTGAGGATTAAAATCCTAGGCAGGTGAATGAAGAAGGATCCTGCATTAACATTGAAATGAATGATTTGGGAGAAATACACTTCAGAGACTAGAGGAGATAGGGATCAGTTTCTGTAGAAGTGAAGATTTGTAGTACTTTGGTTTGGTGAAATTGACAGAATGTTTTTCAGGTCGATAGAGCGACAGCAGACAGGTGTGTTCCCTTTACTCACACCTATCTAGAGCAATCAGTAAAAAAAGTGAATTTGCACCCCCATTTAATTTACCACATTATCATACTTCAACAACCATTACTCTTCTTTAGGTGAAACATTTCAAAATTCAGATTTAAATACTTATTTTGAGAGATTAAGATAAATTCAACTTTTGTTAATTCTAAAAGGTCTTTATGTCATTTGATTGCATGTCTTTGATTGACAATCAACCTCCAATCTGAGGCTTCAAACAGTGATTTAGATGTCTGATGTCCTGGGTGTGACTGTTGTCATGTCCTTGGTGTATAATACCATGTCACAATGTTTGGTGTGTCATCTTCCTAATGGGTGGAATGAGACATGAATAGTGTTAACTCCTTTGGAGCCAGATCTCAGTATTTTGCAAACATTTTGCAAGTATTTTGTCAGTCAATCGCCCCTTTGCAAGTCAGTAACACGCACATCTCGTACATTCAGCAAGTCAGTAACACGCACATCTCGTACATTCAGTAAGGATGAAGCTAGTCTGCAAGTAAAAGTGTCAGAGGAAGAGCAGAAAAGCTGATCACTGTAAGGAGGATGGCCGGCAACATTCAATACATTGTTTCTTCCCCACACCTCACACACAAAAATGCCTTCAAAACTTTAACACTTCCCAAAAATTGTGTTGAAAAAAGTGATCTGCAACTTTTGTGAGTTGAGGAGCGTCCTGGAGCAATTTCAAACGCCAGACTACTGGTAATTGCCACAAAGTCCAGAATCGGCTCAAAAAAGACATTGCACTGCCGATGTGTAAGTGCTTTTAAAACCGAGACCAAATGACATGTTTTTACCCAAATGGTTCAGGGAGTGTGGCAAAAGCTAACTAATCAAGTTGTAGAAGTGGATGTCCTGGCTTATTTCAAGAATGAGCTGGATGAGATGCCTGAATCAGTCAGCTACTAATTACCTAAAGGTGACTGATCTGTTTTTTGTATGTTCTTATGCTCTTGTGTTTATTATGTTCTTCCTCCCCTTTTAATTATTGCATACATATATAAGATAAGATAAGATCACTTTATTGGCCATATACAATTTCTTGCATTAGGAATTTGTCTTTTCGCATACCCCAGCTTGCTCTCCATGAGACACACAGACAGGGAGAAAAGCTTGGGGTCAGAGCCCCTGGAGCAGTTGGGGTTAAGGGCCTTGCTCAGGGGCCCAACGGAGTAGGATTCCTCCACCAGCTGTCGGATTTGAAGTGGCAACCTTCCAGCCACAGGCGCAGATCCTGAGCCACAGAGCCACAGAGCCACCGCTCCGCCTGTATAGTACGGAGTGCAGAGGCTGGTTTTGACAGAGAGTGTGTAGCCTAATCACCACAGAAAAGTAATTAATTGAATAAGAATGACCTGGAGAAAGGGTTTAATTATTTTAATTACAGTTTTTTAAAGGCTGAGAGAACTGACCTTGACTCTTGTAGCCACTCCTGGTATTCTCAGCAGACCTTCTGTTTCAAGACCTTCCTCTTCTATGTGAGAAATAATCTACAACACGGAAACAGAGCTTTTAGAAAATCTGGATCAACGCTTATCCTTTTAAGAGAAAAACATACAGTAACTAATCATTTAAAAAAAGTAAATGTACTTAATTTGTACAAGAGTGTAGGACGTCTTTTCTTAACAATGGAAATGTCAATACTAAATGAAATAATGTAATACAAAATACCTGTAACTACAAAGTGTGGTTTAAATCTTTATAAAAGTCGCTTTTTCACTAAAATAGCAGCAGTTAGGATAATTTGCCATGTTAGCAACTGGGATTACTCTGACACAAAACACAATTTTCATTTTGTTTAACCACAAAAAACTCCCTCCTCGACCCTTGAAGCAATTATCTAATTATCATTATCTAATTTAGGGCAGAATGTAAACCACAAATGCATCCAATTGACAATAACAGCATTGTACGAATTGCAAAACTGTTTTGGTTAAAAGTAGCTTTGTTTGGTTTTTAGGTAAATGTTATAATTACTAAGTGCCTAAGATAGTTTTTTACAACCAAGCTTTAATTTTTCACCGAGGCTGGTTTATTTTTTATCACTAACAGTGAAGTTCACTCAATTTTCATACTTAAACTTTACAATACTACATTCGAATAAAACTTTGCAAAGGCAGATCTACATTGGAATGCAACCATTTTACCATGCTTTTTACTACTGCACTAAATTTGTTTCTCCTTGTTTTCCATCACCTTGTCCAAGTTCCCATCTCCATTGTCAACATTACAAGGACTCTGTAGTTAATTTAGTAATTTGTTATTATATTGTTGTGCAAGGATTAAGTCATAATAAAAGTACTTAATTAAAATAACAGCAAGAATATTTGTATGAAGAAGAATAGTAATGACTTGCCCTTTAATATGGAGACTGATTTGCGTTTGTGAAACAGTCAACTGTGTAATCTGAACTTGACACTTACTTTGTGTAGTATAAGTGGCACTCTGGTGCCTTGCACTTTCTTTTGATCCTGTTCCAGCAAGGTTGTCAGGGGTACTCCAAACAGGCCCGACTCTACAGAAAGCAAAGTAAATGCACTGTGGGAGACAGTATATTGCTCCTATCACACAACGATAATACAATTTGAAAGGACAAATATTCTCCAGGCAGAAAAAAAAAATGTAAATAGATAAAAAAACAACATGCTGTATTTACAGTATCTACTGTATGTACTTCGATAAATTAATACCACATAATAAAATAAAAACTGACAAGACATTTAAAAACAAAACATACAATACAGGTATCTATAGCATATGGTAGTGAAAGAAAAATCCCACTGCAAAAGTGTGTTTTTCTCACCTTTTAATTTACTTTTAACAGATTTAAGAGCTTTAAATTCAATTCCAAATGCATCGAACAGAGCAGTCAGTTCAATCAATGCCAGGGAGCGAACTTTCTTCATGTCCTGTGAAGCCAAATCTCCAATTTTTGTTGTACCAGTTTTGTCTTTTGGTAATTTAAAATCCTTAAAGAAAACAAAAAATACATTTATTTAAATATTTAACCACAAAACAATAAGTTTTATGTACAGAAATGTACAAGACACAGCACAGAATGCTAGTGAAATCAAGCAGTTGAAAAAAAGAGCTTCATGAGCTTTACGTTTGCTTTTCCACTCCCTATCAATCAAAATCAGTTCTCCAACATACTGAACTACAGCTGATTTAGAAACGGTCATTTTCCATATGTGTCTACACTCAAAGAGCCAAATTGCTAACTGCAAAATATAACGTTAATCAGAGCATTATTATACAATTATTATATTATATAAAAGCCAAATCTCAACAAAATTTGTTTGATGAATGATTAGAAATGTTCATATTTTTAAAATGAAAAGCTGTAATAAATAACTTAGATGGCCAAGGTGTAAAAAAAGCAAAACTGACATTGTTCAATGGTTACTTCTGATTTTGAAATCTTTTAACATCCTCTGCAATGTTGGCACTAGAATGAAAGTCTTTAAATCTCTCTACACATTATTTAAAGTCACTTACAGGTAGGTGTGCATCATCCTCATCATCTTGTGCCTTGGTATTCTTCAACTTTTCCTTGAAGCTGACCGCCTGCTCCGAGAATGAGATCTCCAAATTAATGTCAGTTTCCGATACAGCTACATCCTGCTTTGGGTGGTTTCTAACATTCCCACTGACATTTGTTACATCTGTGCAGAAAACGGGAAAAGTCTTGGTATCAGCCTTCTTAGAAAACAATAAGTGTAATGAAGGAACAGTGGCATTTCTATAAATAATTATTTCCTATTAACCACTTTCTATTCTACTTTATTCATAAAGAACATCTGATAAAGTCATAGGCAAACGTCCTCACATGGCACCAATGGAGATAATTACACAGTCTTTAAAGGGACAGTTTTGAAGGCTCCTAAAGACTTCACAAGAGTGTAAGACAAATGTCCTGCAGCTATGAATGCAGACATTCAACAGAGCTAAATTTCTTAAGTGGTTCAACAATTTAAACAACTGTCTCGACTATGAATTAAAGTACCGGGGTTTGAAAATTCAAATAACTTTTTCGTTGACGTTTCAGTGTAAAGCTCAATGTTAAACTGAACAAGACCTCTTCCTGCAAGTCATGTACTGCTTCCCCTTTTGCTACTGTTCAGCCTGTACAGTACTTTCATTCTCTACTGTTCTCATCTGCTTGCTAACGTCCTGTGTCACTGATCGTGTCATTTCTTAAGAAGCAAAACACAGAGAAATGGAAAATTATGAGACATAACATTACAGTATTATCTGAGCATTATACACTGACATTGTTTGGCTGAAAACAAAAACACATTTCCATGTCACATCATTACAAATAGAAACGAATTAGAAAATAAAATAGCTGGTACCGGTGTGCAAGAAACAATAAAATGAATTATTACAGCTAATATCAGGCAGGTATGAGTCTAAGGAATTCAAAAGAACTTCAAAAATAATGTTCTTTCTATAATGTTCATACAAGTTCAGAACTGCCTCACATACCATCTGATACAACATCCTGTTTTCCATTTTCGCTTCTTTCAGCAGGAACATCATCGTTATCAGAGAGCTGAAAATAAAAACCCTAAATAAAGTTGTTGCTTCATCACATGTATAAGGTACGGGTATATATCTACAGTATGTTGCCAGGATAAATCACTAAACACACACAGACAATAAACCATACATTTAAGGGGTTGGACATCAATGTAAGAAAACGTGCTTGTGTTTCAAAAACATTTCTGCTTATTTTTACATAGTGCACTAGAATTTGCTTTAACAATGAAACTTGTTCTAAACTCCTGGGTGTTTATTTATAGTTTCTGCTTCAGCATCTGTGTACCAGTGACTTTTAGAGATTTAATATGGAACTTCTCTAAATATACAGTTAAAAGTTAAATCCGGGAAGTCACTATTATTAAAAGTCGTTTATATCATCATGTGCAACTTCTACAACCCTTCTGTCAACACGTCAAGTAAAACTATGATTTTATTAAAATAATTTGTTCATGCACGGTACTGTATATAAGCAGTATACAGTTTTACAGATTTCAGCTTTATTTATACAACAAAGTATGGAAGTGATAGCAATATTTTTTTAATTTGTTAAACAGTCACCTTGGTGTTTCTAAACTGCCCAGACACCTGGCAGATGACGTTTAATGTAGACAAATGCAGGCTATTGCAAACATGTAATACAATCACAAACAATAGATACAAAATGGGAAACCGTGCAAGAAGAGGCTATTTATAGAAAAAGACAAAGGTGGTTAAGTTGATATATTATTTTCTTTCTAGACAATGTGGGGAAGTAATTAAGTAACATATACTAGGATAAAAATAAAAGCATAGAAGGGATGTTATGTTAAAGTTGTTAAGCACAAATATGACATCATTGTGAATACTGTATAACTAAATAACTGTTTGGAAAGATATTACTGCTGTGAAATCAGTCCAGAGAAGAATTACTAGATACATTCTGGGTGTTACACTGATAAGCTAAATAAACGTTTTTAGCCTCAAACACCAAAGACTGTGAGGGAACCTGATACAAGTATTCAAACTCCTCAAAGCCTTTGACTAAGTTAGCCCAGTGGTTTTCTTCAGACACCAGTGGAAACTACTGAATGTGAAAGTGCTTTTAAAAGCAAGAACAAGAGGTTCTCATTTACTAAAGGGCTGTGGGTGTCTGAACAAGCTACCCATCCACGTCCTTCAAGTCGAAACCCTGGCTTCTTTCAGAAAATGCTTGTGAGAGCTCTTTCAATCAATTAACTGCAAACTCTAAAACAGGCTAAACAGGCCGAATGGTTTTCTCTCCTTTCTAACTTTTTTTTTCCTACAATAGGCTTACAAATAAGTGCTGGTAATGGGTTTAAAGGTTAACTTGACTTATGCACCTTTACATCAGTAAAAAAAAAGAACACATAACCTGGCATTTAATTTACATTTATTTGTACTTCTGTTACTTACTTGAGATCCACAATTGTTGAAGACCAGACATTTAACAAATACTAATTCCTTACACTTATATAGCACTTTTCTGGCCACTGCACTCAAAGCGCTTTACAGGTTATGGGGACTCCCCTCCACCACCACCTGAATGGCAGCCAGAGTGCGCCAGTACTCTCCCCACACACCAGCTCTCAGTGGGGAGAGCAGAGTGATGAAGCCAGTTCAGAGTTGAGGATTATTAGGAGGCCATGACTGGTAAAGGTCAATGGGAAATGCTGGGTTGACACACCTACACTTTTCAAGAAATGCTCTGGGATTTTTGATGACCACAGAGTGTCAGGATCTCAATTTTACATCTCAAATAACTGGGGCATTAGGACCCATACAGACTGCAGGGTGAGCTTCCCCTACTGGCCCCACTAACATCTCTTCCAGCAGCAACCTTAGTTTTTCCCAGGAGGTCTCCCATCCAGGTACTGACCAGGCTCACACCTGCTGAGCTTCAGTGGGCTGCCTGTTGTGAGCTGCAGGGTGATACCGCTGCTGGCAAAAAAAATAAATAAAGCTCCGGGAGGTGCTGGGGATTGAACCTGAGACCTCATACACGCAAAGCATGTGCTCCAACACTGAGCTGCGTCCCCAACACATTAACTTCCCTGATATCCTGGAGATTTTACAATATCAGAGTATCGCGGATGAACACATGGCTCCTACCTTCGTGTTTTGTGCACCTGACAAGCCGAAGACGTCTCGCACATCTGGGACCTGGTACTGTTTATTCTTTTTCCGCAAAGTCTGTTTTAGTGTCTCCACTCGCCTCTCCACTGCTGCAGCCTGCGTGCGGGTGAGTGTGGACAGCAGGACGATGCTTTCCTGAGGATCTGCCAACGGGTCCCCGATGAGATTAGACAAGCCAGCTTCCTTCAGCCACTCTTCTTCAAGTTCCCCGTCTGTCACGGGGGAGCAAAATGTGTTGATATCATTTCAGCTTGCTTTAAAAAGAGTTCTTAAAAGTTGCTAGGAAGACATCAATGGAGGCTCATCTAAAAATACAGCATGACGACTTTAAGGAATTGATATATCAGTGAATTGATTTAGAGCTGTTTGGGATTATTTAAAAATACATTCAGTACTCAACAATAAGAGTTTTCATAATAAGTTAGCATGAAACACTGTTTCTTGTAATAATATACAGTAGCAATAATATACTGTATGTTGAGCGATAATCATGCCTTTTACAATAGGCCTGATATTCAGTGCATGATATCCCTTTAAATGTTATTGAATTTCTTCAGTTTTTTCAATTATGTGTTAAAAAAAAACACTAAACGTTTAACAGATCTTTGAGCAGAAACATAAAATCCTGCAAGTTTCATTAACTACAAAATTAAACTGAAGAACACTTATTGTATTTTGCAGTAAGGAAATCCACATTTAGATTACATCACAACCTCAGAAAGTAAAACAGCACTGAGAACATTGAAACATCATGCTCAGAAACTTGGGCTTAAGATCTCTTTTGTCCTCTGGAGCTGCATAACCCCGGGAACAAAGAGAGGGAAAGTAGCAGATACCATCGGGGACTTTCACTAGCACTTCCTCCTGCTGCTCCTGGTCGTTGCTCCTGGTCTTGTCCATATTCTCCACCTCTGTCCAGTAGTCATCCATTGACAGGTCATCCAAGGAATCCTGAGAACTGCAGCGGCTGTATGGCCGCTTCTCCACAGCATTTGTGGCATGACTGTGGACATTGTAGTGGCCTGACCTGCGGCTGCAAGAAGCAGGCAGTAAACACATGGGATGTGTGTCATACAGGTAAGTACATATAGCATTATATCGTCATCATTTTCTGAACTATTGGAAAACTCTGAGCTGTGAACTCCTATTAGATTGTAAGTAGCTGAAAATGCATGCCAGTGGTGTAAAGCACCAATTGTATTGAATTTTCACCCATTATTATCATGGCTGAACAATAATAAAATCTGAACAACTACATCCTTGTGGTAATACCCATGATCATCTAGAGAGTATCAATAATACTGTAGAAACATTATATCAGTTTTCAACACTCATCACCGATGGAGCAACACGAAGGACCACTCCAGTTTATTTATTTGCTCAGTTTATTCAATTTTAAAGAAACATATGGAGCTAGGTCAGACTGCATTAGGAGGCACCGTGTGTGAAATATCTCAAATTCAAAGAATCTGAAGTTAAACAGTTAACTTTATGCAATCTCTTAACCACCAGGAATTACTGCCTTTTTAGGTGCACTGTATGATGACATTCTCGATCACAGAAGTGTGGTGCCCAAGCACTTAAAATGTTTTGCAACAGTTTTTTGCTCCAGGAAGTGAAACAAAGTCTCTTCAACAATAGAAGGGAAGGGGCATGTCCATTGTGGAAAACTGTGACTAGATGGCTGATGTCCTACGGTATGTTTGACAGATAAAACAATACACCTGAATATGAAGGAGTACTGAAGTATTTGCAAGATGCTGGAGGCAGTCTGTGGATTTGAAGGGAATCTCTGGGCTCTGTTCATTAAGTGTGCTCAAGGAAAGCTAAGTGAGTTGGAAGGTGCTTTTTCAACTTTTTCCAACAAGCTAGGATGCCTTTGCAGGCAAGACCTACAACTGGAGCCATCATTCAAGCACACTCAGCCGTTTTTGCAGCAGAATAACCAGATTCAGAAAGACCCAGCTGTGTTCAAACTCGTTTTGGATCTGCTCTCTGTGGAGGCAGAGAATGTTCCTGATGGCGTCCAGATCAAAGTAACTTAACCACAGTGCTCCGCTGCTCCGACGAGCAGATGCAGAGAAGTGACTTTCTTGGGCTTTTACCAGTCATTGAATCATAAGCAACATTCCATTCTCTGTAGTGAAGCACTGAAATTAGTCTCCATGTTTAGAATACTCAATTTGCTCACTTACATACAGTATGTGAGCAAATATTCTTCCAGATGCAGCTGAGCAAGTCTCCCCTGAGAACAAGCCAGGCTGATGATATCCTGTGTGCAGAGGCGCCACCACTTCACTAGAGCCCTATATCCAGCAGCCAGTGTCAGAGAAGTACTGCAATATCTCTCGATGACTGAGTTACTACACATTTATTTTATTTTCATCATTATGTTTTACATATTTTCCTCCTTCCTTCTGAACAGAAAAGTTAACATACAGTAAGTATACACTCTCATTTTTTGACACAGGTCTACCGTATACTGCTATAGCCAACTGTAAATGTTGTTTCAGATGTACAGTTTCTGGCTCTTTCTGGTTATGTTGTCTGGTTCAGGCCCTATACAAAATAAGTTGTGTGTGAGCTGGAGACTCTGGGGTTTCTTTGCATACAAAAAACAATTCTATAAGCTTATAGGCTAGCGTACTTCTGACAATATTTTAATGGAGGCCAATTAATATATTATTGAAATAAATAGTTGTTATAATGTTGTTCACTTTTGATTTTGGCAAACTGTTTCCAAATAGAGAAAGAGAATATAGGGGTGATTTCTGTCCCAAGAACATATTCTTTGTTGTGTAACAGGTAGGGATTTCTTCCTCTTTAAACCTGTTTCTAGTATGTTTGCTACAGTATATGTACAAAAATACAAATAATGCTTTATATTAAAGTGTTTATGTTTGTAAAAAATATGAGAATCAGAACTATTAATTTCTGAATATCAAAGAATGCAAGATTCCAGAAATATGAGTATCCAAAATCCAATGTGATGCATCTTCAAAAAGATTTATAAAGACTAAGCAAGGTTTGGCATGCAAGAGTTAAGTTGCTGTATTTATCAAATTGGTTCTCATATTTCATCTTTTTTTCAAGCCATGTCAATGGCTTTTTGTCAATGCTGTTCATGGTAGAAATAATGAATAACTTATTAAACATCTTCAAACAATTTTACTTAAAAGCAACACAGAACTGTTGTTCCAGCAGCAGATTTTCAGAGTCCTTTTTTCAGAATTATGGGCTGTCTATACGAAGTTACAGATTCAGCAGTGAAAACAAAAAAACACATTTGGAAAACTCAGCAGTTCTGCCCCCAGACTCTCAGGACTGAGAACAGCTGCAGAGGAAAGCACTTGCATCCTACAAAAAAGGAGAAATGTGGGTCATATCTCATATGGAAAAACAGGTCCTCCATTCTCGATTAAGAACTGGGTCCCATGTCAAATCATTTGTTCTGAATATCAAGAGTTTAAAGGGGAATTGCAGTCCCAATTTCTTAGACCACTTGTTAAGTCTCGGTAACAAAATAAATAAATATACAGTAGCACAATATTTTGCAAGTTCCGAATTTAGCACAAATTGTGAACTTTTTGAAAGTACTGCATGGTTGCCACCTGTTTTATGATGGAAATCTGATGCTTTTGCACATTACTGTGTACATTTCACTTTGGTTGTGGTTTGAAATGCAGTAGTCAATGCTGACTCTTTATAAAAAGACATATAAAATTAGCGTTGTGTTCCCCTTAACAAATACATAGTGCAAGTAAACACATACACTAAGAATAAATAAAAACCACACAACTAAGTGTTCTCCCTGCTGAGATGATCAGTTTTTGAAACTTCTGAGAACACGTTGGTAGCGTTTAAGACTTGCAGGGTTCCGAGAATAGGACTGTGAAGAAGTTTTTCTAGTTTTTCTACACCGAAAATCCACAGATGCACAACCCACCTCACATTTACTATACAGTATGAAGACATTTGCTCACAAATTATAAAGTCCCAACAGCAATAAATACAAACAAAAGGCAAAGGTCATGTTTCTCCTGAAAAGCAGTACTGCGTGTATAAAGTACATTGACAGTATAGAAACTCAGAGCAATACAACATAGAGAAAGAAAATACGAGATTTGGCAATTTATGGAAGGAATAACCAAAGCTACCCCTACATCCGTGCTCCAGAGTTAAAGGTTAGATTGAAAACTTTGAATACAGCAGCACCTTAACTTCACTGGGAGGAACTGACACTTCAGATCAATTTGAGTTACTAGGATATGTTTAAATAAAGAAGATAGATTTTAAAACACAGACATCTCTACATTAAACAGTATGAAAATGATTAGATCAAGCCTTACAATAACAGAATTAGAAGTCTTAAACATATTTAGAGAGTCTAATTATGAACTGTACACTGAAATAGTGTCCAGTAGGTGTTCAAGAAATACAGACTGAAATACAGTCCAGTAAGCCTTCGAGAAATATAGCCTGACAAATCTATTAAAAACTCAGCAGCAGGTCTTCTGAGTTATAAATAAATAGTAACGAAAGACTAGAATCCAGGTCACAGCTGTTAAAAATATAAGTACAGTACTTAAATTTGGAGATTTTCATTATTGTCAAATGTGTTTTTATTCATATTGCCTTTGATAAAGTTATATTTTCATTATACAATAATAAACAGCTGTAATACCTGCCTGAAAACAAATAAAGCTATTCTTTAACTGGTGTGCCAAGCCATTGTTTAATGCAATTAGAAAATAACAAGGAAATGACTGTATTTGTGCAATTCTGCAATTAGCCGTTAAATGTAGAAAATGGATAAAACAAGATACAAATAAACAGAGAACTACAGTAGGTAGGTCCTAGCTAACCAATTAAGCTACACAATACTAAACTAAAACCAAAAAACTACAGTATACTGTATACTAAATTAAACCAGCTACACAAAAAAAACTACACAGTAAAGGCAAATACAGAACAAATACATTTTATTTTATTTGCTAGTTCAAAGTGAAAGTGATTATCTCAAAGTGGCAACATACCAAGAATGCATTACTTCTTTGTGAGACAAGAAAAGTGAAGGAGGCCCTTTGTGCACAACGCAAACTCAGTGATACAGTGGAACCCATTGAAATCTGAAGGTCATCTGTCTTGCGGAGTCATAGTG